CAAGGCTCAAGGCGGGTCATTCGCTACCAAGGTTCTCGTACGGAGCAGGCAGGATACTACAAGATTGGGACTCTCATGTACGAAATCCTGCTGCCGCAGAAACGTCGACGCTCCACCCTTGACCTTTTCGCCAAGCCCAAATGGCGGCACTCGTGTAAGCTGGGAAGCATCATCGCCTTGTCAATACCACCAAGTTTCTGTCACTCGTCAATGCCATGGTGTTTTCTGCAGACTTCTAGAATTCCAGGCTGCTGTAACGCAACCTTCCATGCATTGGCTCGTGTAGAAGAAAGATTCATCAAATCGTACCACCAACAATAACACAGGATCTCGGACACCGCGGAATCCCACAGAACCATATTGAGCCTGTTGTACACGTACATGGCGTCTTCAAGTGCTCATAGTACTAACATCGCTAAGATCGCTAACATGGCGCACTCATCATTAAGCCTATCGCTCGTCTATTTAGCATCAGCATAAGCCCCAGAGGCGATATGGAGATGTACATACTGGCTGTTGCGACAGGGGACAGGGAGGGCGACTACCTGGACTTTGAGCCCACACACACACAAACACAAGGAGGAGGCGTCCCCGTATAAAAAAAACAATAGGTAGGGGTTATATTTATTCAGGAAAGCGGCATAAACCGTAGATGGATTTAGTCCGCTTCACACAATGTAGGGGCTGCAGTTACATGTATTCAGGTAAGCGGCGTAACCACAGATGGATTGAGGCTGCTTCAAAGAAGTAGGGGATAGTTACATATTCAAGAAAGCGGTGTCACTCCGTACATGGATTGATTCCTTCAAAAAAAAAAAAAAAACTCCAAAAAAACTTCTGCCTTGGCAGGCCCTGAATAACTGGAACCTCTTGGGAGTATCCATGGTCCTGGGTAGCAAGTGGTGTCTGTCATGTACCATCTATGGTACGCTTTCGCATTTGGCTACTCCGAGTCATGTCGAATCTCATGGAAAAGGCCCTGCTACCTGGGGTTGACCCAATTCTCAGCGGCATAATGCCGCATGGCTTGCCTGTAAATACTACACACACGTACGTAGCTGGACGGAGTGTAACTGCCAGGGTGTATGTCGACACCCGGTTATATGTAGGCTGACAAGGCTCTTGAACACGTTTAATTTGTCAGTGCGTGTTTTGGGACCCCCCAATCCTTCCATTCCTTTGCTTATCACTAGCGGCGACACGGAAAGAGATGGCGACGTCCGTCTGCTTTGGGCATCTGGCATAGCTAGTAAGCAGCGGATGGTTTCTGTCGCAGATACCGATAGCCATCAAGTCCGTATGACAGACTGCGCTGAATCCTCCATGTCCGTCCTCGAATGCCAGTCCGTTCGAAGCGTCCGGAGCTCTGGAACCCCCGCTGTGCCGCTCCCCACAGCTGAACCATGTTCGCCCTCGTTCTTCTCCAGGTCAACGATACCGTTGCATGAAGATTATCGTCACAATCAGAAGAAACCGAGCTGACGGGCTCAGCAAGGAGAAGACGCAAGATGCTGGTAGCTATGCCTGAGGGGAATCCATGGCAAGGCAGGGCCTTTGAGTGGATATCGACGTATGCGTCTGCGTATGACAACAGAGCCACAGTGATACAGGTACCTGGTTGTTACTCGCACGCTCCTCTGAGATAGTAAGCGCTGAGGCTGAGGTATCATCCAACGGAACCGTACTTTTGCGGTACCTTGCCAGCTATTTTCGCCATGATTTCCGTCCCCATGCTAGTTGGTGCAAGCGTGAGTGACGAATCCTTGTAGCCGGAATTGACTCAGCTTGCCAGGTTAAGACGCCAATCATTGGAAGTGAGAGTATTAATACAATGCAGACTTGCTATCGACGGACCCAACGACACGAGCTGGACAAGAGAGAAGAAAGACACAGAAATTCAAACACGGCAATTATGGGATCCATGGTAAACGATGCTGTCGTTGCGGAGCCAATTGCTCCCATTTGCGCTCTCGGTGATGAGCACAATCACACAACTCTGGAGGAGGGGGCGATGACGGCCACGCCAGCAACGTCGACGACGCACAACACGACATCCTCGTCTTCGTCTCTACGAAGACTCGCGTGCGACGCATGTCGAGCCCGCAAAGTCAGATGCGACAGGCAGGATCCGCCATGTAGCAGATGCGCAAAGGTGGGAGTGACATGCCGCTACTCCAGCCGATCAAAACCGACGCCGTCCAAGATGGACTTGTCGAGGTTTCTCGTCACCCTCAACAATAGACTTAGTAAGTTCCGGCCGCTCCCCATGGTTATGCCTTGTGACTCGTGGCTGAGACAAATTACAGAACAAGCAGAGGCGCAGCTCGCCACGACACGTCTGATGCAGCAGCGGAATCGACAACCCTTCCCGATGGCATGGGGAGATGTTGATATCACGCCGCAAATAGTAAACTCTTCTCCAAACTCCAGTCCGCCGAGAGAAGTGACGCCGCCGCACATGGTTTCCGGACCGGGCTCAACTTATGATCTGCAAAAGATGGAGGTGATGCACGACAAGGGCATGGTGCAGCAAACCGTCTCAGAGTGGTAAGGCAATACACAGCATCAAGAATCCCCGCAGGGGCTTGGATAGAGATTAACAAGGCCCCTTGAACTAGGTGCAACCAAACTAGCACAACAACAACCGTTGTCCCTACAGAGGCACCCGAGTTCTCGCCGTTTGATGCGTTTGCCACGTCCTTGTCGGCGGATATCATGATGAGCCAGGCGATGCCAGAAAACCCCCCCTTCGAGTTCGAGCCCATGTTCTTTGACATCTCGTCATCATCCACGAGTCAGTCTGTGCCGACAGTGTCGGCCACAATTCTACAGGGACTGTATGTTGTAAATGATTTTCCAGACTGGCTACGCGAGGCTGACATGAAAATAGTTACGACCGATATTTTGAAGTCTTCCACCCCATCATCCCCATTATCAACAGAACACGTTTCCAGCATGAGATGTCGCAGCCATCACCGTCGGTCGAAGTGCAGGCACTGTCGTATGCCATCGGCACCTTGACCGCATTCTCTGTGCCCGAGCTGCATTATTATGTAGATCACTATTACGAGCAGGCTCGCAATCTTATGGACGTTTGCGAGCGGCAAGAGAGCGGCGACTCGTTGAGCAACATCAACATAATGCAAGCCTACGTAATCTTGACCCTCTACGAGCTGAAGCAGCCAAACTTTGCCCGGGCCTGGTTGACGCTTGGTCGCGCCATTCGGCTTTCCAAAATGATGGGCCTGGACACCGTGGAAACGGATTCGAGCATGGGTACGCAATGGGGACTGCGTAAGCAACTTATTCATCCAACTAGCTCAGCAGACCAAGAGGAGAGGCGACGAGTCTTTTGGAGCCTCTTCATCTTCGACTCGTTTGCGAGCCTACGGGTGAGCGGCGGCCCAGCCTTTGATGGAGAAGTAAGTACACGTATTGGATACACCAATTTCTGGTTGGATTTCCGCTGACAGAATTCAAAAAGGTCAATGTCCAGCTTCCCAGTCTGAGCGACTACCCGGATTACTCGACCGAGAGGATGCCTGGGTTGCAGCAGGTATTCGACCTGACGGAAACGGCTCCCATTTCCTCATTTGCTGCAAACGCCATCATGATCTGCATCTACCAGCGCTATTACAGCCACATCCAATCCGCATATTCAGAGGCCTCTCATGCATTCTGGGAGACGCACTATGCGATTGACAAGTCCCTCAATCACTGCCGTACGACCCTGCTGGCGCAGCACATGAACGGCAACAGTGGCGGGGACCCAACGTCCATCGCGCTGCGAATGAATCTGAACGCGCTCAAGATCAATTTGCACGAGACGGTGCTCATCAAGGTCGAGAAGGATCAATTGCCAGTGAACCTCGCGACGGATGCCGTGGCTCAATGCGTTTGTGCCGTTACCGATATCGTCCAGGCCGTCCAGCTGGGCATGCGGCTGACGGGCAACAAGTTGGAGACTTTCCGGCATTTGGACCGATTTCTCGTCTGGCCAATTACAACCTCTATTCAAGTGTGCTTCCGCATGCTTTACAATGGAGAGGACGATGCCACTCCTTACATCAACTCTCTCCGCATTCTTTCCAATGCGATGAAGGACCTAATCGACCCCGAGCATATTGCTCCGGGTTTATTGGAAAAGGCCGAAGCCCGGGTTGCCGAGGCGGCGCGGTCTACACGGAAGAAACGAACAGTTGACGACGAGCTATGAAATTTTTCTACTTGTGCATGGGTTCAATGGAAACTGTCTTCTTTCAATGAATTCTTTTTCTTTATTTTGTTTATCCGCCTAGGCCTGGGCACTTTGATTCATGATGTAATGTCCGGCTGGGGAGTATCACCGGTGGTAATGTCTATACCTGTACCCGCACTTGGTTCCTGGATTTTTTGTTGTTTCTTGTCTAGGGCGGTGTATCTGATTGATTAGCGTCACTTTGTTATTCTTTTATTGCACACTTCTGTTAGATAGCCGCAGTGGCTGCATCTTGGGTGTGTGTGTGTGTGTGTGTGTGTGTGTGTGTGTGCGTGTGCGTGTCGACCATACTTGGCTAGGTGCTGCAAGGATCAAGCTACCACACCGTCTGCACTATGCAGGTAGTAGGCCTATTATATGTACCTATTCAGTATGAAGCTAGCTTTAGAATGCCGATCAGTCCTTCTATCAAACCTTCTAGGCCATCGTGAAATAAGTCTCCCAATAGTACAATCAGTCCCAGCGTAGAGAAAAGGGGTGAATATAGCAGCACCGTTTTGGATGCTGCCGTACAAGAATATATGGTTTACTGAGGATCTGTAGAGGAATTTCATGTAATAAAGGACACACAGCTTGGGTTTTCTACTGAATAATGTAATATATCACGATCGTATTGACGTACTATCTCCTTAGAAAAGCAAGGGTGCAATTGCTAGTAGTAAAACTACCAGGTTTAATCATCTATCATTATCATGGTCGAAGTCCCCGCATGTCCTCCACTTGTGAGGCTCCTCTTTGAAATTTACACATCGCCTGTACCACAGAGGATACGAGAAACACGAATCTCAGCAAGGGGTTGACCAGTCTCGCTGATAGCAAAGCGCTGGCTGCAAGCAAACATCATGCCTTCCAGGGGCTTGTAAACCTCATGGCCTGATGTGATTGTCATTTGCTCGACTAGGCACGCACGAGATATTAGCCAAAACGGCCATGCCGGCGCTAGGGGGGGTTAGAAGCTCGAATACTCACTTCCATCTCCAAAAGGAGGAGTCTTTGCCTCGGGGGAGCCGGTGATCAGTCCAAGAATGGCCGGGGTCAGTTGGGAGACACCATTGGCCTCGAGTCGGATGGACCGGTTCTCCTTGTCTGAGATAATGCAAGAAACACTAAGGCGGGCATGGGTCTTGTCTGCATCAATGCGGAACCAGTCGTGGCCATGACTAAGAGTCATGTCCAACTTGGGCTCGAAGCCCGCGACAGACTTCAGAGTGCCCTCGCCGAGAGGCTATCCAAGTACTTTTGTGAGTGGATGTTGATTCGGCGAACTTTGAACTGAGAATTTCAAACATGGACTTACAACACCAACGAGGGAAGAACCAGTGTAGATGTCTCCACAAGGGAACTGGCCGGCAATGCTAACCTGCAAAGTGTTAGCCGCGTTGACTTATCCTGCACAAATATTCAACCATGTGTCGAATGATTTCCAAAGACGAACCCGGATGACAAAGGCCGGCTGCAGGGTGGGGAAGCTCTCGAGAGGAGCGACGAAGTCTTCAGAAGCCATTGTAGATGAGATATTGAATGAACTAAACGAGAAACTTCAATGTTCAAAGTTTAATTCTTTTCGAGAATGCTGAGAGAGTGCTGGTTGCTAGTGGGTGTTGCCTGTTCCTGGTGTGCTGCTCCAATTCCAAGGGCCTGGCCACAACAAGCATGGGTATTTATACATCTTAAAGCATACGGAGAGAGGCTCAGTCTTCATACAGGCATATCCACACGCCGGGAAACGTGCAACTATCGGGACGCCAGTTCATCAGACACCACACCTGCAGGCCTATGCGGCGCCGCTGGATCTGCGAGACAGGGGTGAGAGCGGCATCTACAAGTGTCCGCCAACCCTGTCGTAGATGCCCCGAGCCAGCCTCGGCCCGCGCTTGTATGTGCTGCTATCTGTACACCCCGAGGGCGGCGTTGGGCGAGTTCAAGGTGGTTGTGGCGTGGCATCGGGACCTGCGAGATGGAGGCCCCCACGCCGCCCTACTGGAAGGACCCTGACGGATACTTTAATGCAGGGGTTACTGACAAGCCTGACCAATGAGCGTGTTTTGCTCCGAGATGAGCGTCAGGCAACGATGCTCGGAGTCTGCTCTCCGCCATGCCGCCCCGGGCCCCACATCTCGGACTACGGTTCTCCGCAATGCCTGCCAAGTGCCGAACGCTTCCGATTTTGATAAACTTGAGGATAGCTTAATTCTGAAACTCAATTTTTTTGCGACGGCAGAGGTTAGGAGATGGAATTGTAAGTAGATGGGCGTGAAATGGGTAGGCAGCCGAAGAAAGCTTGGTGTCGGTCTCAGCGGCCTGGTCTCGGCCTTGTCTCTCTGTCAGAAAAAGAAAACTAGGCGGCAGTCAGAAACCACGCAAAACCATGAAACTTGATTTGGTGATTGTATTATACGTAATTGAAGATGAAGAAACAGAGTACCAGTGTCAAATAGCCCACGATGGCTATTTCAATGTAAAAGATGAGTTGTAGATGTCGGACAGCTTCTGCTGGAAGACAAAGAAGCCAGCAGAAATATAGATCATCACTCCATGCTCCTAAGGAATTAATATTTGTTCGAAATTAGCATCAATTTATGGACTTGAACTATTTTATTAGCCTCTGGCAATTCTCTGTCCCACTTGTGTCCTTACATCTGTGTTGTCTGTGCCGGATGCCACCCTCATTTGCGATACCATTCCCCCTATCTTTACAAGCTTGACTAAAAGTTGTGAACTACAGGAGGTCGGTGGAATTACCAAACAAAGACACATCATCCGAAGTAGGTATGACTAAAACAGCCGTCAAGATGGAAACTGCCGGTATCTTCTGCGGTTCTTCTCCGCCTACAAGCACGGTTATCGTCCAATAAGAGAGGGAAACATTGCTGATACGTATTACCCTAACTCGCGAGCGACTATAAGAAGCGTGTATACCCTTCCCAAGTTGCCACCCTCTATCGTTTCAGCAGTGTCCTTGTGATGCCTACATGTGCTACACGCGCCCAAGCCAACGGAACGTGGAGATCAGGCTTTATTCTACTCAGTCACCACGTTAATCTCGCGATCAGTATTTCTCGTTTGAATTTTTAAAATTAATACCGATTTCTTCGTTGCATTTTCGGTGTAGCCGTGCTCCATCTAGGATGCCTTAGGGTGGAAAAGGGGGGTGGATGGGAGTTCGTAGCCCCCTTTATGCCACATTAGAGCGCAGAAAGTAAAAGCTCAACTGAGTACTCTCTGTTAGTGCTTTAATGACGGCATTTATCGCACTGTACTCTCTTTTCAACCCACCTTGACGTGATGATGCACCGAAGGCTAAATATTTGCGTCTGCCTCTTCTGTGATGTGGAAAAGCTTCTTACTAGAAATGCCGGCGTACGGCTGTGAATTTTCTTTGGAGAGATACACTAGAGTACTTTCGCCTTTCTGATATCAGTAATTCGTGGCAAGTCCTGCAGACCGTAGCAATAAATATTTGGCCTAGTGGTTGCTCACCACCCTGCTCGCTGAGTCTTGTTACATTCCATACGGAGACCAGAGCGATAAGTGATTAAGATTACCGGTACTACCTATACGGAGTAATGAGACCCAGTAATCTGCAGATTTTCAGGAACCATCACACAAGTGCCTGGATCACGGCAATGCCGGCTGAGGTTAGCCTACGAAAACTCCTGGGATGTCATGTATATGCTTTGCAGATCCTGTACCCATAGCAAGTTTCATCAGACTTGTACGACCATCTGGTTGAAACCCCGATTTGTGGCAGCTGATCTAATGCAGTACCGGATCCAACAACATGCTGTGCCAGGAACAAGATCCTAAGCAATAGCCATAATTGCCAATTTGGGATACCATTGGGATACCATTGGGATACCATTGGGATACCATTTAAGGATGCTGAATCTTCACATTTATTACCAGACCACTCTTTATGAAAGCTTCATTATGGATTGAAACTACCAAGATTCAATTCACGCCCAGTATTCAACTTCTGTCAGTAGCCTACAGCGATAATACCCCATCTTTGATCATCAACCTGATAATGAGGCTCTGCACGTACTGAATCACGAGTCAACATGTGGCCTTGCGACTCAGAACCACGTGTTGCTACCATCTCTTCCAATGCGTCAAGAGCAGATCTAGGGTACCCGGACATGAATCATCTTGCATACAAGTAGACTACTGCAAGAGCCTTGAGTTACGATGGACCGCATTGAACTCGGAGATATACGAACTAGACTCAAAGTGAAACCATGGTACCTCATTTGGAATAGTTGCTCCAAATGCTACATTGTTTGAAATACCCGCGCAAAATACCATACTTAGATCTCATCCTCTCTTACATCGTACCATTGATGACACGTTCTCGCAAGACGGCGTTCCGACGAGTAAGACTATAGCCTACTCCGTATTGCTGTTCAAAAGCTCAGTCGACTACCGGATCCTCGGCGCCGCTGCCCGACATTCAGCTGGGCATCCAAATCTCCTCGTGTGGTTCATTGGGGGTATCCCAGCGTCAAGGTCTCAAGATCTCGGTGTCATTCGGATAAGTCTGCCGCAAAGTACCAATGTCGTTCCCAATTAACTGTTGCATCCACCGGCTCAGCTCAAGCCGCGCTAGACACCAACTTTCCAGAGCCATAGCGCATGGTAATAAATCGCCCTGATGCCTGGAAATGCGACGCTGATGCGTGGCTGAGCGCTGATCCAATCTCGAGTTGAAGCTGTACCTACATGAACCCCCGACCCGCCTCCACACCGGGCCGCGTTGGACGCTGCACGACCCACCCCTGTCGCGGGTTTCTCAAGTGCGCCGTCAGCTGAGGCAACCCCTGTCATAGCTATGCTGGACAACGGTTCCTTGGACAAACAATTCTCTGGATGAGTTGGAGGAAGTCTTTCGCTTCGATTGATGGTGCCGTGATCCGTTGGGCTGGAATCAGCGGTGGCCAAGGGCTCGAGACTGTTTTGTGGTGGCGTCGTCAATCCCATAGGTATAAAGAGGTCGAGCATTCTGCGTTTCTACGGTGTCTTTTTTTTTTTCAGTATCACTCTCAACAACAGCTCCAGTGGCATTCAAAAGGCATCAAAAAATCCGTTACAATGGCTTTTCAATCGGCCCTCCTTATGGGTCTGGCTGCCGTGGGAAGCGCCAGTTATCTTCCTGCAACTCCTGCTCCCGCCAACTGCAGAGTTCTTCCTGGAGATTCAGACTGGCCATCGACTTCTCTGTGGAACTCTCTCAACAAGACCATCAATGGACACTTGATCGCCGCGGTGCCTCAGGCCAGTGCTTGCCACGATGCGCCCTTCAACAATTACAATGCTACGTTCTGCGCACAGATTCAAGCTGGATGGAACGAGACCAAGTTGTACCAGTAGGTTACTAGACGCATATATTGGGAAGAGTCAACCAAATAGACTGACATAATTTCAGTATCGATTCGCCCGCTGAGTTCTTGAACATGTACTTTGAGAACTACACCTGCGACCCGTTCACTCCTCGGTCCAAGCCTTGCAGTCTGGGTAACTACGCCAGCTACATTATCAACGTCACTGGAGCTGCCGATGTCCAGGCTGGTATCAGCTTTGCCAAGCAGCACAATGTTCGCTTGAACATCAAGAACACTGGTCACGAGTGAGTAGACTAGCAACCACCATACGCTTCCATAAGAAGGAGACTAACCAGGAAATCATCAGCTACTTGGGAAAGAGCACTGGCAAGGGCGGTTTAACCTTCTGGACTCACAACCTCAAGTCCACCCAGTACATCCCCAAATACAGCTCTTCCCACTACAGCGGCCCTGCTTTGAAGCTTGGCGCTGGTGTTGAGGGTTTCGAGGCCTATCTTGCCGCTTACAACTCCGGAAACCAAATCGTTGGTGGAAGTTGCCCTACAGTCGGCATTTCTGGTGGTTACAGCCAGGGTGGTGGCCACTCTATGCTTATGCCCGCTTTTGGTCTTGCTGCCGACAACGTTCTCGAGTGGGAGGTCGTCACTGCTGATGGCAAGCACCTGATTGCCACTCCCACCCAGAACTCTGATCTCTACTGGGCCATCAGCGGCGGTGGTGGCGGCACCTTCGGTGTTGTCTTGTCCATGACTAGCCGAGTTCACAAGGACGGTATTGTTGGCGGTGCTTCTCTCGTCTTCGACGACAGCAAGGTTGGCAACGACGTTTTCTGGGAGGCTATTGGCGCTTTCCACACTCTTCTCCCCGGCCTCGTCGACCATGGTAACGGTGCCACTTACGTGCTTACTCCTCACGAGTTTCTTACTTTGGCTTTCACCATGCCCGGCAAGGATCTCGACGGTATCAACGTTCTGATGAAGCCATTCCTCGATGATCTTACCAGCCGCGGCATTGAGTACCAATACGCGCCTCGCGTTTCTCCCAGCTACTACGATCACGTCTCCTTCTATCTTGGACCCCTGCCTGAGGGTTCCTCCGACTACGCTCCCTTCACTGGTAGCCGCATCATGCCCCGAGATCTGCTCCTTGACCCCAAGCAGAACCCGATCATCATGAAAGCCCTTCGCAATGCTACCATGACTGAAGGTTATGCTCCTTTCCCCTGCCAGGCATTCAACGTCTCTTACCAGGCTCATCCCGACAACTCTGTTCACCCAGCTTGGCGAACTGGTTTGTCCATGTGCTTGACTCCTGGTGACTGGGACCCTTCTGCCCCCCCTGCTGCCATGCAGGCTCGTCAGGACTACGCCGCCAACGTCCTGCAGCCCATGATTGATGCTGTCACCCCTGGTGGTGGTGTCTACCTCAACGAGGCCAACTATAAGCAGCACAACTGGCAGGAGGCCTTCCACGGCTCCAACTACCCCAAGCTTCTCTCAATCAAGAAGAAGTACGACCCCAACTCTCTTTTCTATGCTAACACTGCTGTCGGCAGTGAGGCCTGGACTGTGGACGGCAACAACAGACTTTGCCGCTCCTAAACTTGTGGCGTTGTCTATTGACTATTGTTGGGAGATTTTGGATAGAATTGGGAAATGACATGCTTGCCCTGAGATTGAGCTGTGAGATTGGTGTGATATGGATACGCTGAGGTCTAGAGTTTTTCCTTTGCCTTCTATACTATAAACTATTTTCCTTGCCTTTAGATTAGCAATGTAGTTGTGAGACAGAGGATCAATAATAATGTTGTGTACTTGCAGAATTATGTCTATAACTCGGTGTTTTCCTTTACTGATGGGATATACAGCACACTCTATTATAGTCCAACACCCGTAGCTTCAATCTCCACTCTTTGTAATTACCGATAGACATTTAGGACTTCGTAACAAAGACAGAACCCAATGACAGATTTCCCTTTTCGGTTAGATGAACAACGAGTCAAATATTCTTTAGGATAGTATTCTAACTTAGTTTGGTCTAAGAGTTGAGAAAACATCATTGCTGAACCAAGTCTTATAGCTTGTATCGAACTAGCTTACTCAACCCTTTCAACACATTTGCTTCTTTCTTCTTTTAATCATTGCCATATTATCCACTTTGGATGTTACCGTTTTTGATACTCTGGAGTTTTCTTCTTCATTGCCACTAAGATGTTTTGCCTTGTATTATTATCTTCTCTAGTGGCAGCCCTGAGGAGCCTTTTAGCATTTGCTAGGAGATTTGTCATAAGTACAAATGAAAGCGGGAAAATTTGAAACATCGCCGGAAATATGTCAACTTCATTGTTCAATTGCTTGTGCGTGCTCTGATATAGATTTAACTGATACAGGAAAAGGCTACTACTAGAACTACCATCTTTTTCAAACTAAATATGTATGTATCATTACGTCGGCCATCATAAGTTAAACAGAAAAGAAAAGAAAAAACTACCAAACACCATATTGACACTCAGTTAAATCCAAGGGGCTTAACTGCGTTGGCGTGGCCGTTTTCTTGCTTCACAATGCTAAGCCCATCAGGGCCAACACTGGGTGTCTCAGACCCGGCGGAAACAGGGGTCATGGAACCAGAAGCGGTACCTTCGGGAGTTGCCTTTAGGCCCAATGACTGAAGGTACTCTTGCTGAATGCCCTTGTACTCGCTCGGATATGCAGGTGCGAATAGTCCTGCGAAGAAACCCTTCTTGCGGTAAGTTTTGACGCCGAGGTCGCCAAGTAGAGTATCAATGTACTGTATATAAGTCAGAATAACGTGGCAAGGTTACAAAGGGACAAAAGTCCACTCACTGGGAGGAAGTCGTAGATAGCATAAGCGTGTTTTCGGCCTTGGGCAACATATCGCTTGCCGGTCCAGGTGTTCCATTCAGCAACTTCTTGTTCCATTTCTTCCTGAGATGGAATATCGTGAAGACCGAGTAGGAAAGCTGTGCCCCAAAGGGCTTGTGTCTCAGATACTGTGGGAGTGAAAATGGAGTGGATGAATCCAGGGAAAATGACGGAACGATCTCCTTGAGCAGCGAGCTTAGGGACAATAAGTCGGCGATAGTGTCGGCTAGGACCATGCAGAAGCTTCCTTCCGCCTGCCGTCAACTCTCGTTCAAACTTCTTCTCGCCAAAGGGGCTCTTCTTGAGGTAAGGTAGAAGCTCGTCGACCGTCTTCTCAGCCTCTTCGCCGAGCTTAGCCCACTTTTCATCTTCTTCGGGGTTAGGCAGAAATCCAAGCTCTTGTTGCAGCTCTTCGCTGAAGACCTGGAATGACTTGTCGAATCCAGTGCACATGACAATGTAATCCGTCTGGAAGCTCTCGCCGTTCTTCAGATTGACAACGTTGTTGTTATCAAGTGATGCAATATCTGACCTGTGCACAGTGCAGTCGCCGCGATGGAAAGTCTTCCAGAAGAGAGGGACACTGGCTGCACCGAGGCCTGCGTTGGCCCAGAAGATTCCATTTCCTTCGGGACCGGGTCGAAGTTTCCTGGCATTTTCGGACTTGGAGTAGCCAGAGTGTCGATCAGCAATCCAGTTCACGATTAGCCAGAAGATGTAAACAAATCCCCGTCCCAGCATAGTCCTTTGGAAAAACTGGTGACCAGCACCGTCGGTGCTCATGATGCTCATGCCCATCAATGCCATGAATCTGGTGGTGACCACGTCCATGGTGTTTCTAAGGCCGAGGAGAGTCGGGGGCATGATGGCCAGCGGCCCTGATCCATCTTCTCGGATGATCCAGTTGACCTTTTTGCCAGCATTCAGCAGGAAAAAGACTGTGTCGTAGGCTGACTTGGCTCCTCCAATGACAGTGGCAGTATTGATTTTTCCAAGCGCCTCAAGATGCACACCCATTTCGGAGGAGTGGATTACGGTAGAGTTAAAGTTGTTTCTCGGCCAAGCAGGTATGACAGGGTGTGAAGTTGCTCCTGAGGCGTAGATGAGCTTCTCGCACTCAATGGGAGCTTTGCCTTCAATCTCTAGACGCCATCCGCCAGATGACAGGCGAATAACACGAGCCACCCTAGTTCGGAGACGAGTTCGGCGGACAAGATCGTAGTCCTGGGCGAAATCGGTCAAGTAGTTGTGAATTGTTTCACCAGAAACGTATCCATCGTCGGTGATGCCCTCATGTTTCATGGGATAGAAGGAATATTCGAACAATCCATGTTTGATTTGTGCGTAGAGACCCGGGTAAAGCTTATCGGTTGCCCACACACCACCGAACGAGCTCTGCTCATCGATGATAACAAGATTGGTCGTTGGCGCGAAGTCGAGGTAGGTTTTGGCAGAAATTAAGCCGTTCCAGCCTAGACGCCACACAGGTTGGCCAGTATCAGCAGTGTTTCGAGGTGCAAACCAGAGTATGTGTGTGTATTCAGAGTGTGTAGGCAGGGGTGCCGGGAATTTAGTGCTTACCAGCGCCAACAACGATAACGTCGACCTTCTCCGCTGTAGAATCCATGACTGGCGATAAACGTCTGGGGAAGCGGCGCTTATAGATCTAGCACGTGCAAAATACCAAGTTGGTTAATTGCCAGTCGGATTCATCTCCCTTGATGAGCTTCGCTGCACGATGGGCTTGCCAGTTTACTCTTTATACCAATCGATCCTCCGTCATCAAGTCCAAGAGGTGACTGCTGCTTATGATGGAACATACGAAAATCAGGGTCAGGTCGTATGATTCGCTGCTTGGAATTTAGTTTATCTGTGAGCTCAGCAAACGAATGCGAAAATCCCGGCCTTATGGCTGACGATGCCGCACGGGCGACCTCGGACCGCAGTGGGGACCTCCGGCCCGCCAGGAACTCGGAGCTCAACGGTCTTACACCAGAAGCAAGGTCAATCACTATGAACACTAAGAGGATTTCAATGTCAGCTCGGCATCCTTACAGCGCAACTGCTGTGCGTTTGCGTGAAAGATCGCGCTTCTCGTAGTTTTGCTCTCCGCAGCATGCTGGTATAAACAAAGATGCCATCCTCTCGCACGAAACAGCACGCTTACTAGAGTCGACAAAGAAACAAAACGGAACCGCTGCTTGCAGACTCTCGTACTCGTGCGTATCAACTTGCTGCTTTCGCAGTACCCTAGCACAACTTGCAAGGACAATAAAATTATACCTTTAGCCATGGCCTTGGTCGACGCTTACTACGTCTTCAGGGCCTTTACTGGCCTTGGGTTTTACTCGCAATGGATTGTCATGATGCAAAACGGCTCCTTCATGACAATGCTATGGACCAATCTGAAAGGAGTGTTTCCTACTGGCACCCCTGTCAAGACTTCCTGGACAGGCATTTGGCCCGTTGACTTTGTTCTCGGCCTGCTAGTTGTCTTTTTTGGCGCCGTCAACAACGTGGCTGACTTGAGCGACCTTGGTCCGTTCCTAATGCTGGTGGACCTGGTCTTTGCTCTGGTTGTCTTCAACATCATGACATTGGTCGAAGATCGTCGAAACAGGAAAACAGGCCCACTGAGATAGTATGTTGATTCCACTCCATCCCAACTCACATGAGTCCAGACTAATCTGTAACTGTTGATTAGCCCGGCGGTATGGCAGTTCTTGTGGAACTGGTGTGGCGCGGCTTCCGTGCTCCCCGTATATTGCCACCTATACGTGTCGAAGAGACTAGGCAGCAAGACTTCGCTCCTCTCAAACGACCAGGCCCAGGCCCTGCCACTTACGGCACTCTGGAGTATCGTCATTTCGCTCCCTCTCTTGCTCCCTTCAGCCCTGGGAGCCCAGCCGTTTGATATTCAGGATGGTGTGGTAGTCTGGTTCTTTGGCCCGTTCTTCCTGGGCCTGTTCCAAGACCTAGTGAGCGTCCTGTTTTCGGGAGAAAGCTACAAGGGCATCCGCAAGCCAGTGACTCTCGCTTACTGGATTGTTGGCCTCACCAGCGCCGTGGTCCACATTGGGGTTGCAGTGTGGGCTTACAATGCTCCCGAGTTGTCGTGGTATCGTGTCTACTGGCCTAATCATGCTGCTGTCATAGCGGACAGCCCGACTTACATGACTGAAGGCGCGATGCTCTTCATGCAGTACGACCACGTCCTCATCTATCTGTGTGTCATCGGCATGGGGCTGTATATGCTCAGTCCCCAGAAGGCTGTAACTGCTCCCTTTCTGGGAGAGAAGGTCAGGGCGGGTTGGCCGATGGTAAAGCTCACTGCCATTACCGCAGCGGCAGGGCCCGGAGCGGGGCTGGCATGGCTGATGTGCCATAGAGAAGGGGAGTTGGATGCGGCAGCCGAACAGAGGAAACGCAGATGAATAGGCGAAATGTGTTGAATACTCGTACCAGCAGAAATTGTCGTGCTGGCTCGGATGGTTAATGACCGAGAGCCTAGCCCGTACGGGCTGCATGTACTCGTAAGCGAAGTAAGCAAGGGAAGTTAACATGGGGCTGTATCGTTGGACATGGTGGATACAATAATGGAGGATTGCGGTTGAGAGGAATATTCTGGTATAATAGGCACTCCTTCAGTGTACAGATAATGCAACAAGTATGCATAAACAGAGTGATACCTTCCTAGATCATTGGTAGTTTGTAGTGGTCCTACATGTAGTTAACACACAATCAAACCTCTCTACTGGTAGTTACTGTTGGATTCCTCGCCATAGTACGACACAATCTACGTATACTCTACTAGAGAACAGGTCTCCCATATGTGTAACAAACAACCTAAAGTCTCTAAAAAAAAATTTTTTTTTTGAAGGAACTCGGATGGATTTACGTACGTAAGAGCAAATCTATTACATTAAAAGCCTGGGTAACCGTAGAAGGTGGCGAAAACGACACAGAAATCAATTGACCAGGTATTCCACTCCAACGCTGGATTCAAACGAAATTCTCCCATATACAACTTGACAACAATAAACAACCTGTAAAAATTTAACCTTTCTATTCTATCTTTTCTTTGCTATCTGATTCCTCTCCCCCATTTGATCATCACTTAGTGTTCCTCCCGGGTAATTCTAATCTTTACATGTAAGCGTCGCGGTTATTCTGGCTCCATTGTTCTTCATTTCCCATTCCGTAACCTTGATAGCACTATTCGGAACCGCTTGCTCCGCTTACTAGGTTTAGAGGATATGTGACAAATGGGTGTGTAAGTAAGTAACTTACTGGTAACCGATGCATGCATAGCAACGCAAACATGTGGCCGGGATGCATGCACCTGTCGTTTGGTAATGGTACATAATCGCCTCTGCTCCCCCCTGGGATCTAGGATAGATAAGATGAGCGCTTATTCGCGCAAACTGCGCACTCCCTCCCGGTCTCCAGGGTTTCGGAGCGGGTCGAAGCGTTGCTCGGCCTCGAGAGAAGCTGTGCTGATGGGAGTGCTAGCCCCGATGAGGCAGCCCCGATCTGATCAGTGGATACGAGGGCGCGCAATTCAAGTGCGTCTTACACCTTACAGTACGGAGGAGGATCGCCGCAGCTTTGCACGAGAAGGCTGGGGGGAGTCAAGGGCCGCGGATTGTGGGGTGCAGGGGTGAACAATGGCGAGGCCCTCGTGGCTCTCTGGGTTGTAACCAAGTGCCCTCAGCTCGCTCCAGGCAAGCCAGAAGTGCAACGCTAGACTGGAGGGCTTCCTACCGTACATGCAGAAGACCCTGCATCTTCTACATCGACATTTGCCCCGCTGGGCGGAACTGATACTAGCATACTCGGCGATCCGTATGTTCGCACTCCGCGAGGCGTATGGAGTCATCTCGGACAGCTGGAGCTTGTAACGAAACCGCCGTGCTTACACTTGGCCACGGCTTATCGGAAATGCGCAGCGCAGTATCTGTCTATCGGATTGAGAGGCAGACGGGCACCGCTCCGGAGCGGCATACGCCGTAGTAGAAGCATAGCCGCAGATTCCTGAGATATGTGATAGCCATGTAGGAGTCAACAATGAAAGAGAATAGGTATAATAGCCTCGTCCTGGCCGCTTCCAGAGTGAACTGAATTCTCTCCATCCTCCCCACAAGATCAATCAACTTACACACAGCCTTGGTGCAGAGCACCCTCGCAAACAACTCCAGAAGCTCCAAAGCCCCCCCGAATCTTCTTTTCGAAAGCTTCGATTTCGTTTTGAAAACGCAACTCGACAAGTCAACCCCACCTGAATAACTTTTGTATCCCCCAAATACAATTACTATTCAAGACTTCAAGATGCCTGCCGTTACTCGAAACGCTAGCCCTTCTTCCGAGTCGTCCTTTGACGGTCTTCGCGGCTCTACGTCCCCATCCAGCGCTGCTTCTTCTGCTGGCGATGACGAGTATGCTGCCGCTTCTTTCCCCGACTACGCGGAGAAGCCTCTCGATGAACAATTGGAGCCAATTGCTGTTGTTGGCATGGGTACGTATTGCTCACTCACTTAATACACTCTTACTCACTTTTGAGTTTCACCTTTTATGATTTTCGTGGATCAAGTTACTAACATTGCTACCCTTACAGGTTGCCGTCTGCCCGGCGATGTCAAGTCTGCTTCCGACTTCTGGGACCTCATGATGAGCAAGGGCACTGGTAACACGCCCAAGGTCCCCTCGACTCGATTCAACATCGATGCCCACATCCACAAGAACAATGACCGACCTGGAAGCTTCGGTGTCCTTGGTGGATACTTCCTCAAGGATGATCTTGCGGACTTCGATCCCGGTTTGTTCGGTATCACCCCCGTCGAGGCCATGTGGATGGACCCTCAACAGCGAAAGCTGCTCGAGGTTGTCTACGAGGCTCTCGAGTCCGGTGGTATCTCTCTCGAGAAGATTGCTGGCACTCGAACCGCCGTCTTCGCCGCCAGCTTCACTGCTGATTGGCAGCAGATGGCCTTCAAGGAGCACTCTTTCCGTCACAGCTTGGCTGCCACCGGTGTCGACACCGGCATCATCAGCAACCGCATCAGCCACGTCTTCAACCTCAACGGCCCCAGCATCATGTGCAACACTGCTTGCTCATCTTCCGTCTACGCCCTGCACAACGCTTGCAACGCCCTGCGAAACAAGGAGTGCGAGGGTGCCATCGTTGGTGGTGTCAACCTGATCATCACCGTTGACCAGCACATGAACACTGCCAAGCTTGGTGTCTTGTCCCCCACTTCGACTTGCCACACCTTCGATGCCTCCGCTGATGGATATGGCCGTGCTGACGCTGTCGGTGCCGTTTACCTGAAGCGTCTCTCGGATGCCATCCGTGACGGTGACCCAATCCGTGGTGTTATTCGATCCAGTGCTACCAACTCCAACGGCAAGGTCCCTGCTGCTGGTATCACCCATCCCAACCGTGATGGTCAGGCTCATGTCATTGCCGCTGCCTACAAGCGCGGTGGTGACCTCGACCCCCGTCTGACTGGTTACTTTGAGTGCCACGGTACCGGTACCGCCGTCGGTGACCCTCTCGAGGTCAACGCCGTCTCCATTGCCATGAACCAGGATCGCAAGCCTGGTGAGGAGCCTCTGTGGATTGGCGCAGTCAAAACAAACATTGGCCACTCTGAAGCTGCCAGTGGTCTGTCTGCCCTCATCAAGGCCATCATGATTGTCGAGCGTGGTGTTATCCCCGCCACTCGCGGTCTTGTCAACCCCAGCCCTGCCATCAAGTGGGATGACTGGAAGGTCAAGGTCCCTACTGATGCCGTTGCCTTCCCTCGCCACCTCCCCGTCCGTCGTGTTTCCATCAACAGTTTCGGATACGGTGGCACCAACGCTCACGTTATCGTTGAGGGCGCCGACTCTCTGACTCGCAACGCCCCAGCCTACACCTTCGTGGACAGCTGGGCCAAGCAGCCAAAGACCACCGGTCGCCGCCGTGCTCTTGAGCGTAACCGCCCCTTCCTGCTGCCCTTCTCTGCTCACGACAAGGCCACTGTTCGCCGCAACATTGACGCCCACGGCAAGGTTGCTTCCAAGTACAGCCTGCTTGATCTCTCCTACACGCTGGGCAACCGCCGTAGCAACCTTGCCAGCAAGGGCTTCGCTGTCGCTAGCTACAACTCTCTGACCAAGGTCTTTGAGAATGTCGGCGAGAACTTTAGCTTTGCTGATAAAAAGAACATCCGCTCTGTCGGCTTTGTCTTCACTGGCCAGGGTGCTCAGTGGGCTCGCATGGGTGCTGACTTGATGGCTTACTGCCCTTCGTTCCTCCGCTCCATTCGTGCTCTTGACCTCGTCCTTGAGGAGCTTCCCGATGGCCCCGAGTGGTCCATTGAGGATGTTCTCCTGGAGCATGCTGAGACCTCCCCCATCAGCGATGCCGAGTTCTCTCAGCCCCTCTGCACTGCTATCCAGATCGCCACCGTTCAGCTGCTCCGATCCTGGGGCGTCACCCCCAAGGTCACCGTTGGCCACTCTTCTGGCGAGATTGCCGCTTCCTACGCTGCTGGCCTGGTCTCTGCCGACGAGGCCATTGTTGCCGCCTACTACCGTGGTAAGGTTGCTCGTGATGTCAACACTGGCGGTGCCATGATGGCCGTTGGCCTCGGCGCCGAGGCTGTTGAGAAGTACCTGGCCGAGTACCAGGGCAAGGTTGTAGTTGCTTGTCACAACTCCCCTGCTCTTGTTACTCTGTCTGGTGACGGTGATGCTCTCGAGCTCGTCCGGGCCAAGCTTGACGCTGACGGTGTCTTTGCCCGTCCCGTCAAGACCAACGGCAAGGCCTACCACTCTCACCACATGGCTCCTGTCGCCGAGAAGTACGAGGCGATGGTCCGAGCCACCAAGGAGAAGGTCAAGGGCAGCCTTCCTCTGGCCACCGACGCCAAGATGGTCTCGTCTGTTACCAACAAGATCCTCGGCGATGAGGATGTCGTTGACGAGACTTACTGGAGTGCCAACCTTCGCAGCCCTGTCCTGTTCGACCAGGCCGTCACCACCATCCTGGCTGCTGAGGAGTTCTCTGATGTCGACCTGTTCATCGAGATTGGCCCTCACTCCGCCATGGCCGGCCCCATCAAGCAGATCAAGGCTGCTGTCAAGAACGACAAGATTGATTACATCCCTACTCTCTTGCGTGGCAAGAACTGTGCCGAGCAGCTCCTCAAGACTGCCGGTGAGCTCTTCCTCCGCAGCTACCCCGTGAACATGGAGAAGATTGCCAACGCCTACGTCGACCAGCGCGGTGCCAACGGCAAGGCCCTCAAGGGCAGCACCATTGTCGATCTCCCTCCCTACCAGTGGAACTACACTCGACCCTTCTGGGCCGAGAGCCGTAGCAGTCAGGAGCAGCGTCTGCCCAAGTACCCTCGTCACGATGTCCTCGGGCAGCTGGTCGTTGGTAACTCGCTAGCTGAGCCCACCTGGCGCAACATGCTCCGTATCCGCGATCTGCCTTGGCTCAAGCACCACCACCTGGGTGGTGAGTCGGTCTTCCCTGCTGCCGGCTACTTCGCCATGGCCATTGAAGCCATCCGCCAGATCAACGAGACGAGTGCTAGCCCCGTCAACATCGAGAGCTATGTTCTCCGCGACGTGTCCATAAAGACTGCGCTCGTGACCCCCGATGACGACGATGGCATTGAAGTCCTCTTCAACATGCGCCCATCCATCATCGGTGCCGGCTGGTGGGACTGGAACGTCTCATCCGTCGACGCTGAGCGTGTCAAGAAGGACCACATGTCCGGCAGCATCAGCATCAACACTCGCCCTCGCGGCAAGACTCCTCGCTCTGTCCCCCATCTGCCTCAGCGTGCTACTGGCAAGGCTTGGAACCAGGCTCTGCGCGAGGTTGGCTTCGACTACGGCCCGACCTTCCAGGACATGGATGACATTCGCTTCGATGGCCGAAACTACCAGGCCGCCTCTTCGACCAACATCAAGCAGTTTGTTGATGAGACCCTGGGCGAGTCCCGATACATCCTGCACCCTGCTGTCATTGACTCTACTCTGCAGCTCGCCATCGCTGCCATCTACGCTGGTCGCACCAACGCCATGGAATGTGGTGTTGTGCCCGTCCAGGTTGATGAGGTCGCCATCTGGCCGCCCACCGAAGAGCAGCTCAAGGTGCAAAAGGCCTCCGCCTATGCCACTGTCCACCGCCGTGGTCTCCGTACTTCGGAGAGTAACGTCCAGATGGTTGCTGCTGACGGCGAGTTGATCATGGAACTCACCAACATGCGTGCCACTGCTTACGAGGCGGCCGTTCCTCAGAAGGCTGAGAGTGCTCTTGAGGAGGCTCCTTACGGCGAGATGTCTTGGGTACTTGACGTCGACGCTGTTGAGAACAGGGCTGGCCTCAGCGCTCCTGAGCTGGTCAACCTTGCTCTCTTCAAGTACCCCAGCTACAAGTCTATTGAGCTGGGTGCTAAGAACGCTGCTGCCATCCTCAGCCAGAACCCCCAGGCCTCTTACACCATCGTCGCCGTCTCCGAGGAAGAGGCTGAGGCTGCCAAGCCTATTGTTGCCCCTTACCACAACGCCAAGATTGTCATTGTTGATCCCAGCCAGGAGCTCGAGACCCAGGGCCTCAAGAAGGAGTCTTTCGATATCCTCGTCGCTGGTGGCGCCGTGTCCCTGGACAGCCTCTTGAAGGCCGGAGCTACTGCCATTGGCGCCGGCGTCTCTGTCGCCAAGAAGGCTGAGGAGGCTACCAAAACCGACAAGCACTCTGTGCAGCTGGTATACCGCACCAGCCAGAGCTCTATTGTCTCTCCTGTGCGAACTGCCCTCGAGGCTCTTGGTTGGGAGGTCACTCTCTCCAGCCTCGAGGCTTCCCTGACCTCTGCTGTTCCTGAGCATGTCGTCGTTCTGGCTGACTTTGAGAGCCCTGTCCTGTTCACCCTGAAGGAGCAGGAGTTTGCTGCCATCCAGAACATCATTGCTAAGACCTCTAACCTTCTCTGGGTCAGCACTGGTGCTATTCTCGAGGGTAAGAAGCCGGAGTATGCCATGATCTCTGGCCTTGCTCGTGCCATTACCTCCGAGCAGGCTTCTATTGACTTCCGCACCCTTGACGTCGATACCGACAACGTCAAGCCCGAGCAGACTGTCAAGGCCATCACCAAGATTGCCCAGCTCCAAGTGGCCAAGGCTGAGGAGCTTCCCGAGCGGGAGTTTGTCCTGTCCAACGGCAAGACTTACATCAGCCGACTTGTCCGCACCAAGGGCCTGAACAATGTCTACACTGGAGCCAACAAGGCTGAGGATGTCAAGTTCACCTTTGGCGAGCGCATCCACGGCAAGGCTCTCCGCAACAAGGTTGTGTTCCAGAAGGAGGACTCCGCCCCTGAGGTCAAGCCTGGCCATGTTGAAGTTGAGGTTCTGAGCAGCGGTCTCACCAAGGAGGGCGTTCTCGTCATCAACGGTGTTGACTATGCCACCACCTTCAGCCACGAGATTGGCGGTGTTGTCAAGCGTGTCGGATCTGGCGCCTCTGGCTTCCAGGTTAGTGACAAGGTTGTTGGATTCAGCATTGGCCGCTTTGACAGCTACCAGCAAGTCCCGACTACTCTGCTTCACAAGGTTGCCAGCTCGGATGATCTCACCGGCATTGTCAGCAGCCTGACTGCTTATGCCGCTGCTCTGCACGGGCTCCAGACTCTTGCCTCCGTCCAGGACGACGAGAACGTTCTCGTTCTGAGCAACTCTGGCTTCGCTGGTGCCGCCGCCATCAAGGTTGCTCTGCTTAAGGGCGCCACCGTCTATGCCGTGGCCAATACTGACGACGAGGCCGCCTTCCTGCAGAAGCAGTTCGGCCTCAAGACCGAGAACATCCTCCGTCCTTCCAACGGCCTGGTTTCTGAGCAGCTCGAGAAGCTCACCAATGGCCACGGCGCCGATGTTGTCTTCAGTGCCGGCAGCGTTGACTCTAGCGATGCTCACGAGGCATGGCGTACTATTGCGCCTTTCGGTCGCTTCGTTGACAGCGGTCGCAAGGATAACCTCAGCCGCAACGTCCTTGACGGCATTCCCGTCCAGAAGAGCGCCAGCTACCTTCCCTTCGACATCATTGAGGCTCTGGGTTCCAAGCCCAAGCTTCTGTCTAGACTCCTGCCTGCCATCGTCGAGATTGCTAAGCAGCCTTCTGCCGCTCCTGGCGCTACCAAGGCCATCGAGCTGGCTGACCTTGACAAGGCTGTTGCTGCTTACTCCGATGCCTTTGGCTCGGTCAAGTCTGTTGTCGAGTACCAGGCCTCCGTGACGCCCATCCAGACTCTGCCCACCCGCACTAAGCTTCAGTTCAGCGCCGACTCTACTTACCTGCTTGTCGGATGCTTGGGCGGTCTCGGTCGTAGCTTGACCTCGTGGATGATGGAATCTGGAGCTCGCCGCTTCACCTTCCTCTCCCGATCTGGTGCGGACTCACCCTCCGCTGCCAAGCTGGTCGCCGACCTTGAGGCTGCCGGAGCCATCGTGCAAGTTGTCCGCGGTGACGCCACTTCCCGCGACGATGTTGTCCGTGCTGTCAACAGCATCCCTGCCCAGTTCCCTATCAAGGGTGTTGTCCATGCTGCCATGGTTCTGAGAGTAAGTTGACAATCTGAAGGTCTCAAAGATAGGATTAACAATGACTAACCTTAATCAACAGGATGCTCTCTTCCACTCCATGACCTATGAGGCCTGGAAGCAGTCTACTAACCCCAAGGTTGTCGGTGCCCAGAACCTTCACTCCGTTCTAGCCGAGACTCCTCTTGACTTCTTCGTCATGACCTCTTCCGTCTCGGGTATCCTGGGTACTCCCGGCCAGGGCAACTATGCTGCTGCCAACGCCTACCTCGACTCCCTTGCTCGCTTCCGCCACACCCAAACCAAGGCTCCCGCCACCTCTGTCGTCCTTCCTATGGTTCTCGGTGTTGGTGTCGTTGCTGAGAATGTCGAGCTTGAGGATGCCCTTAAGCGCAAGGGTATGTATGGTGTTGATGAGGAGCACCTTCTCCAGTCCTTCGAGGCGGCCATGATCTCCAACACTCTGGAGACTGTGCCTGACCACGTTGTCGTCGGTCTTGATCCCGCTCTCCTGCAGAAGGCTGTCAATGATGCCGCTGCTGTGGATAGCTTCTGGCTCGAGGACGCCCGCTTCAGCCACATGGTCCACGACATCAACTCCTCCGCCGATGACGCCGGTGCTGGTGCCGGTGGCCAGAGCATTGTTGCTACCATCAAGGCCGCCGAGACCCTCGCCGAGGCCATCACTGCTGTCAACGAGCACTTTGTTGACAAGCTGGCTCGCATGCTCATGCTCAACCCCGAAGATGTCGACCCTGAGAATGGTTCCATTGCCTCTTATGGTATTGACTCCATGATTGGTGCTGAGCTGCGAAACTGGATCTTCAAGGAGTACAAGATGGATGTGCCCTTCCAGCAGCTGCTTGGACCTACTCTGACCATCTGCAAGTTTGCCGCCCAGGTCTGCGCTGCCCAGGGACGTGAGGCGTAAGAGGACGATGCTATAATGATGAAAATAGTTCGGTCAACGGAGATGGATTAAACGCTGTGGGGGCGTGCAATCACATTTCCATGATCGACCAAAAAAAAAGAAGTAATAGATTAAATAGTTTCATTATTTTCCTTTTTTCCATTAGCATATCGATATATCAATTCTCTTTTCTTCTTAATATATAGACAGTCAGTTTGATAGTTTATGAATAAAGCGTTTTTTTTTTTTTTTTTGGAAACTAATTTTGCTCCAAGTATTGTTTCGCCTTTCTTTCTAGGCCCAGGCAAATGTCCGGATTTGTTGACAATAGAGACTTGTCTCTAAAGTAGATACCAAATGAGCCACTCAATCACAAGCTCGATAGTGAAAATAAATTCAAATAGGTCGTTTCTAGTTCTATCATTCGACCTTTACTTGAACCTCCTGCCATAGCGTGTCCGGTAAATTCCTCCTATCTACATCAAAGATGTGTGGTAACACCGTCGGCAGTGCTTCTGATCGTAGTTCCGGAAAATCCCTCTCGATCACCGCCAGCAGTTCATCATACCAAATCCTGTAGCCTTCTCCAGTGAGATGAACGCCATCTGTCAATAACTCCTTCAGCACTGTTCCCCCCGTGCCCGATTGACCCGGCACTGGCTGCCCTTTCTTCCATCCTACCCGCTCCATCATCGTATGCCACATGTCAATGAACGGTACACCACAGCGTGCCGCAACATCCTTGGCTGCCTCCGAGTATCTCAGGTTGTGCATCACTCTGTTGTAGAGGGGAGGCTCCAGCATATCTTCATCCACGGGACCTGGTCCCACCACTAGGACTCTCTCGACGCCGGATTTCCGTGCCTGTTCCACAATCCATTCGAGATTCTCGCGATATGTTTCTACCGGCACGGCTTGTATGTCGCGCTCTGATGCATCGTTCGTGCCAATTTCCACCACCAAGAGTTTGATTGTCTCTCCAGCTGCAGTCTCTGCCCGCAAGGTGGGCAGCAGTACGTGTTTCAGATGCATTGAGCTGTAACCTCCATACCCACGCGCAACCACGGAGAGCTTTCGGAAATAATAATGCTGCAGAGCGGGTGTGAGAGAAAAAGAGAGTGAGTGAATATCGCTACTGAGTTCTGTAAGGGAGTCTCCAAAGATGAGGATTTTATCGTGCGTGACTCGGCGGATAGCCAGGGCTGACGGCTCGTTGCTTCCGCCAACTGCCATCCTGCTTCGTTATGACGATTGGTTCTACAGTTGGAAATCGCCAATGTGCGCTGATATACGTTTCAAGAGCAATTGTGCGTATTGGGGCATTCCGGATGATAGAAATTCTTCAAGGGCGCCTCGGATTAATTCTTGGTGATATACTCGGCAAGATACATTGGACTAAGTTAAATGGCGGGGCTAAGATGACAGCTAATGGCCAATTCAACGCTGTCTACATGTATACAGCTCCACATTGAGCGATAGGTTCTCAGACTGTCAAGATAATTCAACTTCTATGTAATTCTAAGATGGTTTCACGATACTTCTAAGGGATAATTTATCCCATTTGCGTTGTTCTTCGTCCTAACTCGAGCAACAATGTCTTCAGTCACCCGGAGCTTGGTAGGACATCATCCACTTGGTGAAAAGAATGAAGAACAAAACTCCAGCATCTTAGAGGCTTTGTGCTCCCTTCACTTACTATGAGTATATATATCCATGTAGATGCTGAAATGGTCTGTCATTTGCCTACCCAAAGTCCGCCATGTATCAAGCCTCGTCCTCAGGGCTGAACCAACCAAGCCCTGGAGTAAGCGCTATTGGAAAATGCCCGGAGACGGACAATTCCTCCGACTCTCAGATCTAGATTCCAACGCTCAAATATGCGCGATGCTTCCGTCAGTGGATCAAACGTGCTTATATACCCGATATATATGGAGCATGACTTTAGTAGAGTTTATTTGTCTGCCAACAGGCGGAGCAAAGAAATGAGGGGGAAAAGAGGCCATAAGAATGTTACGAGTAAGCACTTCCCTCGATGCTGATCCACATTCTACCGTCTCACTCGCCCTGCTTCGCCTGCCGGAGCTCAAGCCACTCAGAAGCTTGTTTACGAGCATTTTCAGATATCATCATGGATAAGTAAGTAAGTGTAGTAAAGCTTTGACGACCAAGACTCGGCTTCTTACCCTGGCCTCAGTTGTACAAACGACGGCTGATTTCCTCGTTTGGATTCATCACGTCATATTCACAAGCTGACGTACAGACCTACCTCGGCTTCAGCTCTCATAAAAGTGAGACATACGATACGTGGACAAATGCTAACACGGAGTATGACCTAGTACAGCATATAAAACACAGCCTTCCCGGCTTAAACAGCTTCGTCAAGCCCCCGGGTTCGTGCCGTCCCCCGCATCTATGGCTGGTAATGATTAGCCCCAACATGTGAAGATCGCACTAGCAGCACACATGACGGACATCAGTTCGAGTCCGGGGGGGACAATGAGAATCGTGTTGCCGAGAGCGGAAAAGAAGCGATTCGCGACGGCCACTCGATAAGATTCGACACCCGTTCGTCGAGACATCACCATCACCATTCCATCAGTCGAAACGTGTAATAGGTTACAGTGAGACACAACGGGAAATGTCTCTCACCTTTGGTCGCCTTGAGGGATAGACCAGGGTGTCTCGGTATGGCGCCATGTCGTAAATCGCGGGTGAACCATTGGGGTCTGGGGTATTGCTAAACCATGCCTAGTGCGTGCGGAGACACAGCTTTTCGACTTGTTTGTGGGAGCACCAAACGGGACCGGGCGAGGTTGAGCGGTCCGTCTGCAGCGCTTGAGTTGGTCCGTCTCTCCTCTCCTGCTTGCCGCTACCAGACGTAGTGCTGTGTAGTGATCCCCGATGGCTCCGTATATAGCCGCTCTATGACCACTCTTAGTTTGTCATAATGAAATGATGTCCTGATAGCCGAGGGTGTCAGTGCTTTTTTCCCTTTTCCTAATTTTTATTCTCGCAATATCCATTGTTGACTCATTCAGCATAACCTCCAATCCACATGCCACTTCGCTGACATCGTCACAATGCAATTGTCTCTGGCAGCGGGCATTGCGGCCGCGGCGTTGGCTTTTGTCTACGTCGTGAACCTGATCCTCGAGAGGGTCCGATACAGAGCCCGGTCCAGGGAACTGGGATGCAAGCCCCCCGTGTGGATGTCGGGTTATGACCCGACAGGCATTGCCGATATTGTCTACGGCGTGGACGCGAGCCGCAAGAAGCGATTCCCTATCCACGCTGCCAGCAACTTTGCACGCGAAGAGAAGAAGCATGGCCGCCCAGTGGGCACGCTGCGTGTTAAGACGCCTCTTTTCCGAGACACCTTGGTGACGACCGATCCTCAGAACATCCAGACCATCCTTGCGCTCAAGTTCAAGGACTTTGGCCTGGGTGTGAACCGGACCGAGAACTTTGAGCCACTGCTGGGACACGGCATTGTAAGTTTACGTACCGTAGTTTGACGAACGCTGCTGACTGCTTTTTTGCCTGCAAGTTTGCGACAAATGGCAAGCAATGGGAGCACTCTAGAGCCATGCTGCGTCCGCAGTTCATCCGTGGCCAAGTCAGCGACCTTAACCTTGAAGAAGAGCATGTCAAAGCTCTGATGACGGTGCTCAATCGTCGGGTCGGTCCGGATGGATGGACTAATCTAGTGGACGTTCTGCCTCTCTTCTTCCGCCTCACACTGGATTCCGCAACCGAGTTCCTCTTTGGAGAGAGCGTCAACAGCCAGCTCGATCAAGTCCACCCCACGTCTGAAAAGGACGGCAACTTTGCATATGCTTTTGACAAGGCACAGTATAATCTATCGATCGGGGCTCGTCTGGGGCCCAATTACTGGGTCGTCCACACTCCCGAGTTTAAACGCATGGTTAAAAGGGTCCACGCATATGTCGATTACTTTGTTCAAAAGGCTCTCGTCCAGGGCGAGAAAATGCCCGTGAATGAAGACAAATACGTCTTTCTCAATGCATTAGCCAAAGAAACCCGAGATCCCGAAGAACTACGGTCCCAGCTTCTCAACATCTTACTTGCCGGCCGAGACACCACTGCGTCTACACTGGGATGGTTCTTCTACACCATGGCCGATCCCATGTATGCGTCCGTATTCCGACGGCTGCGAGCAACCATTTTGGAAGAATTCGGAACATATTCCAATCCCAAAGAAATCACATTTGAGAAGATGAAAGGCTGTCAATATCTCCAATGGTGCCTGAATGAATGCCTTCGTTTATATCCCGCAGTGCCGATGAATGTTCGCACTGCACAAGTAGACACAACGCTGCCTATTGGCGGCGGCCCAGACGGACAATCGCCAATTTTCGTGCCAAAGGGCCAGGACGTTGGTTATTCGGTAAGCGACGATTTCAATGCACCCAAAATCTCAATGTAGCGTGCTAATATGGTTGTTTAGGTTCATTTGATGCACCGCCGCAAGGATATTTGGGGTCCTGATGCCGAAATCTTCAAGCCGGAGAGGTGGGAGACACGCAGGCCAGGTTGGGATTATCTTCCCTTCAACGGAGGACCAAGAATCTGCATCGGCCAACAGTTTGCGCTGACCGAGGTCGGCTATGTTGTCATCCGATTGATGCAGCGCATCGACAGCATTGATGGCTCACAGGTTGGCCCTATCAAACACGGCCTGACTTTGACCAACTGCCCTGGCGAGGGAGTTAATGTCAAGCTACATTTTGCTGAGTAGATATGGCCATCTTACGAAAAAAAAATTAGTTTTCTTTCTTTAATCATTTTCGATTATTGTTGTATTTGCTATGCTGAAGACGAAGAGCAGAGCGGTGGGATGAGCCTACCAAGCTGTTAGGCAAATGTGAGCCGCGGAGCGAGCATTAACTACATTATTCATCCAATTTTAACTAGGAGTATTGCACTCGAATTGGGCAAAGATTAATGACTTTTTATACTATTCCTATCTCTGTCTATCTCATGGATTCTCTCTATTTAAGCCGAGGTTAACTCTCGAGCGGAGAACTTTCTCAACTGCATAAAAAAGATTTTATCAACCAATGCCCGCATCCCTATATAAAGATTGGAGATAAAGGACCGTACAAGTACCACTTTCAATGCACAAAACATTAGAGTAAATCTATCTAGTGTCTCAATAAGACTATCGGACAAGTCGTCAATATCGCGAGCGCTCTACGCTTTTGTATCGCCCGTCGAGTTGGCGTAATGGTCACTCTTCGTGTCAAATGCATTATTGTAAGCAATTGTCTATGCTCCCATTAAACAATGATTTACTTAGACCCTGTATTCAAGATATCTTATTAGGTTATTTCACTGCGCAACCATGTCTCAAAATCTCGAATAAGTTATAAAGGAACTCATGCAATGGTCAGCACAATTAGAAACGAGTCTGTTCAATTTGAGTTATTCCGGAATATAAATTGTCCGCCAAGTGTGCTTTTGTACAAATTAAAGTCTCACACCATTTCGCATGATCCGCTGCGCTTTGGCTCGTAATTCTCCGACTTGGCGATTCACAGTACGACTTTGCAGTACGGATTAGCATCCTCTGGGAATTAAGCTTGGTTCTAAATGCTGATTCTTACAATCTGAAGACAAGAAATCGCGGGGAAGACCAAACGAATTGGAGAAATATAGTTTCTTGTAGTTGTAAATAAACCCATCCGAACCTTCTCCTCAGCTAACTATTGGCTCGGGCTTCACACTCCGGTCAATTGTGGTACAAGGCGAAAATGGCGCAAAGGTTTATCCAAAAATTCACCTGTACTTTCGCCTAGCCCGTCTTGCCCTTTATGCTAGGGAAGATCCATACTTTTATACTAAGTGAACCACTCCGCTTGGCTGTGCAGTGGCGTGAGCCGTACACGAGCTTGCGTGGAGTTTTTTTCGTCTTTACCTCACTGCTTTACCTCGCATGTGATCGTACGCTGATAAAGGCACTGACATGTTAGCCTTAGCCAGGGGAATTGGCTGATCCTTGTCTCTCTCGGAAAGTCTTCTTTGGTGGTATTTTAGAAAGATGGATCTGCATCTGATGTGCCACTTCATCAGTGGCAGGAAACATTGGCGGACATCTTCCATCATCTCCATTATGCTAGGGGGAACAAAACAGTTAGGGTAGGTATCTCAGCTCCTCCATTAAAACAGCCCTCCTCACTGGCGGAAATAGTTGAAACGCCCTAAGAAACAAGAGACTCAGGGCTTTCGTTGGTCATTGCTGGCGGGGACGGTCCACCGCGATCGGCCGGGCTGATCCCCTCTTCCTGGGGCTCTTTGTTGCAGATCGCCAAAAGGCCTCACCAGGTCTGTTTGACCTTTTGAACAATGGGCTCATGTCAGATGAGGATCTCCGATACTGTAGCATGTCAAGCATGTGAAATAAAGTTCAGCGTGCTGATTTGAGCATGAGTTACCCTGTTCCTGGACCCTTGGTGGCACCTCTATTTCCGGATGGCACAAATGACAGTAAATAGAAGACTCGCTCTCAGACAGCCTTGAAACCATGCTTAATGCTCCGGGGCCGATCTAAAGCTGAGATTGGCCTATATTCTCCGACAGCATAGCTCTTGGCATTCGATCTCTAACTGTAAAACACACAAAGAGTGCCGGTCCGCATTAAGGGCACTATTCGGGTCAGCTTTGGTCGCCTCCACAGGCTCCACGGCCTCCACGTCCTGTCCATTGCGCTTGTTACTAGCAAGTTGGAGGATGACTTCCGGACTGACTCGCAAAAGTTCATGAATCTCTTTGCATCCAGCTGCCAAATTAGGCTGCTTAAGGAGGCGCTGCAGCATGTAGTAAGATCTTACAAGTAGTTTTCAATGTCTATCAAAGCAACCTCACGTCGTCTTGTGCATTCCGACCTTCTCTTCTTATACTAACCCCCTGATATTCGCGATATCAAAAGGACTTTCGTGATATCTCGTATATGTTTTATCGTGTTGTTTCTTGTTGGAAGTTATTGCTGTCGATCCCCCTAAAGACAGAAGATAAATAAGGTGGACAATCTCGCCTAGAGCCCGGGTAATTAGAAGTCGTTCACCGCAGCATCACGAGAATCCTTTCTGATCAGTTCTTATATATTCAGCCCAGTTTCTCTTTCTTGGAACATATTCTTTTCTTCCACATACCTCAAAATGCAGCCCATCACATTCGGCAGTTTCCTTGTCACATTCCTGTCTGCCTCTATGGCAGCAGGTAGTGCTATTCCCAACGCCATCTCTACCTCTGGCTTTTTCGAGATCAAGAGAACTGAGAACAAAGGCTTCACAGGCCGCAATGGCCCTCTAGCTTTGGCCCGCGCTTACGCCAAGTATGGCGTTCCAGTTCCCAAGGCGTTGATTGAGGCTATTGAGCTCGTCAAGTCAACCCAGCTTATCAAGCGCGGCGGCAACGGCAACGTCACCGCTACACCCGATGGTGATGACCTTCAATATCTGGTCCCCGTCCAGATCGGCACTCCTCCTCAGACACTCAACTTGGATTTTGATACCGGTAGCTCCGACCTCTGGGTCTTCTCTTCCGAGACAGACACCAGCTCCTCTCAGGGCCATGGCGTCTACAACCCATCCAAGAGCACTTCGTCCAAGAAATTGGATGGCGCAACTTGGAATATTACTTATGGAGACCAATCGTCATCCTCTGGAGACGTCTATACCGATGTCGTTACCGTCGGAAGCCTTACTGTGAAGACCCAGGCGGTTGAGTCTGCTCAGCAAGTTTCGGCGCAATTCGCCCAAGGCCACAATGATGGTCTCGTGGGTCTCGCTTTCAGCTCCCTTAACACAGTCACGCCTACTCCTCAGAAGACCTGGTTCGACAACATTGTCGGCAGCCTTGACTCTCCTCTCTTTGTTGCCGATCTCCGCCACGAGGCTCCTGGCAGCTACATCTTCGGCGCCGTCCCCTCTGCTGCAAGCAATATCCTATATGCCCCCATCGACAACAGCAAGGGCTTTTGGCAATTCAGCACGAGCAGCGATATCGGCGGAGAGTTCGATGCTATTGCTGACACTGGCACAACTCTTGTTCTGGCTGGTGACGACCTCACCAAAGCCTACTACCAAAAGGTCCAGGGTGCCCGCCTGGATACAGTGCAGGGAGGCTATATTTTCGGCTGTAACACCACTCTGCCTGACTTCACATTCACTGTCGGAGAGGGTAAGATCACAGTTCCCGGTAGTTTGATCAACTACGCCCCGGCCGGCAACAATGAGTGTTTCGGTGGTATCCAGCCCTCTGGTGGCCTGCCTTTCACTATCCTTGGTGATATCGCCCTCAAGGCTGCCCATGTCATCTTTGACAGTGGCAAGACTCAGATTGGCTGGGCACAGAAGAAGTAAGCGGTGCCTGCTGTGGTTCGGATTTTAAGCAAGTATAATTTCTCGGTAGCCAATAAGGATGCGGTTGGAGGAAGATAATATGGATCACACTGAAAGCGAGCTGGGAGTTGTTCTCATGATCTGATACAATTGTTATATTCTGTCAAATGTAAATTATTTTACAGTTATGTCAATACATGTAATAACATAGTCTACTGAAGATAGTGGAGATTTAGCACATGGCATCTAATATTTACAAACATACTCTGTCATCCGACAAATTGTGCTTTGTAGGGTATCCAAAGGTGTCAACTTGAGTACACTGTAGTAAGATTCTTCAAGCCAACATGGCTATTGCCTCCTTCGCAAGCCACATAACCATCCACAAAACCGAACCAGCCATGCTTGGAGAACATGTAATTCCCTCAATAGTGGCTGAATCCATTCTGGTTCTGCTTCCAACGTTGCGGAGCTCCCCCGTTCCACTCATCGCCCAGTCCTTGCTCTCCTCCGGCTTTCATTTGCGGATTCCCTCCCATGTCATAGCCTTGTGGTCCACTGGGGCCTCCTGCAGATGAACCGTAAGGTGCTTGAGTATTATAGTTTGGACTACCAGAGCTGCTAGGGGTATTGCCTGCCAAGTGCGCTGGGTGTTGCGAGAACTGGTGCGGTGGAGGATGTCCCTGGGCTTGTTGTTGCGCTGGTGGCTGATACCCAGGGACGGGCGGGCGTGCGGCCGCGTTATTTGACCATCCTTCTGCTCCTTGCCTTTGCGTTGAGTTTGGGTTCATGTTAACTGGAGCCTGTACTGGCCGTTGCCACGGGAAACTTCCCGCCCTGGGTAGGTATCCTGGGGCCTGAGGGTGGCTATGAGCCATATAGGCATTGGCTGCCCCTGCTCTTGCAAGAGGATTCCAGTCATCGTCTCTCTCATATCGGTCGTGCGCAAGATAGCTATCAGTGTCTCCAAGACAAGCCACGCGATACTCATCGTAGCGCCTGGTAGTTTCTTCAACCTTCTTGAAGTGCTTTGAGGTGAGTTGCTTTTGCAGTCCTTCTGGTCGCTCGCCCATGTCTCCCTCATAATGAGCCAGCGACGCAGCAATGAGAAATGCGTTACGAATCTGTCGTCCATTCCACCGTCCAATGCCATCCGTGTGGTTTCTCCAGTGTTCGCTGGCGAAATTAATGATGTCCGCCTCATCGATGTATAATTTGTTGTGCCTCGGTGCCTTGTCAGCTTGCTCTTCAATCTCTTTGAGTCGCACAATGTTCAACTTGAATATGGCAACGACTTGCTCCTCAGTGAGGAAGTTGTAGTGAAGATTGAGGTGCACTCGAGATTTGACTGCCTCATCAAGAACACCGGGTCGATTGGTGGTGAGGAACAAAATACCATTGTAGTATTCGAGCATGCGTAAAAAGACTAATGTAAGCCGTTAGTTAGCAAGGAACGGTGTTATTCGCATATGGTGCAGTTCTTACCGGAAACAAGAGCATTTCTTTCCAAGTCTTTTCTGTCTCTCTGTGTAATAAAGACATCTGCCTCGTCCAGCAAAAGAACACAATCCCACAGGTGAGCCAAGCGAAATATCTCGCTCAAAGAACTCTCCACACTCTCGGGAGTAAATCCCAAGTCTCCGCATGTGATGGGGAACAGAGGCTTCTCAAATTTCTGAGCGACCGCTTCAGCAGTAGCAGTTTTACCGACTCCCGGCACGCCAAAGAGCAGAATCACAATGCCCTTGCCCTTGCCACGGATAAGATCCTGTGTTGCAATCTCGACGCTGCTTTCATTCACTCTCTTCTTGAAATGAGAGTAGACCAGAGATTGAATGAGAGTCTTGTGCTCCGTGGAAATCTGAAGGCTATCGAAAGCTCTGTCCTTGTCTTTGAGCTCAGGAAACGACACATCGCGAACATCAACTTGCACAAATTTGCGCTCCCAAAGGGCATATGCACAGAGTCGCCTAGGCAAAAGCGCAAGGTTGTCACCTTCGAGTTCGCCAATCTCATTATCATTGTCCTTCTTCTTTCTCAGCAACAAATCTGTCTCGATAAACTTGTTCATCTGGAGAATATCGACACCGTCATCGGTAATGACCTTGTCCTCCCATGCGTCCTTGAGGTTTGTGCGCTTACTGTCGTGCCATTCCTGCAAGGGGCTCTGATTGTCAACCGAAATTACAACTCTGTAAGTGGTCGGGTCGACTGCCAGAATATCGGGTTTCCAGGAAGGATCTGTATTAAAGGCCTCTTCAAAATCGACCAGAATCTCGCTTTCAATGTGCTCTGGGCTTGTCATTATTCTTCCATTCTTGTCCTCAACAGATTGGCCAAGAGGTGTCTTGATAAGTGTCCAGCCCCGGTAGAAGCTGTATCTCTTTGCCGGATCAATATGCTGAATGAACTTGCTTCCGTATTGTCTACCCCTCTCCATTATTTCGTCCTTCTGCTGGACATATCTCATAGGATAGCAGGCCAGCTGAGTGATCTCACGCTCGCCTTCGAAAGAGGGGATCTCAATTGTACGTCCGACTGCACGGTAGTTTTGGCCATCATAATCGATGTGGTAACAAGATATGGACCAAGTGGACTCCATTTTCATGCAGGTGTCGCAGGAACATCCATCAATAATCAACTGCTTAAATGGAGCTCGATAGATCCTCCACACCATCTGGTCGGTATGGGATCCTCTCGTATTGTGGTTTGACGACGATGATGTTGACTCCATCGGGCCATCTCCAAACCCTCCTTGAAGGCGCTGGAACACGCCATCCCAGCCCGTTGGAATTCGTGCTCGAACTCCACTGTTCAGATTAGGCACGTAGACCAGGTCTCCCGGTTTGAAGAGGTACCAGAGCATGTCCCATCGGATCTTCGTAGGAGCAGTGCTCATATCTTCGTCCTGGAAGCGCAGGTATTCAGGCATCACCTGCTCGTCGATAAACTTTACATAAAGTCTCATCTCGGCCAGGGTATCGGTATCGTTGAAGAGGGAGTCGATTCCGAGCGTATCCCCTTCAGATTTATCATTGCCCTTTTCAGGGCTTAGATCTTCAGCCGGCTGGCCGTCAGCAGGCTTTCCATCGGTATTCGAAGCCGATTCTTCCAGCTCAGCCAATGCCTGTTTCATCTCGTCATGAAAGTGTATGAAGTAACGGAAAGGCCGACGAAAAACATGAGGCCGGCCATTCCATTTCTTCCCAGCTGGGCTTTGACGACCGAGATACATCATGACTGCCCTTGAGTTGATTCTGACTCGTTGCAACCCAACCTCGTCTCCATCATCGGTAACAGTCTTGTGCTGAGGATTCCGCCGTCCAAAGCCTCGGCGAAGTCCACCTCCCCAGCCGCCCATATACTGATAGTCTTGAAGACCTTCATAGAGAAGAGCCGATTCTTCAATTTCCGCCTTGAGGGAATCGCCGGCGACAAGCGTCTCGATCGCGTGGTTGTGCTCCTCTGTTTGATGATTTTTGAACTCGTCCCAAGAAAAGCATTCTCGCAGCTTCGGAACAACGCGTGAGAATGCCTGCATGGGCTTTGGCGTTGGCTTCTCAGCTTCCTTCTCCGACACAGTATTACTGGCTGGTGCGGGAGTCTTGGTAGGCTTCTCTGTTGGTGTCGTTTCGGACTCTTCCTTTTTCACTTTCAACTCATCTTGCCTTGTATTGTCTTGGTTGGTATTCTCATCTTTCGAAGTGTCAGACGTTTTGCCTTCGCCGGAGTTATCTTTGGGCTTGTCGTTTTGTTCAGCGGTTTCCTCGACAGAATCGTTCCTGACCTCCTCCACAGCAGATGAGTTTGAAGTTGCAGCTTCTTTGCCCAAGCTTGTCGCGCCATTCTGATCGGCAGCAGTACCCGCGTCTGCAGCCATATTTGTTACGTCTGTCCAACTATTGGAGTGAAAAGAGTTGCGAAATAGGGCTGTGTCTTGGCGATGCTTCCTCCGAGAGGGGATGGCTCCCTTAAAGACTGTGGAGACGAAACTGCAAGCAAATGAGGCAACATAAGCAACTGCCCTCGGTTAGGCATAGGCTCATGCATGGTAAGTTGCGAATTATAATCAGAGCCTCAACTTGGGGAGCAAAGAAAGACGTGATCCAGTAAAATCTTCCTACCTTGCAACCAGGAGCCTGATCCTGTGCGAACCCAGCTCTGAAAGAGCAGGGCCTGTGTCGAATGAGAGTCCTTTATCGAGAGACTAATGCAGCTTATGAATACTCAGCCCACATTTCCTTCTTGTCATTTATGACTTGAGTCCTTTTTGGAAGAGATGAGGGCATCCATTCTGAGCGGGGTATCGGTATGAAATTCGGAATTTGTCATGGTTCTCAGCCTCAACTAACTGGGGTTGTCAAGTCTTTGTATCCCCTTTATTCAGAGAAAGGCTGCTATCCGAATGTCTACCTAGCTGTTGTTTCTCTTGCTATTATTGCGTAAAGATCATATCGTGTAACTCGCCATGAGTTATCGACGGCCTTTAGATGTGGGACAGGGGATGAGGGATGTTATGAGTAATGGTCGCGAGATTCAAGTGATGAAAGACTGGAGACAAAATGAGGGCGCGTTTGTTCACCAGGGACTGGCCTCGCCAACTGAGTATAATAATCAGCGCGCAGAATGGAGGATCCCTATCAGCCGGTAATTCCTGCATTCTCTTTTTCCACGTCTCGGGAATATTTGTGGCCCCAGTCTTCTAATTTCGCAATAGCAAGCTAGAGGATTTGTCTGAAGCAATTAAATCTTTTCAGGTTGGCGATTCGGTGGCGATTTCTCAAGATGTCAGCTGGAGAGGAGTTTGCGACTGTATTGAGGAAGCAAAAAAGAGTTATGAGAAAAAAGCTGAAGATAATCGCTTTAGAGGATGGATAAGGAAAGGCGACGTAGCAATCGGCATTTTAGAACGGCTTTCTGACTCGATTCCTGACCAGGACGGTCTCAGTATCCTCAGGACAGGCCTGGCATTCATCTTCCAAGCAAGTCTACCACAGAGAAAACGACCGTGTATTATTGTTAACCGTCCTCTAGTCCTTCCAAAAGAGACTCTCTAATGTGGGAAATATCCTGCAAGAGCTCGACGAAGTCCCTGGGGTCTTGGCCAGTGTCTACCAAATAAGCGATGCATATCGCGGAGAGGTGCGGTTAAAAAACTTGGTCTGGGACTTTTACGGGACATTGGTAGACTGTCTTTCAGAGCTTCTGAGTATCTTGAACAGGACGTATAAGGACGTTAACGGTAAGATCACATTGACTGCAGTCTCAAGCAATACATATGCACACGGTGTTCTTTCTGACAAGAGACACTAGTTTTCAAGAAGATTGTCAAGCAGATGCCGGAAGTAGAAGCGGCAAAGATTAGTGGCATATCGAAGCGGATATACAAGGCGAAGCAATTGGTCTTTGAAGCCACAGCTCATTTGGATAGGAATGTATGGCAAGATACTAAAGTGTCAGCACAGCAAGGGCGTATCGCAGCCGAGGCCACCCGGAAAACAGCTCATGATATTAAAGTCAAGGTTGTGGAACTGCAGCAAGAGACGAGCGAAGGCCATGACAGGTTGTCTTCCCAGGTGGACCAGTTTCGCTCACAGATGGTTGAAGCTGCTAATGGAATGAGCGACGAGATGGCACAAACAAGGAAACGACTGACTAAGGATGGAGAAGAGAGAAAGGAGTTTGAGGCTGGGCTACAGAGACTCGTCGATGCTTTGCCCGCGACGATTCACGAGCAGTTACAGAGCGCCTTGTATCAATTTGTGGCGGATGCTATCGTGCAGCGAAGTAAGCATGTCTCCTTCATGCGTCAAACAGAATAATGAAAGCTAACTCGGAGATTCACAGGCCTCTTTGCGCTCCCATCAAATGCCCTCGCTCCTAATCCACCGCCGCAACAAACTATTCAGTATACACCCACGCCCGTTTTGACTGAGAGCGACATCGTCAACTTGCTTCAGACGCCCGATCCCATCGCAGATGCGGAGCGTATTCTGCGCAAAGAAAGTCTAATGAGCGATGAAGCACTAGGATATGCCACTCTTTTAAGGCAAAAGCGACAATTCCAAGAATGGCTATCATCAGAAGCGCCTGGCTTGGTGCTAGTTGATGGTTGCTGTCGCACAGAAAGTGTAGGACGATCATCTCCAATGTCTTTCTTTACGGCTTCTTTCGCGTCTACTCTGCTCCAAACTCAGAGCGGTATGGTACTGCAGTTCTTTTGCAGCAGTCATACTGACCCCCTAAAGGATGATTCTGGTCCCAAGGGGCTCTTGAAGAGTATCATTTGCCAGCTACTGCTGTATCCGAAACCCTATAGCCTCTCCCTTGACTTTGTTGACCAAAGCTTGTATGACGCCGTAGCAGCAAGCAACACCGATGCACTTTGCTTCATGTTTGAACGCTTATTCTGGCAAATACAGCCAACAACCACGGTCTATATCCTCTTGGATAGCATTTCTGATTTTGAATCCAGTCTTCACGACAACGGAGAAAGAATGGAGCGAGCACTGGCTTCGTTTCAAGGTCTAATAAGACCTGTTATCCAAGGATTTGCTTTCGGGCCAAAACTAAAGCTCTTTATGACAAGCCCCAACAGGAGCCACCTGCTAATTCATCGTGTCGACCGCGTCAGAGAAAATATTCGACTTAATGCTGCAGCTCTAGGCGATGTACGGGTAGTCAGCGACAGGTTATCACGAGAAATACGACGAGCAAGATCGCCGCTACCTCTTAGTTATTAGACTTTACGACATTCAAGTAGACGCAGGCAACTGTACTAATAATTCATTAAAAAAAAACAGTTGAGCAGGATATATTGGCATTTTTTTCCCCCACATGAGCTCCGTGTCCCATTTCGTTCTAACTGACTGGTGTGTTAGAACGGCTGTGTCCGTCTCACGGCTTTTGTGCTGTGGTGATGCTAAGAGCGTAGTTGTGCTGTAAGCCACAAAGAACTTGTGGGAAAAGAAGACAATACACACATCATGCGCAAACTCATAGCTCTGTTATTTTCAAAAGAGCGCAACTTAAGCTGGATTTTTTTTTAGTTTCCTCGGCTTGGCTCTTTTATGCTCACGGTACTCCGCAGTTTACATGACCTTGGTCACGGGCTAAAGTATGTTCGAAATGTGCCCAGTGAGACGGTGGATGATGACGAGACAGTGCGAAGTTACAAGTATGCAGACCACATGCGCATTCCACGCTTTGATGCTCAAGGTCAGCAGCCCAGCGCGCGAGATGCCTCATCTTGAAAGTCTTACAAGACACGCCGGTAAAGTTCTACTGTTCTATTGCTTGACTGCTTGTCGTTCTCATTCACCTTCCTCTGCATCTCATTCGGCATATTTTCACGAGCTTCATGATTCAGCTGCCATTTGCACTTCGCGTGGCGACCAATTGGGTTGCATTGCATTCCGACCTGCCTTAAGCAGTCATGAATCCGCTAGCCAATGTTCCTTCAAAGATGCTCTTCAGTCTGGGCACTTAAAGCTTTTCGTAAAGTTTGCATTAGCTGGAGGATATCATTGGCGTCTCCTTTCCCCTTGAGCTGCTCTTAATGACCTAGTGTCCTAAGCGCGCAACTCTTCCTGACCTATCAATTACATCCGTGACCCCTGGAGAATACCGAACCTCTTCTTGTTAGGCATCATTCACATCAATGCAGCTACCACCTGCTGACCATTAGCGCAAGGAGGCCTGCTAATATACCATCACTCACTACAACTTTTTTTCGCCAGCCGTTGAAAGCATGTGGTCACGAACTATAGCTCTGTGGGCTAGGAAGAACTGGATAAATGGCCGTACATAAAGTCGTAGTGTAGAACCTGAATGTAGAGAATTTTCTCTGCCTTTTGTATATTCCCTTCCTCATCCACTCATCTTGGTGATTTTGCCCTGCAGCCAGTCATTCTTTCATCGATACACAACTTCATCTACTGGTTACCTGGCAGTTCAACCATTCTTTTACACGACGGTGGGAATTGTCAAGCAAGACATCTGAAAATAGCTTTCATACAGAATCATCTATCTGTACAGATAAAAGGGGAAATTGCTTACAGTATTCGCGCACCAAGAACAAGAAGCAAACGCAAAACCTGGCTACGAAACAATCTAATGAGGCACAACCATCTCTTAGCCGCGATTAGCCTGGGTTGGCTCTTCGCGGCCGCTGTCAATGGACTTTGCAATCCTCAAAATGTCACTTACAGCAATGAAATGCCACCAAATGGAACATATATGCCCTGGAGTCTCATTGGAGCCATTAACAGCGTTCCCGGCTCGAAGCAATACATCACTATTGTAAATCTGACGCCTCACAGATTGATTCTGCAGAATACGCACTCGTATCAAATGGATGTGTTTGATTGGGGTGATATTCCGCAGGGCCATGCGCGCCAAAACACTGTTGTCTATACCAACAAGCCTGGGAAAACCGCTGTGGACGACGGTGGTGAAGCATATTATGCCATTGACGGAACTGACAAGACCTTTTTTGTTCGAGCTGCAACTCATATTCCCGATTCACATCCGGCGCGAACGGTAATTGACCTCACCGGCATGGGTCAAGGCCAACGTGAATACTTGGATCCCGCCAACCAATCTCCAGTGACGCTGGTGATTACGGGAAGCGATAGTTATGGTTTCATTACATCTATTAGATACGGCGCTGGAAACTGGATGAAGAGCATATACGACGTCATCAAGGACAGGCAGATCCAGCACGTCGTCATGCCCGGCACTCATGACGCCGGAATGAGCACCATCAGTGGTCAGATTCTCAGCGGAGGTATCAGCGAGAATACACAAACACAAGGCCTCAACATCTATAATCAGCTCCGCGCAGGATCTCGGTATTTTGATCTTCGTATCGGATCAGTGCACTCTATCACGGACACTTCAGAATACAGCTTTTGGACCTTGCACGTCAATGATGAGACAGCAGAAGTTGCAATAGGTAATTCTGGCGAGTCTCTAGATGATATCATCAGCGAGATCAACCAATTTACCGCTGAGAACCCTGGAGAAGTCATATTCTTCCACGTCAGATACTTGATCGGTATTCGAAAGGTGCCCAGCCTGGGGCCCATTTACTGGACAACTGCGATCGTGAATGACTTCTTTGGTAAGCTCAAAGGCGTCAACAATCGCTGTGGCAACCTGGACACGAATACCACTTTCAATCAAAAGCCCGCGTCCTATTTTATGGACCAAAATGGAGGCAATGGTTGTGTAGTATTTCTTCTCGCCGGAGACTTACAGTCAGGCGTGCCGCAAGACTCGGTAGCAGATGGTATTTACCAGGCCAATCGACTTTCAATTGCAGATGACTGGTCTAATTTGGGCGACACTCAGCCCATGGCAGAAGATCAGGCATCAGACTGGAAGCAAGTGATTCGCGGTGGCAGCTCTGATACGTTTCACATTAGTCAATGGCTTGTGAGCGCGGACATTGTCACCACGACTCTATTTACTATCGAAGGCATTGGCATTTTACCCACTAATCCAGCACTCTACTGGATGGGTGTGAATCAAATGACTCCCCAGAGCTGGCCGACCGTCATTCTGACCGATTACATCGGCGTTGTTGTCAAGGGCCAACACAGCTGGGAACAACTGAGTGCGGACATTTACACCTTGGCCATTGGCCTGAACTTGTATATGGTCAGCGAGAACTGCGACGTGAGCACAATATCTTCACCGCTGCTGCCCAACGCAAACACGCGGCTCAAAATGGCCACTTTGTCAAAGCCTTGGAATGGCATCCATTTCGCAAATGGCACGATAGTTAATGACCCGCCGCGTCATTTGCACCCCGGTCGTGTTGAGATACTAAGGAAAGGTACCCGATTTTTAAATGGCACAGTGTTGGGAGAGGACATCGTCAACCCAGATTTTAATTCTACGGCCGTATAGTCGTATACAAATACTTCTTAACTGTATAAATTGTTGTTTCATAAGCAAGTACATAACGTTGAAATATGAAGTACAAACGGGTTTGAATATAAATGGTCTCTTGATAACGTAGACGAATATAATGCGATTGCGCTAATCGGGCTCTTGTGTAAAGATGAGTACCTTTCCTGTGGTAAAACAACATAATACAATGCTACATATGTTTATAAGTCGCACGAAGATCACAAGCAAGGAACAGAATTAATGTTTTAAGTCATCGGCATTACTACAGTGGTTCAGCCGTTAAAATGTACCCCGTATAGAATAAAATACACATTTCATCCCACCAGTTGTCATCAAGAGAACGACCTTTCCCATCCAATCCAATATAAATATCAAATCATTTTTTCACTTGTTTTTTTTTTTTACCTTTTGCAACTTATTTTGAAGAACAAAGCATTGCCATATCTTATGAAGTACAAAAACAATACCTCCGAAGGGCATCATCTCTTCAACTCATAGATATCATCAAGGATAGTTCATCTTACAAGTCTTCTTGCCGCTATCCCAAGTCGATCCATATGGGCACGCGCACTTGTTGCCGTCCCAATACTGGTTTCCTGGGCAGCTGCAAGTCTTGGACTTGGAGTCGTAAACCTCGCCCTTCTTGTTGCACACGCAGTACTTCTGGTTGCTATCGTAATGAGCGTCTTTGCCACAATCTTGCACACATGCGTAGCCGTTCCAAGAGGTTCCGGATGGGCAGCTGCAAGTCAAGGACTTGCTATCAAAGACTTGGCCGATCTTCTTGCACACGCACTTGTTCTGCTTGCTGTCGTAGCTAGCATCTTTGCCGCAGTTTGGCACGCATTGCTTTCCGTCCCAGACCTTGCCGTAGGGGCACGCACACTTGGATCCGTCCCAGTATTGGCCGTCGGGGCATTTGCAAGTCTTGGATTTATCATCGTAAATCTCGCCCTGCTTGTTGCACACGCACTTCTTCTGGTTGCTGTCGAAATGAGCATCTTTGCCGCAGTCCTCTACGCATTGCTTGCCGTTGAAGATCTTGCCGTATGGGCAGACGCATTGCTTGCCATTCCAGTACTGGCCGTCAGGGCATTTGCAGGTCTTGGTCTTTGAATCGAAGATTTCTCCCTTGTTCTTGCAAACACACTTCTTCTGATTGTAATCATAGGTTGCGTCTTTACCGCAGTCGGGGACACATTGCTTGCCGTTGAAGATCTGGCCGTATGGACAGGCACACTGCTTGCCATTCCAGTACTGACCGTCAGGGCATTTGCAAGTCTTGGTCTTTGAATCAAAGATCTCTCCGTTCTTGTTGCAAACACACTTCTTCTGGTTGTAATCGAAGTGTGCGTCCTTGCCACAGTCTTCTACACACTGCTTGCCGTTCCAGACCTTGCCGTATGGGCAGACGCATTGCTTGCCGTTCCAGACCTGGCTATCGGGACAACTGCAAGTCTTGGTCTTGGAGTCGTAGATCTCTCCGTGGTTCTTGCAAACGCACTTCCTCTGTTTGTAATCAAAGGTGGCTTCTTTACCGCAATCAGGAACACATTGCTTGCCGTTAAAGACTTGGCCGTACGGGCAAACACATTGCTTGCCGTTCCAGAACTGGCCATCAGGACAACTGCAGGTCTTCTTGGCCGAGTTATAGACTTCGCCCTTGTTGTTGCACACACACTTCTTCTGGTTATAGTCGAAGTGGGCTTCCTTGCCACAATCAGGAACACACTGTTTGCCGTTCCAAACTTTACCATATGGGCAGACGCATTGCTTGCCGTTCCAGAATTGACCATCGGGACAGCTGCAAGTCTTTTTGGCAGAGTTAAAGATTTCGCCCTTGTTGTTGCATACGCACTTCTTTTGGTTGTAGTCGAAGTGGGCTTCCTTGCCGCAGTCCTCTACACACTGCTTGCCATTCCAGACTTTACCGTACGGGCAAACACATTTCTTGCCGTTCCAGTATTGTCCGCCAGGGCAACTGCAAGTTTTGCTGCCTGAGTTGTAGACTTCGCCGTTGTTGTTACAGACGCACTTCTTTTGCCATTTGTCGTAGTGCGCTTCCTTGCCACAGTCAACAACGCAAGCGTAGCCGTTCCAAACTGTTCCAGAGGGGCAGCTGCAGGTCTTGGAGTTGGAGTTGTAGATTTCGCCTTGTTTCTTGCAGACGCATTTCTTCTGCTTCCAGTCGTACGAAGCGTCTTTTCCGCAGTCAATCTGGCAGTTCTTGCCGTTCCAATACTGTCCTGGAGGGCAGCTGCAGGTCTTGGTCTTGGGATTGTAGACTTCGCCTTTCTTGTTGCAGACACAGTTTCCATACTGCCAAGTAGCATCTTTTCCACAGTCGTGGACGCACTGGTGACCATTCCAGGTCAAACCACTGGGGCAGTTGCATGACTTTGACTTGGAGTCGTAATTCTTGCCATTGTCTTTGCAGACACAGTAGTTCTTTCCGTTGTTCCAGCTGGCATAAGAGCCACAGTCGTGGTTACCGCCACGAGCAACGAGGTTATCTTCGACATCCCTGGCCTCCACGTCATGGAGGTTGTTCGGGTTTGGGAAAGCCGTGACAGAGCTCAAGGAGAGCAGAGCGGCCACAAGGACCTGCTTCAGCAACATGATGGACAACTATCAAAAGATGCCAGACTATGTGATTCACAAAAGATTGACAAGATGTGGCCTTTGTTGGCAACTGATGACCCAGGAGAAGGGATCAGTGTCTAGGCCCGGGAATTGTCGACAGATGATGAGTTGATAAGAAGAAAGAGGACACTTATGATCTAGGCGAGATGGAGAGTTTATATAGCTCTCTCTTCTCTCTTATACACGGCAGAAGTTTCCTCGAGAAAGAGATAATACGGCCTAACTCTACCAGAAAGAAAAGTTGGGCTTGAACTCCTCTCTGACCAAGACTCAGCCGCATCCATATTCGATCAAGCGTCCACAATCAGCCATGAGCTGGCCAAGGGCGGTGATGAGGAAATTAGGATCCTAGAGCTCGGCCATTCACAGCTTGTATAACGAAACATGCATTTCAGCAGCATCAATAGATCGAGCCAAGCACTGTACGTCTCATCCATTCGGATCGTCGCTCAGCCGGAGGCTTTAGGTTTTTACTAGAGTCATTACATAGTATCGGTATAGCGCTGAGCAATACGAGACCTCCCTTTGTCGTCATTGGACGGCTGAAAACGCCCATATGCAAGGGAATACGAGGTTATTAACCTTATTACGAAGGCTATTGAAAAAAGCAAGGGAAGGCGAAGAACTGTCATCCCTGCAGATTTTACGGCTTATTCCCTCGATTACTCCTGTATCCTGTCGTGGCTTTACACAAGTCGTAGACCTTAAATACCACTTATATCATATATAATAATATGATACATCACGAAGCATTGAGATGGTGGTGGACCGCCCATGTCTGAGTTCAGCGAGTAGCGGGTCCGAAGCTGGTCCAAAAGGGTGAGAGGGAGGTTAGGCCAGCCCAGTTCAACTAAACTAGGAGTGTTGGGGTGGGAATCTTGGCTCAATTGAATTTCAACGGATCAGCGGCTGGTCTTGGATGGCTGCTGGACCAAGGCCGGAGCTAGACACAGACAGGGTGAGTGGCAACCCGTGGTTTGCTGCGGGTAGCAGAGGTAGCTCATCGAAATCCCATGATGTGAAATTGCCTCCCTGTAAATCAGCTCGGAAGCCGAGCAGAGCCTCCAAAAATAACCACGTAAGTCTCCCTTGCATAGCAGGGCATCTAGTTGATGAACATAGAGCTAGCTACTAAACCATAACCATAAAAGACGTCGTTTATGAGACTCAAGCCAAACTCCCTCCTGCTCATTCCCATTGTTTCTTCAAGACATGTTCAGTTACTGGATCAGTTTCGTCATCGACGGCGGTCTCTTTCCGTTAACCCTGTTGTTGGTTCGGTTAAACAATGCCTGACGGTTGACAGAACACATGGCAGCAAAGAGCGGAGGCAGAAGGGTCTCGAGGACCAACGACTTGACCCTGCTTTCCCCGCGGCCCCTTTTACCGAGCCAGGGGGACGGTGGAGCTGCCTGAGCTTGTGCGTGGAGAGCCCGACTTCCGAAGCTGCCGCAGAATTACGATCGGAACTGCTAGTGAGGGGAATTAGACTTCAGGTTGCTGGCTCCCTTGGATGCATACGGTTAGGACCAGCAAAGAGCTTGCACAGTGCATTTCATGACAATGAGAATCCTTCCAAAATGCAGAGTGCTACTGCACTTGGGTAACGCAAGGGGGGTCCGGATTGCTGCAGCCAAATACCCCAATCTATCTGATTGGAGAACCCGAGGCCAGCAAAGACATGCATCACTTAGACAAATGCAGTCATGCCGAGCTGAAATCTGCCGTGGCCCAGTGATTCGGGGACAACCTGTGAATACGGGCTATCGCACGCACTGTGTCAGCTTTCACCCGATTTCCACGGGACATCATACGAGCTGTGGATGAGAATACGGGACTGCAGCATATGCAGCCAAACGTGAACTATTCCCGAGCTGTGCGGGTCAACCCATTCATCCGCGTCTCAAGCCATTAGGGGCTAATCCCCCTCCTACTTTCAACCAGGCACCGAATCACAGACCGAAAACCGGCTCTGTCCGATGGCAACCTGATTGCCTGGCTGGGAATTGGCAACACATAGGGCGTTACACACCGATGTCTCGCAGCAGTCCACGGTTATACGGGCTTTTATTGTGGGGAGTCATTGTTTGCTTTAACCGTCCATGTGATGCTTAATAACCTAAAAAGGGAAAAACAAAAACCTTGGTCCATCTTGGCTTGGTCTTGGCTCACCAAGTGCCGCTGTGGGGAAGAAACTTGGAAACTGGTGGGAAGCCGGGGTGGACTACTAAGTTCAGCCGCAACTGTCGAGCACACCATCATGACATCGGCCTACATGTGTGGTTTCTCGGATGAGTTGCTCCAAGTTGATTCAACTGTCTGCTGCGCTGTGGCTTCGTAGCGTGGCTCGAATCGACAGGGATCGAGCAGCTCCCTTCGATCTCGATTGGCCTTGTGTCTGGGGCCGTCTTCTAAACTTAGATGGCCAAGCCTGCTAAACTCTGCTAGAAACTAGAGGGCCAAAATTTTCCGGGATCCTTCAGAGCTCCCGACCGTCTTTCGTTACTTTTTTTGGCATCCTCTCTGTTCTAGGCCGCAGCGTGAAAAGGGCTGGACGATGCCCGAGCCTCCTGTCGATCAATCATGGCATAACCATTTGATAATGCCAAGTCCGATCCGCCCGTGAGGCGTCTTGACCCGAGAATCATGCCCTCTCTATTCATGAGCAGTCGAAAGCTGTCATACAACGTTGTGTCAGAGAGATCCATTTCGTTATTAGCTCCAGCTTCTTGGTACGCATTTTGGGTTTCGCAAAGTTTTGGTCAGCCGATGAGCCTACCTCTGTTTTACCTAACAAAGTGACGATGGTGCCTAGACTACTGCATCTCTCCGTAGATACTTTTGGTCTATCAAAGATACTTCTGTCACAATCCAGGGGTTATTTCTTCTTTAATACAATAGATGAGTTACGATTCAGGAACTAAATCAACCAAGGAGACGCGATAGCTGCAGGTCTCAGTTGATCAACAACCCATGTAAAGCTAGGGATCAACATAGAAACAAGAAAAAGCTATGCCAAGAAGAATAAACGCACATTCAGAATTTACGCTACGAGCTCAAATCCACTGTCCCTGCCTGCCAGGTCGAAGCCATCACCTCACCTGCTTGGGCCGGCTATTCCGGCTTCCGGCGAACAGCAATCCTTTCCTCCCAGTCGTCAGAGAGGTTCTGGTCCGTACTCGCTGCCTAGGTTTACATAGTCTTGCTCAATTCGGGCATATGCATCATCCTGACTGACATCATGCCATTTGGCTGTTCCACCTTGGAATCCTTCGTGTTCATATTGGTGGTGGTGGGACTTTTCCCCTTCTCGTCATCGGAGCACAATGGCAGAATCAGACCAAGGCCCGTTTGGAGCAAGAAAGTTGCCGCCCTGGAGTGTCACTGTGTGGCTCGCATCGGCTGTAAGTTTTGCGGCGCTGTTGGATTTGCCATTAGCTTCTGGTAGAGCGAAGCCTTGACCGGTTGATCTTTGCCAGATCCTCAAAGAGCTTGGTGATTCTGATTTCGGGACCGCAAAATGGCCGAGCTACCTTGTGCTTTTCTGCCAATTCGATTTGGTAGGACCACAAATTTACTCTCGGGTTTTTGACCTGCTTTGTCTTCTGCTGCATTCCGATGCCATTAACTTGTCACCTCCACTCAATGACGTTGTTGATGATGGAGCCGGATATAACAACTCCGTGTAAAAGCCCCAGGGCAGCCGATCTAGCGTCCACAAATGTCGGAACAAATATTGTTGAGGTGATGATGTAATTATCGCATTGTATGTTCAGATATTGCTTTAATGTAAGCATAAGCGGCACAAAAGTTCCATAAGAAGTAGACAAACAGATAAACATCCGGCTTATTGTTGGGGGTGATGAGATTTAAGATTTCAGCCAGCCAGTCTGATGTTTTGAAGCTCCATGACATGGAGAAATCATGTTGAAATATGCAAAGCCGTTTTGCAATTGTTCATCTCATTCAAGCATTCAGCCGAATTCGGAAAGAACGTATTTGATATTTGCTCGTAAATAAAGCCCAACCAGTATGATTATTAATAAGATTGTTGTAGGTTTGGAAACATAAGACTTTGACCAAGACAAAATGAATCAATTCACCAAATGTTGTTGATAGCCTATCTCATGTCAGGTTGCACGTAAAATGGAGTTCGGAGAGTTTAAAATACAAACAATCAAATAATGCTGATCTTGAAAAAGATTTTCTAACAACTTCCCATCAAAAAAATGTTATAATATAGGACAGGTGATAAATCCTTCTACTCTATATATGAGATTTACATCTTAGTCGTTATTACATTCGACGGTCTGCGATCTACGCATTGTACATGCAATTTAATGAACAATGAGTGACAATAGTATGAAATTATTCTATTACAACCTATCCTTTATTTTGAACCCATGCACACCCATTATCATAAAAGCATAAAGCAATTTACACACTTCTTCAATCAATGTTTGCGACACCATAGATCACATAATTAACCACCATCCAATCTTATCCAACAAGGAAACAATATCCAATACCACAATGAAGCTCCATAAGAAACAGCAACACAGCACGACGAAGCTAGATAATTCGTCGCGTGATTCCTGATGATTCCAGATGTCTAAGCTTGTGCAAACTTAGACTTGGCACGGAGACTCTTGCCGTATTTGTACATGAGTAATGTTCCGATTATACCCATTATGCTCAGTCCAGCAAGGACTGTAACGCCCTTGTGTACACCAAGGTTGATAAACATTGGCCTGGCTGCAAGAATACATCCAGTAGCAACAGCGGATCTGATCAAATCATTGCCTGTAAAGATCGATGCTGCGTACTGCGGGTATGAAACCGGCACATACATGAAGAGTCCCTGGATAACCATATATTGGCCGAGAACAAAAATCGTGACGCCAATTAGTGGAACAATCCAGTGAATACTGGCTCTTGCGGTCCAGGCGAATATGAACAGCCCAATTGGAAGAACAACGGAACCGAAGATTGCGGGAAGCAAACGATGCTCCTGCTCTCGGAATCCATTCTTGATATTGTCTGGAATCATGTAAAAATGAAGATAGGCAAAGTATAGAATGAGTGCCAGAATTGAGCCAACCTCACAGGCAAGGAACGCAAGACCAGTCTGGCCAAGGTGGAAGCCGTAGAAAGGTGGAAACACAAGAGGGAATACTTCAAAGAAGGTAAAGTAGATGGCATAAGTCAGAGCCGTGTACAAATTGACGAAGAAAATTGAAGGGTCCTTGATGGTGATTTCGAATGGTCTTATCAGCGCAGCAATGAGAACGGCAGATCCCGACATGTGCATTTGGTCAATCTCGCTTTGGGATTGGAGCCGTGCATCGCCAGTGAGCTTTCGAAGTCGCTTGGCACGCCTGAGAAGGATGTTGGGCGCAGACGTCTCGGGGGTCAGAACAAGCAAAAATACGGCCATGATAGCGCAAATCCATACAACTTCCCAGAGCGGCCACCTCCATCCCTTTTCCATTGCTGCAAATCCAGCAAAGGTCGGTCCAATAGCAGGGCCTGCCCAGAACGACAATACCCACCAACCAAGACCATAGGGGAAATAGATGAGTGTGAAGACATCTTGGATTGAGGCACCACCAATGGCGATGCCAACGCTACCAAAAAAGCCAGCAAAGAATCGTACCGCCAAGAGGCCGCCGAAGCTGTTGATTGTCGCTGCTGGGAATGACAGAGCAAAAAAGACAAGGAATGTGAGGTAGTAGACGGGATTTCTGCCAATCACTGGAATCTCGGTGAGAGGGCCAAAGATGAGTGGTCCTACACCATAGGCCAAGACGTAGAGAGCAAGTCCAAGTTCAGATGCCTCTACGCTGACACTGAAATGTTCAACAATGCCCGGTTCCGAAAAGGCAAAGACGGAACCTGCCACGTAGGTGACCCATGTATATAAGCAGATGACGAAGACGATGTAGCTCCTCTTAAACGATGACCAGTTGTGAGGCTTTGCTGGGTCGTCCGTCGTATACCAGTCTACCAGGATGACGCCGTCATTCGTCTTGTGTGGCACAATCGGTTCGCTCTTTGTCTTTTTCAGCTCAATTTGCTGTTCAGGATCGAATCTTCCGTTTTCCATGTATGGACCCCTCTGGATACTCCCCACTGTCCGCTCCCTCCTCAGATCCTCGCCATCTTCATCGGCAGTTTGGGAGGAATCTGATGATGGATCAAGACTACCGGAGCGTTGGTTGTTTATATGTGAACTCGATTGGTCGTATGTCGCCTCGTGTTGTTTCTCGCTGTTAGATAGCAAGGCTACGTACTCTGGTGGGAGCACGAAATCAGGCCTTTCTTCTGGGTACTGCAGCCACTTGTTTCTGGAAAGAAAGCGGATGGCTTGGCCAAGCGCCGATTCTCGAAAGATATCGTACATATCGTTATTACACTATATTAAACTCCTCAATTGATGTGTGGTAAATGTTGAGAAGGTATTCTTGCAATGAGGACCAATCCTATGAAGGCGCAATAAAGATGCTGAAGCTAAAGTTGTGTAGTGCCATTTTCACCGCGGACAAAAGGTTGACTTTATACCAAGAAGCTCAATATCAATTGCAATTTTTTCTCGGTCTAAATGTAAGCAGAATAACGACATTTCGAGCGGAATGCCCGGATTACAAACATGGCAATCTGGTAGACTCACAAGCAGTACAGAGATCTGCTAAGCAGAGGTCTAGATATCTTGACATATCAAGAGGGCGTTTAGAAATAAGCTCTGCAAGCCGCTAGCTTGTTCTGGACCCTCTCGGCAATTGAGCCTTGTCGAATGAAGAGCTTTGATCTTGCCACGGAAGATGGTGAGACCCGCGCCCAATGCTCCCCCAGGCCACCCAATCCATTGCGATCAGATTCAATCGATCGAGGCTTCAGCCGTCGAACAGGCATCCTGACACTTTTTCGCCATTGGATTAATTAAACTGGCTTTGTTTCTTATCGAGTTATACAGCCCAATGAATAATAAAACTTGACTTCAGCGCGCAAGAACAATGATGCATCTTCATGTTGATTAATAATATAACCAGAATTAGTTCTAGGAGGCAATGCCTTTTCTTTCTAGCCGATAATGATATTATCCGAAACTCGTAGAATCTTCATCGCTCTCATTGTTTCTAGCAAGTTATTGCTCGCAAACGTTCGAAATGATGTTGCGGTTGAGAAGACGTCGAGCTCAAAAGCAACGCGATACTTGATACGGGAGAGAAGGCTTCAATCATGTTGCCATTCCAGGCTAGTCTGCATTTTCCACATGCGGGAAAAAAGCTATACAGAAATTGCCATTTGAAGCTAGCTCCAACGTCATGCTCAGAGTTCTGAATCTATCGCCGAATCAAGTATGCAAGTGAACGCCGTGTAAGACTCATCAGTCGGAAGGACGTCGAGGTTTCATTTGCGATTGCAAAGCCATAGATGCATAATAATTGAGATGTGACTGAATTAAGGCAACTTAATTCGCTTGCATTGGTAAGCTTCCTCTTGTATGTCGGGCGCTTCTCTTCTCACTAACAGCTGGACCGTGAATTAGTATTACAAATGAAGCATTGCTGCTCCGCGCTGTAAACATCTGATACGATTGCCATGACATCACCCAGCGTATCACCCGTACATGAAAATAAAAATAATGAAAGGTCTCGCAGCTCGAGCATGGCATGAGAAATACCATGACACGGCCTATATGTATGTAACTTCAATCGGAATCTCGAGAGGTAGCTCATACGATGTGGACTTGTCAACAGCGATCAATCATATAAGATGTATGAGTCAACCGTCGTTCTAATTAGACGATAGAAATGTGTCAGAGGACATTTCTAAAATAACCCATCGGCACTGCTAATCACAGAGTGACCTGCGCTGTCAACGCTGAGCTGGATTGTGTCATCTTTTAGCGCCCTTACTACTTAGTACCCATTGTTGATCTTGTATCAACCAGATTAACCGGGTGAGTGATGGCGGCATAGACTTCCCAGGACCAAATTGACGGCCAATACAATCATCATCGCGACAGGCAGAGTAACTTACCCGCACCACCACACGGTATAAGATATTCTGCTGAAAACTCTCCCAACACACCGCCGATGTCACTGGACACGATTGTCTCCGCACAGGTAGGCCTAGGCGTCCATTACCTTGAATAATCTTAGGAAGTATTCAATGACAATGTTCTCCGTCGGCCATATCTCCTCGTTCGCATGCTACTAAATTCTGTCGGCTTGCCATGAACCATTTCGCTGACTGGAGATGGCTTACATACATCAACCGTCTCTCTGAGAAACTGTTGCCCGATGCAGTGACCAATCGTCATTACAGTTTGCGCGTTAATTTGTTGAACATGGAGAGAATGATGCGTGTTCGCCCAAAGGTGCTTCAAAGTGGCGGATCATCATCCAAATACGCACCCCAATGACCCCAAACTCCTCGGCCTTCTGACCAATCACAGAAGCGTCATGGGAGTCTTGTTGCAACAAGTTGATGGAGAGCCGGCATCTGTCGAGGACTTGCCCAGATGCGAGGTGCATCTTCACATATGGCTCGGCCTGCTGTTGGTCCATGGTGATGTGGATGTGTATTTTTCTTCGTCGGCCGAGTGGTTGTCGTTAGCTTGGAACATGCTAGCGGATTTCACGAGGCTGTCAAAAGCAGTGTTTGCTGTCTCTGCCTTCTATCAGGCTGAGGAAACTGATGTGGGTGGAGTGATTGTGACACCGCCATGAGGTCTGTGGCACTTGATGGCTTAAGTACAAGCAAACAGTCAGACATAGAAAACAAACCGCCACTTTGCCAAGAATGTGATGTTCCAATTAGGGTGCACACCTTGTAAATTGCTCTTTGATATACCCGAGAGCCTCCAACCCCCATGCCTAGCGGCCCAACACCCATTCAATGAGTTGCCGTTATTACCCCAACCTTTTCTATCTTTAAGGCTCTTACTCCACTCATCTCGGTCTCGTCTTAGCTCTTCACTGTTTATGTGCCTATGCGATATGAGACTCAACCGAATAATATTATGACGAATCCGACACGGCTACTTTGATAGACGTTCAATTGTAGTATCCAATGGAGGAGTTACGCTAACAGTAGATCTCACAATGGTTCGGGAGAAGCTTCTACTTGGTCTGCAAGCAGGCTCCAGTGCAAGCCACCTCCCATGATTACGTGCATAACGACAAAGAAGACTGATGCCTTGACTCTCAAAATAATATACTATTCAACAAATTGTCAAGGCTACCAAAAAGAAAAACATACAACAGCCGGTGTTCGCTGATGGTCACCCACTCAACTACTAATCTGCCTCTCGCTCGCTTGACTATGGGGGAGCAGACGGGACCCCGTATTTTCGAGCGGATATGGTCGTATGTGATTGTCGTGATAGTGTAATTGCTATATAAAGGAAAGTAGAGTACTAGATGAGGAGGAAGAGCGAGATGGCTCTCTGGTTGGCCTGCTGGTTTCATGGTTGATGAGGGCAATCATCTGCGTCTTTGGGCTCTTTGTAAGTCTCGCAAAGCAAACTCAGGAACCCCCATAATCTCGCGCCGAAACAGCATCTTCTTGGAAGAAAGTGAACCCCGCCTGGAGCCCTATTTCGAAGACTTCTCCACCTCATTCTTCAGATCTGCATTAAACTTATCCCAAGGGTCCATGTCAAACTTCCTTCCACTCCACCACGGCGAGGAGAGCGTGATCAGGATTCCTCGAAAATCCTCTCCTTGTGTAAACGTGGTGCCTCCTGGATTCGTTTCGCTTGGTTCAAAGTGAAACTGATGGACGCCTTTTCCAAGCCCGAACAGTGATCCTTCCCATTGGAAAGATTTGGGCGAGTTTTCCTTTCGCGATTTAGCACACCTATTGCTCATCATTCCAGTCACATTGAGACCTACCACTACCACTGGGTTATGAGCCTTTCCGTCCATGCTGACTTTGAGGCCATCGCCAGGTTTCAGGTCGAGGGGCTGCTTGCTAGCGTCAGCCGGCTGAATGATCCAGCCTGGCTTCCACTGCGTGTATCGGGCAAAGTCTAGGAACTGCAAGCGAATAGTCAGTACGCGAGGCGATTCTATCATGATGCTTCCCATGGGTAAAGGTAGATCTTATGCATACCACTGATCGGACAGCAGCTGGAGACGCCGCGATCTCGATTTTCGTAGACACGCTCAGTATCGGGCTCATGGCGGTTCCTAGGATTGATTCCAGTTAATATTTAAGCAAATGATGGATTTTTTGGCAATAGACTATCTTTAAGAGCGGAATGAGCGATATTAAAGCACGCTCTCGATCCGCCGTGATAGTTCCATCGTCGAAGGATTCGACATGTGAGGAGTTCCCGACTTTAAACAGGCCTAGTGGCTTGCTTGCTGGTAGTTAATTCGCCGGTTTGGTGCATATACCAGCTTACACATATCTTGGTAAACTAGGGCATGGCAGCGTTGGTAGTAGTTGGTGCATTTCGGCGATAAATGGCGAATCCTTCGCTGCGTCCAACGCAATAGTGATGGCCCAGCCATTTCGAGCTGCCTTGAAACACTCCATTGCATACGTGTGTTCTCAATGTTTCTATAAAATATTTAGGCACATTGTATCGAGTACAATACTCGTGATTACGAAACAGCCATATTTCAGGTGACATTGAATGTAAACCCCAGAATGCTTGTCCATGAAAGACCATTCGAGTGTGAGAGACAATTGGCGGCGATACCTTGCATTTATCCATGTAAAAAAGCTTCAATAGTACCGACAAATGGTACAAGATAAGGATCTCGCTGCATAATGAATTCCGCCTTCCAACGTTTGCAAAGGGTTAGGATATATAGATAGTTCATGATAACGGTCCAGAACAAAATCTTGACAGCATCTCGTAACTGCTTGCTTGAAAGGGCTTGCAAGGGACAACAACGGATGGCCGGGGCTCGCGAAAGTACGACCACCCCATAGATGCATAGTAGTTCTCCATTTGCTAGTGTGAGGGGAGAGCAAGACCCTGCAGCAGTTTGTGAAGCCAAGCGCGTAGGCTAGCACTTTTACTTGATCTCATGACATCGCCAAAAGGATTTGTACAGTAGAGACATGATTATCATTAAGGTCTATTTTCATTATGTAAACGTAACGCAGCAGCTCTTGCATCAGGCTTTTCTAATCAGCCGCGGAAATCGCCACAATCCGCTCCTCATCTGTATACTTCACTTGGCTATAAGTCAGCTCCAGAGTGTCCAGGTTGTAAGTTGCATAAACGCTGCGAAGGAAAGGCGCTCCAAAGTTGGTTGCAAAATCCGTCTCCCCTGAGCCACCAACTCCATTCAGTGCATAAGTGACACATTTGCCGGAGTCGAGCGTTGTGACCAGGCGACCCACGGGTATTTTGATGGTTCCGTCGCCCGGGAATCCGACTTCAAGGACGGTGTCAACAATGTCGCGGTGCTTGCAGTCCACCTCGTACGGATCCTGAGTCGAGGTGACGTTTGCGGGAAGCTCAAGGACGGCGGCAACAGCGTTAAACACAGCTGTCGGAAGACCAAAATAGGCCGCGCCTGTGTCCCAACTGACTGTATTTCCGGGTTCTATAGGCCACACCATCTTCTCTCCACCCTTGTCCAGTGTAAAAGACGAATACTCAATCTCCCATGGCGAGTCTAGTTTCTGTGTGAAGACGGGCCCATCTCTCTTAGCTTCGTCCACACCGCCCAGGAGAAGATGGCCAGTTGCGTGCGGTTCATCCTGGCCTAGGTAGATGCTGAACGCACGAGTCTTCAGAATATCACGGTCCGAAAGCTGTTGAACCAAAGTCGGGTAGACGTCACACCGAGGTCCAGTGAAGCACAAGGCGTTCAAGCCCATGATGCCTGCAAACGGGTTGGACTGCGACAGCCGAACATCGAGGTTGAAGCTATCGGTCGATCCAAGAACAAGGCCATCAACGGAAACGCCCGCAAATCGAAGCGTGTCATTGACGAAGATACCTCTGCCGCCGTCGAGCAGGCCATCGCTGTAGTTGGGATAGCTGCCTGGGAATGCCACCACCGCTGTTGACGAAGTGAGGTTGTCGTAAGTTCCCAGAGCATCACACGGAGCCTCCGGTCGCAGGCACATGTTGCTGCGCGGCGAGATGAAGCCAATCGTGGGGCTACCAGTATCGATTTTAAGAAAAGATGGCTGAGGGGGATTGCCTACTTCGAACTCCATGCCGTAATACTCCTGGTTCATGATCCGCGTCAAAGGAACGTTGAATACATGGTCTGGCAGGTTATTGACAGCTGCTTGACCAGCAAGCAGTAAAGATGCAGAGATGTTTCTGACAAAAGGCATGATGGCAAAGAAAAATCATGTATTCACGTTGCTGTTGTCAAGATTGAGAGTCAATCCGCCGCGGCCAGAAAGAGCGAATCCAGAGAATGTTGAGCAAACTTGAACACTCAAGGAGAGGCTACCCCTTTATTCGTTGATTCATGAAATGGGCTGTCCGTTATATGTGAACTTGGAGCTTAGAACGTGTGCCCTGTAAGTGATCGCTGCTAGTTCTGCTTATCCAGGCATAGCAGTGGATAACTCGTGCCTTTCGTATGTAATACGGAGAGTGAGCTCAAGGTCCGCCCCCGGTTTCCAGAGCAAGTTAACGGCTAAAATGACAATGGTTCGCTGTCTCCGGTGCTCGTATGTAACCACTGGGCTCGTATTATTGTAGTGAGCCCCACCAACTCAATGCCATTTGAGCCTGCAACTCCGTACAATGGATATGGCCAAGATTACGGAGTAGCAACCCAGAAAAAGAATCTACGAAACAGCAACCAAAAAAAACTACAAAACATACAACAGCCGGTGTTCGCTGATGGTCACCCACTCAACTACTAATCTGCCTCTCATTGGCTTGACGATGGGGGAGCAGACGGGACCCCGTATTTTCCAATGGATATGGTCGTATGTGCTTGTATGAAGTCGTAGTGGGCTTCTTATACTTACTAGGTAGTCTCCGTGAGCTACGAACAAGCGTAGAAGGTGGAACCAGACCCTTTTTTGACGATTCAAGCTCATCACCGAGTCATTTAGTATGGGGTCGATGGATAGGGTAGATTTCTGAAGGATAAATACATGTTCAAGCTATCAATCTATTGTCCGAAACTTCACATTCCATCTGGCTCCGATTCTCCCCCCCGTATGGCATGCGCCGGTAGCCAAAGGCCGCTCACTCTGTCTTTAGCGACAACTCCTTTCGTTTCAGAACCACTCTAAATACTTTCAAAAGTCTATTGGGCGGGTGTTCGAATAGACGTACAAGGCCGCCGTGACGGTTTTCGCAAGAAAGCCTTTACGACATCTGAAGTTTGTGAGGCACGCAGGCAAGTGATCTAGGGCCCATGCTCCAATGCTGCTACCACCAGTACAGTGTCGTTCTCGACTATCGACAAAAGAGAATGGTCATCTTACCTTCTTTGGGCATTTATTTGAGTATTGTACTTATTATTGCTTTAGCTAGGTCTGCATTGTGTGACAAATTTGACAGTGGCTTAAGATGCAGGACTTTCCAGGCGCTTCATTTCCCGATATTGCCCAGCTTCTTTGCACCAAGATGGTACTTGTACACGAAAACACATCAAACAACCTATACTCATGGGTACATTGTTCGCAACAGCGAGTATTTTTCTGCCATCATTCTTAGTACCTGATAGCACCCATTGCGACACGACAGGAACGGACATTGTGCAAATAGTGATCCATGCTCAATACCTTTCTCATTAGTATAGTCTAAGCATTTCCCTCCCGTCGGCTGGTTGGCCTTGCTGTCCCTGGTTGCTTTCGTCTTGCAAGGCACGCACGGCTTTGGCTGCGTGAGCACGTGGCGCAGGGTTGTTGTGATTGCGGTAGCGTGCGGATCCCACACCGTAGAATGAATGTTCGGTGGAGTGAAGGCGATGGATCTTATCTCGGAAACTTTACGGAGTAACTGATCTCTACTACCTTAGTAGGTTGGGTGAAAACTTTTCAGTCTTTACGTGTATACTATCGTGACCTGTGACCCGTGAACCCCCCTGCCTGCGGTTAGCCGTGCAGCCGGGCGATGAACCTCTGGGTCAAACCCTTGCAGCGAAGAGTAAAATAGGGTCAGGCCTATGGTGTTCGTCCATCACAATTGTTGACCGTATCAAGTAAATACAGTGGCTTGCGGCATGAGCTTACCTAGCACGCCGAGACGTTTTGGCTACTGCGATTCGCAGTACATTCACGAGGCGGTAAAGCTGATGGCATGCAAGGCATGATGGGTGCGCCTTTGATCGTCGCGGTTGTTTTCTGCCGAGTTGTATGTGCGTGTAAATACTGCCAACCAACCAGCCAACCCTAGCGAAACATGAATAGAGTAGGATCCGAGTAACAAGGACCAGGGCTGCCATGAGGATAGGTGCAGGGAAGGCGAGCTCGTAGTCTCAAACCCGCGGGAATATAAAGCCGTCGCTATAGTCCCAGTACACCAACTGGACGTCTTGCGGCTCCCGCGACTTCAATTGCGCGGCCAACCTGCCATCACCACGACAGTCGTAGAACCAAGGCCTGGCACGCAGCCGTCGGCTTTTGTCCTCAGCCCCGGGCCTCCTCCAATCGTATCGCCTCGGGTCCACGAAAGTAAAGACGCACTCTCGAGCTGCCTTGGTCCTCAGCTGGTATTGGTGTTGACGACCCATTCCCCCTGGGAATGCGCGGACCGAGATGCTGCCTTTCCGGTCCGCGTAGTCCATGTTCCAACTGAACATCATCTCGTCGAACTCTGAATAGTCGGCCATGGCCCACGCAAACGTCTGGAACTCCATGGCGGATCGCATACCGGGCGTTAAGCCCGGGTTTAGCTCCGGTGTCGTGAGGAAATGGGGCACCGTAATGGCCGTACTGAAGTCGCCGAACCTGCCGTCGACTAGCTGCCGCGTCGCGACGTCGAGGTGCATGATGCCGAGCTTCTGTAGCCGGCCGATGTCTCCGAGCATCTTGCGAAAGAAGGCTGGCCGTAGCTCATCTTCGTCCTCCATCTCCTCCACCCGCCCAAACTGTTTTACGATGCCGCGGATCGGCGGTGCCCGACCGTCCTTGCCCAAGAAGCGCGTACGCATTTCGTCGCCTCCGGAATAGTCGACGTCGCCGTCAAAGCTGAGGCCGAAGCGTTGGTCGAGCGCGCGCTCGTGATCCTCGTCTAGCAATACGTAGCCGAAGCATCGGACTGCAAGCGCCTCGTACCCGGCCTCCTGGAGGCGACCAAAGGCACGGCACTCGCAGCTAAAGGGCTCCGAGTAATTGTAGAAGGCGCTCATCAACTCGCGGTCGTCAGGGTTCGTGTCACTCGCGGGGCCTAGCCAGTTATGATCGTAGGTGAACCGGAACTGGACGCGCACAGTGTCAATACATGGTCCTTGTTTCCCATTACAACGTCCAGTGTGGCGCCCACCAGCTTGAGTGCATAGATCTGCCCGCGGATATCGACCTTGAAGACGTGCGCGTGGAGACCCTGGCCGGCGTGCTCGAGGAATTTGATCGTTTGCGGCCCCTGGAAGTCAAACGGCTTCAACTTGGGGCCGTCAACGAGTGGCAGCGGCACCAGATCCTCGTCCGATTGCGGCCAGTCGGGGTACATGGTGTGAGCCATCGCAGACGCCTAATGGCAAAAGCCTGGAAATCCGGCATCGGGGGCAATGGCCTTATAAGGCGTCGGAATGTAGACATTGTTTCCATCTTGATGCGACTGCGTGCTGCCTGTGTGTGCGAGGATGGATCAAGTTGTATCAAGTTGGGAATTTGGTTAGTCATCACCCCTGCTCTTAGCTACCCCGCTGCCCGCCAACGTCGTCTACCTAAGTACACCCCACGGGCATCATAAACGTTACCTAAGGTACCAGGTAGTACTACCTAGTAGTACTAAAGTTAAGTGTTTCACTGGGTACGAAGCAGTACTATATATAACCGGCAAAGATCAGCAAATGTACCTTTTACGCCAAATAACAAAGAAATAATACTTCTGAGCAGCAAAAGAAATATCACGTATAAAGAGATAAAGATTAAGTTCTAGACTGTAGAGCTTTGCTATAGCAAGATATAGGCTTTTCTGTTTATAATAGAGGCAGTATTACTATTATATAATGTATTACCTATTAAGATACTTGCTGATCTTTATGTATATTATTAGCCGCATTTGCTCCGTCAATATTGTAGAGATTCGCAGCAGTTGCATTCGCTTTCCCTCTACACCTCCAAGAATCAAGATGGTGGCATTCTTCTTGGACAAAAAGTCCACCACCACCCAGGCCAAATGTGATGAGTTCGCCGAGACGAAGTTTGGTGGCCCCGTCCAGCCAATTACAATCCAGGGTGCCTACAGCTACACCGTCGTTGCCGGAAATGGAGGTTATATAAATATTTATAAATAATATAATTATTAAAAATTAACCAAAAAATTTACTTAATAAAAGCTATGAGAATTAAATAAAAATTCTAAAGAATTATTTTTAAGATTTCATTTAATTATTATTATTATATATGATAATTACTATAATTAACTTTATAATTAATATTATTAAATTAAGGAATATAAATAAAAATAATATATTTTAATAAAATCCCAGAATGAAACCGCGGCTAAAACAGTTCTAGAAGACTAATGTATTTTAATACATTAGCACACTGCTAGTCACCCCTATGTTTTACATCAAAACGAAATTGAGCATAGACTAAGTGCTTTCAACTTGGAACTACGTCGCAGCGTAAGTATACAGAAAGGCCAAGATTTATTTTAAATCCAAGTTCAAAGAAGCTCATTCGTTTTTATTCACGCTAATAGACGACTTGTCGGAGCTTGCCGAGGTATGATGGCATTGATGCTAGATTAGGGGCATGGAAAGTGGCTGATGCGCCTGAACTGTACCTCAGGCTTATGCAGAAGAATATCATGGCATTGAGATTAAGATTGACCGACTAGAAGGCAAGTTTAGAATGAGTCAGGACAAACGGCTGGGCAATGTCAAAGGCGTGATGAATGGTTCCAAAGACAATGGACCAGACATTGGCGCACAGATGGCAGAGCTTGTGAGAGCATACATTGTTGAAAAGCCTGGGGCTAGGCTAGCAAAAGAAAAAAAAATTGTTTAATACATCCCATTCGTTTATTGCTTGCTAATATGTCGCTTATATGAGGTCTTCCTGTGTGTGGTAGACGAACTGAACTATAATGTCAAGTCATCTTGTCTCGCCACTTTACCAATGGGGATTGGTAGTTGATGCCTCACAGCCCATCGCTGAGGCTTCTAATGTAGGGAGCTTCTCGTAGTCCTTTCCGCCTCTTTACGTTATGGATATGGCATATTCCTAATATCTCTTCGGCAAGTACTAGCGTTAGTTAGTATTAACTCTCTCTCGCTTTTGTCGCTATACTATGGAATTCTCTTCCCGGCAAAGAAAGAACAGTTGCTACTCCGGCGCCATAGGGATATCTATTGGCTTTGAAGGTAAGAAGAATAAAAAAAATGCAAAAACATACAACAGCCGGTGTTCGCTGATGGTCACCCACTCAACTACTAATCTGCCTCTCGCTCGCTTGACTATGGGGGAGCAGACGGGACCCCGTATTTTCGAGCGGATATGGTCGTATGTGATTGATGTTTTCTATTTTCGACTTATACCAGATGTCGCAAAATAGAGATGCTTTCGGTTACCTGAAGAGCAAAGAATGAGTTCCATGTTTTGATGGAGGCAAGGTGGAATTGTGTTGCAACATAGGTACCTTTCTAGAAGAGCTTTGTAGCAGAATTGGTCCGTTATTGGCATGGCTCATTGGCTCCAGCAGCCCACATAGTCTGTACGCACGCCTGCTAGGGTCAAGTATCAAGCGCCCGAGTTACGATTGAACTCTTTAGACTTCACGTAATACAAAAGATATATACGGATAGATGAGCTTACGACGTAATATGTCTCTTTCCGCCTTGACTATTACCATTCTGTAAGAAAGTTAAAAATGCTGTAGGAAAGACAGAGCGTTAATTGCTTTCTCTGGCTTCTTCCAAGTCAACATCAAGCACCTCGCGGATCCTTAAATTCCTTTCTTATTCTGTTGCTGTCCTCCGAAAGAGTGCCGTGGTAAGCAATAAGTTGCGAATTAATTTAGAAGAGTTTTCTCGTAGGAGGGGGTCTCTGATTAGACCTTTATTCTCTGCCAAATGAGGTAGCAGCCAGTCCCTAACGTAGCTCTTATCGGCAAGGATCTCCATTTCTCTCGTTTGAAGAAGATTCCAAACCGACTTGCCGTTGGATGTTCTTCGCTGGAGAGTGCCAAATGCGCATTGAGATGCCCAACGCATTCTTATATATTGGAAAGTATTCATGAGACTCGAAAATGGATAATACATGAGAGGCACATACTCAGGTAAATCGGCAGGGGAGTACAACTTCACGAGATACGAGCCTTGATATGACTTGGATTTTGCACCCTGGCGTCAATGTGAGCGCACGGTAGGCCTACAATCCAAACATTGACATATCTGATACTCATACGTAGCTGTAGTATAGGCAGCTTATATTCGTCAAGATATTGTAGATTTATTGAACGTATAGCAGGGCCCCCGAGATAGTCATGGCTCATTGATACTGAAATCACCAGGATCTGCCCGTTCTACCCATGCCTAGAAGTAAAAACAGCACACGTTCAAGCTGAGTGGGGAACTGAGGCCGCCCCCCTGTCCGCCAGCATATACCTAGGTAAAATTCCACAAATGCCATCAGGAAGTCCTACAAGGCCAGATTCGAGGATGTCGTAGTGATGCCTGCTGCGCCTAAATTATTTACGTATACCTATCAAACATCTATATCTACGAAATATGCTTGATACCTCGCTCTACTACCTGTTTGGCTTATGCTACTGAGTTTACCCAGCACAACCTATAACTCTAGGTGAGCGTACCTACTAGATTCACGGTTTGAATCCAGATATGTTTACTTGATCTAGCTTCATCTTCAAAATTCGCCGTATGCATATATGTTAAGCGCCAGTCGAATGCAGAGAGGATGTAGGCGGCCTCGCGACGAAACAGAAGACAGAACTAGGCGACAGTGGGCGCTTAAAACTCCGCCTCACTAACATGCCGGGATATGAAATGGCCATATATGAGGCCGCTCCGCTCTCAAATTTCCATATACACGCACGCATTTACAATCCGTGTGACTATGGACCATGGATCCTGTCAGTCTGGCAGTTGGATTTATCGGGCTCGCTGGTTTATTTTCGACCTGCCTTGACTTGGCCAAAAAGGTCGATAACTACAAGCACTTCAAAAAGGAAGAACGGACTTTAGCCGCCCAATTCACGTCTCACAGGCTCCGTTTCGAGAAATGGGGCAAAAGTTTGGGACTGGACCGGGCAGCACTATCACAAGACCGGCATGAAGCTCTCGTTGATACGGAAACATTAGAAACTGTGCACAAAATCATCGACATTATCCACGAAATCTTGAGTGATCAAAAGCAGCCTCCCCCTCCAAAGCCGACTACCAATCCAGGTCGTCTTCTTGCTAGAAGCCTGACAGAGCCATTTCGAATAAGTTTGGGGCCCAAAAAAGAAAAGCTCTCCTGGGCCTTGAAGGGCAAGGAGAAAAGGGCGGATCAAGTCGATCTGATTGGCAAATTGGTTCAGCACTTATACCACCTTGTGCCCATAGAATCTATCACTCGAACTACAACGGTGAACGGGATTCAACCACCCAATCTCACCGTCCAAGTTGATAAGTCTTGGACAGTCGAGGTTCGCGACACTCTCCAAAAGTTGGAGGGAAAGGCCCTCGCAGAGACACGTCGGGAATTACACGCTTGGTTAGTAAGGCATCCTCCCAACGAGATATACGAGGATGCCATTCAAAAAAGACTTGAGGACACTTGCGATTGGATTTTCAAGCGTCCTGCCTTAAATGATTGGTTATCTTTGCCACTGAGTCCGGGAGCACCTAGCATTTTATGGATAAATGGGCCGGCGGGATTTGGCAAAACAATTCTCTCCGCTTGGATAGTCCAGCATCTCCAGAAATCTACCAACACTCCAGTGGCGAGCTTCTTTTTCTCATCGGATTTTGAGAGCCGCGACGACCCGTATGAGGCTATCCGAGTATGGATATGGGAGGTTATATCGCGCAATCAACCTGCATTTGACCATGTGTACGCGGAACGAGAGAAGCAGCACGAGTCAGCAGCAACCCGAACAGTTACATTGAGCCTCTTTTCGGATATTGTTCGTCTTGTTCCAGGCTGTATATGTGTCATTGACGGACTTGATGAATGTACCTGGCTGAACAAAAACAACACCATACGAGGCGACTCTATCATGAGTTTCCTAGAAAAGCTTGGTGGAGCAATTGCTGGCTCCAATACGCGAATCCTCATCACTAGCAGAGACGAGCCCGCAATTCGATGTGGATTTGAGAGCATTCAAGGCACCAAATCTGAGTACAGTATCGTGTCCGAGGACGTCGACAGTGATACGAAGCGGTTTGCGAGAAGTATTGTTGAAACGAAACTGTCGAAAAAGAGCGAGTCACTTAAGAATGGCCTCTCAGAAAAGATGGCTGAGAAATGCGGCGGTCAATTTCTCTGGCTCAAATTACAAGAGGACTCTTTGCGCAGCTGGAAGAATGAGAAACAATTACAAGATGCCATTGAGAAAACTCCCTCTGGTCTTGATAACTTGTATCATAGAAACTGGGTAAGATTATCCCAGTTACCAAAGGACGTGAAAGATCGCGCATTTTGTTTACTCCGCTGGGTCACCTTCGCCATACGACCTTTGACTGTTGCTGAGATGGCCGAAGCTATGCTGATCAGCTTTGAAGACGAAGAACTGCCCGTAGATGAGCTACCCGATTTCATCGATGACGATTACGTCAACAGCGAGATAACAGGAGTCCTTGGGTCACTCCTAGATATTCGAAAAGACTCAATGGAATTGAACCCCGGACTTAGCACATTACGACTCACCCATTTCTCCGTGAAGCAATACTTCCTTTCTCACGACGCCGTCTCCGGGGACACTCTACAAGCAAATGAAAAGCTGAGGTCCTCGAACGAAATGGCAGAACACACTACTTTGGCACGATTATGCCTTCGATATATTCATTACGAACGAGCTTGGCAGCTTCAATACGACCAAGAGACGGGCCAAGTTCAAGGGTCTTTCAGAGATTATGCGGCAGGCTTTTGGGATTGCCATGCTCACAATGGTAGTTTGGAGGATGAAGTAACCCAGAAGCTAATGGGCTCCCTATTTGACACGTCCAATCGCGTTTGGGAGTCTTGGAAGAACTGGTTTGATTCAAGAGACAGGGATATAATGGAAGGTTTCTTCAATATGAGCGAAAATGCCGGTGATATGCAAACACCACAGTCACCTCCCAGCCCTGTGTATTATGCTTCGAGGCTTGACTTGACTCAAGTCACTATACAGCTATCTCGAAAACACAAAGATCAACTAAATGACAAATCGTTCTTTGGAGAAACGGCCCTTGTAGCTGCATGCCACAACGGTAACGAGGCAATCTGCAAAGCGCTAATTGCGGCCGGTGCCAGCGTCACATCAGCATCATATAATGGACAAGGTCCCTTGCATACGGCAGCTTTGAAAGGCCACATAGGCGTAATGCGATTGCTTCTTGAGAACGGCGCGGAGCCTAACGCCGTGGACAAGGAATTGGAGACTGCTCTCCATTACGCCACTTATGAAGGGCCTGCTGAAATGGTTGAGCTTCTACTTCAATACGGCGCAAACCCGTTGACTCAAAATTCCGAAGGTGTAACTGCGCTGCACCAAGCAGCTTCACATGGACTCATGGATGCTGCGGAGTTATTAGTTCGTCAAGACGTCGAAGGGCTACACATTACAACCGATCTCCAACAGACGCCTTTGCATATTGCGGCCATCAAAGGCAACGCAGAGCTGGCACGGCTATTCCTAGATTACGGAGCTGATCTTAACGCCGTTGACGCCCATTTGTGCACAGCTCTACTTGATGCTGCCTCTTTCGGTTTCACCGAAGTGGTCCGCTTCCTTCTCAGTTCAAACCCTGAACTTGATATACAGGATAGATGGGGCCAAACAGCCCTAACATGCGCTGCAAAAAATGGACATTCCGAGACCATTCAGCTATTACTGGACAGTGGCTCCGACCCTACTATTGGCGATGAATTCAGTTGGTCAGCCCTACACCTCGCGGCTTTCCAGGGTGGAGTGGATGCCGTACGTGTTCTTCTTGAGAATGGAGTAGACATCATGGGAACCAGTCCCTCTGGATACAATCCTCTCCATTGTGCAGCTGAAGGCGGACAAGTTGAAACAGTCAAATTCCTTCTTAAGAGCGGCGTTGATCTTCTAGCAGCTCAGCGCAATAAAAGAAAAACTCCTCTAAGCGGCGCAATTGCACTGGGTAAGCTGGAAGTGACAGAATTGTTCCTCAACTCTGGTGTAAGCCATAGCGCTGTATTAGAGACCGGATTTCCGCCTCTTATCCTGGCATCTCATTGGGGTCAAATCGATACTTCAAAGCTCCTCCTCAGCCACGGTGCCGATATAGAGGGATCAACAGCAGATGGAGTGACGCCCCTACTGGCAGCCATATCAAACAATAAAGTCGACATGGTGCAATTCCTTCTAGAAATGGGCGCGGACGCGACAACCGCCGATAACGACGGTAACACTGCACTGAGAAACGCCATTTATGAGGGTAATGTTGAAATAGTCAAGTTACTGCTCGATAACGGCGTCGATCTTACCGTCGGAGATGCTCAAGGCTGGAAACCGCTCAATCTAGCAGCACACAACGGACGTGTTGAAATCGTCAATCTTCTTCTTGAGATGGGGTCCAATATCAGTGACACGGATGTCGACGGCTGGACACCATTGCATTCAGCCGCAGATGGAGGGTATCTCGATACACTTGATCTCTTCTTGAGTAGAGGGATCTCACCGGCTGCCTTGGATTATATTGGCAGAACAGCTTTGCACGTAGCCTGTCTAAAAGGCCACAAAGAGGTCATTAAGGCGCTGCTCGACCTATCTAACCCAGACGAAGTCAACCGTTCCGATGCCCATCAACGCACACCCTTCTTCTATGCGGCTATGCGTGGCCATCACCATGTGTTGGAACTTCTTCTCTCAAAGACTGCTAAAATCCATTCAAAAGACTTTTATGGCTCTACGGCGCTCTTTGCTGCTGTACGGAATGCGCATGAGGAGGTGGTCGATCAGTTATTGGCATGCAGTGGAGGAATACCCTTTGATTCAAAGGACGCTTTTGGTAAAACTGTTTTCGATTGGGCACGCGAGAGCAACAATGTCCGAGTCATTGAGGTTCTCAGTCAGTTTAACAAAAATGTTAAAACTGCGGCTGGATCTGACTCCGTTCTTGAACAGACTTGGACACATCAGGTCTTTGACAGCGAGGCGTATTGGTGTGACGTCTGTACCCGTTGCATCAGTGGGGATTATTTTGAGTGCTCATGTACCGGTGAGTTTATTGCTTGTCAAGAGTGCGTTGCAATGGGTGCGAGATGCTTAGATGAATCACACGTATGGAAAATCGCAAAGGCAGACTCTTCAAGTGAGGAAGATAACTGAAGAAACATGATTATCTCGAAGGGATAGTTTTAATAGCTAACTTTACTATCACTATTTGTATCTAGTATATCCTACTACAGTTATATTCTGCTAGTATTTGCTCCTGTAGCTATAATTTTGGCACTACCACTTTGTATTATAAGGTAGTAGCTTTAAATCTGAGACATATGATACTGGATAGCAGACTTGGAGTGCCGCTTGGTATTTCCCTATAGGAAAACCAGTAGAACAGCCATTCCTTGTTATTACTTCGCTACATGTCGAATATTTTTATTGTAATTTTTAAAGACTGTATCATATCTTCCCAGAGTAGTAAGAAGAAGCACAGTAAATGCAATGCAGCAGTATTCACATGACAGAGGAGCTCAGGTGCATTGAAAATAATTCATTAAGTTTGCAAATAAAATGTATACGAACCAGTCATATGATATCAAGACCTTCAACAGTGAAGAAAAAGAGTCAGGCCCCTTGGGCAGTCTCCATGAGTACAAGAAGAAATGAGTTAGATCTACAATAATCCCTTTTTAAAAACACCTCCAAGCCACCGTCTCCCTCCAATTGTGATCACATTAATGCGTTTTTATGACATGGCAGCCATGTTCATGGGAAGAGCACCACCCCAGCCACCGTGGGCACCAACACCCTGGGCAGCATTCACGGGGAAGCTACCAGGGGCACACTGGACGAAGCAAGAGCAGCTACCATCAGCGCCAACAGTTCCCTTGCCGGGTTGGATGCTGTTGTCTCCGCCAGCAGGGGGAGCAGCAGCAGGGGGGGCAGACTGAGCGGGAGGAGCGGCCGGGGGAGGAGCGGCAGCAGGAGGAGCAGACTGCGCAGGCGGGGGAGCGGGAGCAGCAGAGCTGGAACCACCAGTGATGGGAGTAGCAGCACCAGTGCCGTTCTGAGCAATAGCCAGCTGTTGGAACTGAGCCTGGGTCTTGGCAGCGGTAGGGTTGATGGAGAACACCATGCCCTTACCGCAGTGGCCCTTCTGTCGGCAGTAGAACCCTGGGCGATGTTAGAAGCTGGTTTCAAGTGTGTCATATGTGCAATCATCTACTTACAGAGAGGAGTAGAGGCCATAACCTGCATAGCAACCTGGGGAGCAGGAGAGATGGTGTTGTTGGGGTTGGCCTGGAAGCCAGAATCCATACCACCATCGAGCTTCTTGCAAGGAGTGTCGAAAGCAGACTGGGTAACGGTGTGGTTCATGGACTGGAACTCGAAGATGACGGTGTCACCAACGGGGATGTTGTTGAGCTGAGGAGGAGAGTAGACAAGGCCAGCGGCTCCTCCAACGGTGACGGTGTGGGTAGCACCGGCAGCGGCAGCGGTTGAGGTCTGTCCTCCAACAGTCACGGTCTCGGTGACGGTGACCTTTTGGTTGTAGGTGGTGGTAGCGGCACCGCCACCAGGGTTGGCCCAGATGATGATGATCTCGGTCAGAGCGTTGGCAGTGATGCCGTGACCAGCCATGCCGCTGGCAATGGCGATGCTTCGCTCATCCATCTCCAGTTCCACTGTTCGGGCAGCGTTGTCCGGGTAGGCATTCTGGACCTTGTTGGCCATAGCAAGAGGCGCAGAGGCCAAAGCTAACCAGGAGTAGACCTTCATCTTGACGGTGTGGGTGAATTATTGAAAATCTTGACTTGTACACGTAAAAAAGGAGAGCTGTCGAAATACTTGAATCAACCAAGTTTTAAAAGGGCTGGGTATGGCGAGGGCCTGCTCGTGAAGCGAATGGAAAGGAAACTGAAAGAAAAAAAAGAGAGAAAGAGAGCAACTGCCGAAACAATTGGAGACTAGTGATGAGGAAACGAAAGAATGTTTTACTCGACTCGGGGAGAGCTAGACATTTTATCTGTCAAGACACCATGCGGCCAAGCACAGGGCCAGCCATTTCTGTCTGATGGAACCAGACCCTTGAACCCCCCGTTTCCGAGCTAAAGAGTGGTATTCCGGGGCTCGATGCTTCCGAATCAGTGGTGCTCCGTGCTGCTCTGCGCATTTGGTGGTTTGCAGGGGGCCAAGGAGAAACCTGTAACAGAGTTGTCTCGGGTGGCGTTTGGCGATGTTTTGGCGTGGCCCAGGACTCAACCCCGGTCCAGCGGCTAGGGCCTTGGACCACAAGAAAGCTGCATGTTTCTCGAGAGCCATACGAGTAGGTATGCATATGTATGTAGCTCTGTTGAAGCATTTTCTTAACCGTGAATCAGCTACGCTTTGTTATCGGTCGCCACGTTAAGCCCCTGTATGATGATGCTCAGCAAGCGAGAAGGTGGTGGAGACGCAATGCAGAGCACCCCCGGATACGGCAAATAAAGAGTGCACGGCACTGCGCATTGCCGTGCTCTTTTCCAGCTTTCTTAGGTGATGTGCCAATATGAGTCGGCCATTCATTTTCCCTTTTCAGTATTGCCTGAATAATGCGCAATATCAGCTGTGATATTAATTTCATGCGACTAGCGCCATTCCATAAGCTCAGAAATTTCCCATCAGGAAGAAGTCAACGCCAACGCAAAAGCAGACGCAGACGCAGACGCAGACGCAGAGTTGGCGGCTGGATCAACTGGAGGCCGCATACTCCCAATTGCGCCCGAAATAGCATGGACAGGTCGCAATCGTCTGCCATAAGGGGTTGAGGTCAGAACAATCGTCAAGCGCTCGTGGCCGGACCAGTCGCGAGGAACCTCAAACCGCTATTGTGGAGGGTGAAACACGGCTTCCAGATGGGCCGGGGACTGGGCCGTAGCGCATTTCCCATCGGTAGCCTGTCGCTTTTGTAATCCCAGGAGTCAATGCGATCTCGACTTGGTCTTCCCGACTTGGGTTGCCTTCACCGGATCTATCGAAACGCGACCTAGCGATCGTGCTCCCTTCAATTTAAGGCTCCTTCGCTACCAGACTGACAGCAAGGAGTGAGAGCTTGGGGCCTGGAGCCTAGAACCTGTGCGTCCGCAGAATCTCCACAATGACAGCCGAAAGCGTTAATGATCAAATTGCAGCCTGCAGAATGCAGATGATTGAAGAAAGGGATCAAGAAAGAGCCGGAAAGGAAAGAAAAAGAGCATGCAGTGTTGAGCCGCAACGATTCGCTGCAAGACGAGTGTCATCTGGGTCCAAGACGTGAGATCAAACAAACGCGTAATTCTAGTAGTAGTGGCTTTATCGCGAGTTCCATAATGTAGATGCCTTCTCCCTTCCGACCACTATTCAACATGAAACAAATGATCCGATAAGAAACTATCGGTTCGCAGCGTGGCTGAACTCGGTAGAGCTTGACCAAACATCCATCATTGAGATAAATTGGAAATGCACTGACACGTTGTTTCCACCAGCGCCATCCTGAGACGCCAAAGGCCTAAAGCATCTCAACGGTTGCCGTACTAGCAGGGTTGTGGAACACCACTTGTCGCAGTATTTCCACCCCAGCTTCACCAGTCATCTGTGGCGCAGCAGTCTCTCCCCCCGCGATCAGTTAGTCGACACCGACGGACGGACCCAGCTTCGTTCACCGTGGTCCGGGTCAGGGATGCGGTGCCTGCTGCTGTGCTTGCTGCTGCCCCTCAAACAAGCCGGTATAATAGCCAGCGTAGTACCATGACATGAGGAGCTTTTTCAGATTGTCATCGCGCACTGTTAATCGCAGCTCGGAAAGTTTCCCCAGTGTCAGTGCGGCATCTTCAAGGAACGTCGGGTAAGAACAGGGGTATCGCCTTGCTCATGTTACTGACCTGTGCCAAGGAGTGCCTGAGACGGAAACGCGCTGGGGATGGAGCTTAAGCCGTGCCCCGGTTGTGAGCTATGCTGCTCAGAGGAATCCTACAGTTCCTTGGTAAGCTGGAATTTCCGGATAACCATGGCAGAGCAGGATCTTTGCAGATGATAGACGGGGAGTCTTGTTAGCCTGCGCCTCGAAACATACATTCATTGCTGCATCAGCATCGTTACTCGGCAGTTCTTCGACGTGTTTCTCGGTCTCGGTCACCGGTTGACTGCCTGCTTCGTCCACTTTGAGAGCCTCTATGACCCTGTATCCAGCGTCAATAACAAACCAAACAACGGTTCGGCCTGATGTAAGATGAGTAAACACACTTATTGGATGAACTAGCGTCGGCTTCTTCCAAGTCTCGGATGTTGCCGCCTTTCGCGTGGATGCTGTGGTACTTCTACTCTGGTTAAGGCGATGCCTCTCTGTCTCATTTTGTCAGGGCCTTACTTTGTACTCTTTCAGAGCCTGATTCCAGGAATCGATTAGAAGAGAGTCGTCCCAGACTTCTTCATGGTGAGGATCGGATTCATCGATATTCATGATGATGAAAATGTGAAGTTTGAATCTTGAGGTTGGTTGAGAGATGAAAAGAGTAAAGGGAAGAAGGAGCTGGCAAACACGATGACCTAAGCCTAGTTGAGCAGCAAGAAATACAATTTGTTCAACAAGCCTTTACGCGAACCAAATACTGAATTCTCTATGAAATGGATCAGAAAGAATTGAATCTTTACAGATTTACAGAGAGAATTGACCTGGCCATGTCGATAATTATTTGTTGATATATTGATATCCTTCCTCAATACCTTTGGAGCGTACCCTGGACAATCAAGTGATATCAAAAAGCGCCCTGAATTATCGATAGAGCTCGTTACTGAAACTGGCGTAGCGGCTGTTAGTGGACATGAACCCCCCACCAATGGCGCCTGTTCGGGGCTTTCACCGCCCAAGAAAAACGGCAGAATCGTAAATTTTCCAGTAATTTTTTTTGGGACGCAAGTTTGCGACGATTCGCCCATCGCCTTCAAGGTAAGACAAAGCATCACAGTCCACATCATGGCACGAGTACTTCGAAGCAGAGCGGGTAAGAGCTCCATTACGGCTTCTTGTAAACGTCGTTTGTCTAATTGTACCTAGTCGCGTCACCGAAAACCACCGACGCTGCAAAGCCTGGCAGTACCCCAAAGGGAAAGAGAAAGGGTATGGCCACCGACTCGAATTGACTTGCCTCCGCCTCATGCTGATATATGTTTCATCACAGCCGCCGAAGAGTCTTCACCCGTTGTACTGAAGAAGCAGAAATCCGCCAAGAAGGAAGATGTCGAGACCAAGGCAGCCAAGTCACCCAAGGTAGCCAAGTCGCCAAAGGCCAAGAAGGAGGAAAAGGAGAAAGAAGAAAAGAAGAAAGAAGAAAAGAAGCAAGATGTGATTGACATGGAGGAAGATTCTGAGTCTGAGGGACAAGAAGATGAGGGAAATCTCCAGGCTTTGGCCGTCAACATTGACCCGGAAGAGGAGGCCCCCGTCAACGAAGGAGAATTCCAGCCCGGTCAGGATGTTGGCAAGATCCCCAAGGTCTCGAAAGATGTTCACAAGTCGATCAAGGCTTCCAAGGAAGAGCCCGGCGTTGTTTACATTGGCCGGATACCCCATGGTTTCTACGAATACGAAATGAAGCAATACCTGTCTCAATTCGGCCCCATCTCCCGGCTGCGTCTGTCCCGCAACAAGAAGACTGGTGCCAGCAAGCACTTTGCCTTTGTTGAATTCACTGAGGCCAGCACGGCCGAGATTGTCTCAAAGACCATGGACAACTATCTGTTGTTTGGACACATTCTGAAATGCAAGGTCCTCTCCAAGGACCAGGTACATGACGACTTGTTCAAGGGAGCGAACAGAAGATTCAAGAAGGTGCCGTGGAACAAGATGGCTGGTATCCAGTTGGAGAAGCCTCTTACCGAGTCGGCCTGGGAAGCCAAGGTTGCAAAGGAGCGAGGCAACCGGGCGAAGAAGGCTGCCAAGCTCAAGGAGCTGGGTTATGAGTTTGAGGCTCCAGAGCTCAAGAAGGTCCCTGCACCTACTGCCGCCGCGATTGAGAATGGAGAGGGAGTCAAGGCGATTGAGGCGGCTCCAGAGGTAGCCCCGGAGGAGGAAAAGCCTGTTGAAGAGACGGAGGGCGCCGATTCAACAGAGAAGACTCCGGCGAAGGCAAAATCAGCTGCTACTCCCAAGAAGGCAGCCAAGGCCAAGGCTGCCAAGTCGACGACGACAAGGACGAGGAAGGCCAAGGCTTAAGTGCAATGATTCGTGGTTGTTATACATATATTTGATTTCACACTCGGCAGGTTCATTACGGCGCAGTGGTTTAATAAGATTCAAGTGCACTTTATCTTGACAAGAGCTCGTTTTCTTCCATCTGTGAAAGAAAGAAAAAAAAAGTTCATCAGGTTGAATGTTCGCACATAAGCGAACCCGTCGCGCTCGTGAGATGATTGAGCAAGCAACGGGATTATAAAAGGCGAGATGATCTACTTCGCGCGAGATTGTGAAAAAGCCATTGGTGGTATGATCTCCTTCAATAGTTTGATGGCGAAGATATTGTAAGATGAAGAGAAAAGAAGAAGAAAAAATTGGAAAAAAGCCCGCGGAAGTGGAGGACTTTGATAAGGGAAAATCGTGATGACTAAGCCCACCGACCGAATGCGGCATGGGGATACGTACGACAATCTGCACCATGAGCCTCGTATCCCACGATAGTCTCGTATTGGAACACTTGTCTTCTGCAAGCCGCCTCTCTGACGCGTGCCAAATCCTTCTAGAAGAGTTGAGGATCCTTGCTTGTCTCTCTATTTTTGGCCCGCTGTCTCAATTGCTCCCTCAGCAAGTCGAGGCCGCATCGCCACCTCAGATCTCAGCTTCAGCTATACGAGTATCCGCAGCATCGATTAGACGAATCGGAGTCGACGCCGCGGAGGAGCTCGATCGCTGATTTGGCAATCCCGCACGCCCTTGCGCCAGAGATCCTCGTACGAGGGCGCGATATAAGAGCCTTGGAGTCGCCCAGAGACATCGCAGCGAGCTGCATGCAACCTCTTTAACACCTGCCTACCATGTCGTCGACAGCGGCCACGGAGCCCAGCCTAACGTCCAATTCAGGTTAGTCGTGGTTCTCACGAGAGCTGGCGGGATGTCGTATGCTAAAGCTAGTTATGGGACAGCGGCAAAGAGGAAGAACAACAAGAAAAAGAAGAATGCCAACAAGAGCAAGGAGCCGGCGCAGACGAGCAACGGCGACGCCAGAATCGACAAGGACGAGCTAGATGACGAACCAGACACGCCCACAACCGCCGTAAGCCAGTGCCGCAGCTTCGACTTCTGTATAATCGCGCTAATCACCTTAATAGGAAATCCCGAGCACGAGTAATGTCGACAACACCGAAGAGCCAAAGAGCGAAACCAATGGACACCCAGTAGCACCGTCGAACCACGAGCATCCCGAGCCGCATGCGCCTGCGCCTGCGCAACAACCCGACGGCGAATCCGACACATCGGCCAAGCTAGAAGCCATGAGCAAGGAGCGAGAGGCTCTCCGAGTCGAGGTTGAGCAGCTGCGGAAACAACTGGAAAGCATTCAAGAAAATCACCAGGCTGAGGTGTCGCAATTACAGGCGGAGCTAGAAGACAGCAATGCCGCAAGAGAAACCGCCGAGGAGCAATACCAGACGCTACTTGGGCGAGTGGAGAAGATTAAGGAGACTCTGAGTGACCGGCTTAAGCGAGACAAGGCCGAGTTGGAGGAAGCAAAGGAGCACATAGAAGAACTTGAGGCGCAAAACGAGGAGCTTCGAAATGCAGCAGAATCTTCCAGCGAGAGCTTGGCAAAGGTTCGAGAAGAGCTCCAAGATGCCACACGAGAGCTTACGACGCTTCGAAGTCGCAATAACCTGTCTGCAAACAATTGGGGGAAAGAGAGGGAAGAGCTCATCAGGTCGATCCAGCATCTCAAGGAGGAGATGGAGACAACCTCTAATGCCATGGGCGAATGGGAAGTCATTGCCATGGAGGAGCGTTCTATCAAAGAAAATCTTGGAGACAAAGTGGCCGAGCTCGAGGAAGAGGTTGCCGGGTTAAGACAAGGATATGAGACGGCCAACGCTGAGCGCGATAGCCAGGCGACATTAATCGACAACCTTCAAAATGCGCTACGAGAGATCCAAGAGGCCCGAAGGAAGGAGCTTCGCGACTTAGTTGAGACAAGCGAAGCCCAACTCCAAGAGCAAAAGAAATTGGTACAAGAAGCTGTCGCGAAAGCTACAGAAGCTCAGGAAGCCAAGGCCGAGCTCGTCAAGGAACTCGAGCGTACCGTTCCCTTTGAGAAGGAGGTCAAGGAGAAAAATCTCCTCATCGGAAAGCTACGGCATGAGGCTATCGTCCTAAATGACCACCTCACCAAGGCCCTACGGTATCTCAAAAAGACAAAACCAGAAGACAACGTGGATAGGTGAGCACTATCGCCCATCGAAAGAGACCAGGCTTTTTTTGCTAACATATATCGTCAACACAGGCAAGTCGTCACAAATCATCTTCTGCATTTCCTCACACTAGACCGAGGCGACGCCAAGCGCTTCCAGGTTTTGCAAGTCATGGCCGGCTATCTAAACTGGACCGACGAACAACGCGAACAAGCTGGACTTGCTCGTCCCGGAGGATCAACCAACAGTCTCCGCCTCCCTCTCTCACCCTTCCAGCGAACTCCTAGCTCGCCATCACTAAGCGCCGACATATTCTCTGAACCAACCTCTGCGAGAGACCGGGAGTCCCTGGCGGAGCTCTGGGCTGGCTTCCTAGAGCGTAGCGCACAAGAGGGAACCAGTGACGGGCCCTCAAGAAAAGGCAGCACAAGTAGCGTAGCAACAGGTGCGGGTGTTACAATAGGACGTCCAGAATCTAGGTCTTGAGGTAGCCATTAGACAATGATAGATATTTCACAGCGCAATACATACTTTGGAATTGACGGTATGCATCGACTCGCAATGCAAGCGAAAGATGGACTCGGATTTGTAGATAAAACGCAATGAAGGTGGAAGATGGACTTGATTGTGTACATGAATGCTATGAAAGTCAAAGATGGGTTCAAATTTGTAGATGATATGCTATGCTACGCCATGTATTTATTCTTGTTGCATTGGTCGCAGGACGTTCTGAGTGTATGTCTCTGCATCCCTCGTTATGTTTTGGATATCGATCCTGTTGCTCAAAGCGTCGTTTACGCCATCAATGACCTCTCGCTCCTCCATCACCTCACCCATCAGGCGGACCTCATGTTGCCAGTAAGCTTGAGAGCGCGAGCGTAGATCTTCGTCACGCATGATTGTGTTCTTCACAATGCCAGCCGCATTCACCTTGCTCCTTGCAGCTACAAGTGCCCGGTTGACAAGCTCGATGCGTTCCGCCGGAGAGGGAGGCAGCACGAATGCACGATTGGTCGACGAAAGATACAAAACGTATGCAATAGCCGCATCAAGTGCTGCAAGGGCGACGAATCGGTAGCTTCTCATCGTCCAGTAAAAGAAGTCCAAGTCGTTAAGCCGAAGCGCCCGCGAGTTGGCCTGGTAATTGTAGGAGTTGACAAAGTACACCTCCAGCCCGGCGAGAATGCCGGAACAGACTGTTGCCGTCGTCCTCCATTGCGAGCCGTATTTTCCAGTCACCGACGGGCTTGTGACGATGGCGAGGATGATCAAGTTGCCGATATGCGGCCACAGTATGGAAGGGAGGGCATAGTAGAAGTAGCTCTTTGGTTCGTCGGCGGTGCAAAAGATGCACTCGGCCAGTACTTCTGGGCCATACTGGAAATACAACAGACGGCTTTCAAGGTTGACAAATTTGGATCTCAGGGTATGGTCCCATGCCGTGAAGGCATTTTCAGGTCGTAAAGCCGAGACACGGTTGAACAACACATCGACCGGGATTTGCAGTCGGCTTTGAGTCTTGGTGAATATGTTTTCTGGAGAAGCGGTCGGTAGCGTTTTCACGACGAGGAGAAACGCAAAGAAGTAGAGCATGAAGACGACTACGCGAATCATCGGTGGGATGGGTTGCACAGAGAGGCCATGTCGTTTGGGAGCCGATCGGACGCTGCGATAGTAGGAGATGGCCTTTGGGAGCAGCATAGGCCCAAAGAAGAGGGCAAATGCGCGAATGCTATGATGCACAGGATCAGTAATTGTTTCCCAGTATCATCAGACTCAACTATGATCTACTTACGAATCCCAAGAGATTGCCATTTTGAACGCCACACAACGCTTAACAGAGCATGGGTGGATAGTTGAAAGGGCAAAGTGGCCAGCGAGAGATGGACAAGGCTGAATCGCCGAAAGTCCAGGTGGCGTCAACATATCTGCAGCCTTGTGCTGTTATCTAATCTTGAGTGGGGCGCATGTAGCGAATCAAAAGCACGGCGTATTTGTGGCTAATTTACCTGCCTTGCCTGCTTATGTCACATGTTTGAGGAAAGTTTCATCTGCCGAATTGATACTGAGACTACGAGTACGTTACCCTAGAGAAAAAGTCAAAAATAACAAATGAGCAATTTTGATACAGAACAGAGTGAACGCGCTTTGGAGGCTGCATTAATATGAAATAGAGGTGTGTATAATACTATAGTTTCCTTTGGTAATCAGAGTCTCTCCGTATATTCAAACCTACGTTGGCGATTCTAATGTAGCCGGCAAATTTACTTTGCCTTTATTAGACTCCATCAAGACACAGTGGGTTTTGTAGTAGTAAACACTAAGTTTTAGTAAAAACATTTTCTTTCTCTCAACGATATATACAAGGATTACATATTACACATATACTTTACGTAAGCATCCCTTAACCATCCGAGGCTTTGCGGTAAGATTTTTGAGAAACAAGCCCCTGATATAAACCTGTGCCGCCTCCATAGAACACTAGGTACTTGCTTGCAATAAATTGGGATTGAACATACAACTACGAAGCCAACATTTGCAAAAAAATCCATCATGTGATTGCTTAATTTGGAATTTGGTATCTGTTAATGCTGCCATATGTATGTACTAGTGGGCCGGCAATAAAGCAGCCCAGCCGCAGCGATATCAAGCAATAAACTACAAGGGGGAAAACAGGGACACAAAGCCCGAACCCTTTTTGCCGGAATAGCAATAGTAATACCGCAACAAAATATCAATTTCGCTGTATCTCCAAGGCTATACCTAGTATTAAGCCAGAAAACGCTCCCTCCTCTTCATCTAGATCGTCCCAAAGTTGCGCCATATTGTAAAATTCTCAAGGAGCGCCTGATTTCGCCGTGCCGTGTTTTCTTCCATCTCTTGTCGTGCTACCAAGTTCTTCGCATGTAGCATTCGAAGCTCAAGAGCCCAACTGAGTCGGTTTCTTCACCTTTGCATCCTTTTTTTCTTGTATTGCTTTATTTTCTAGCTCGGTTTTCCTTTCATTGGCTGTTGACCTTGTCAGTCGACTGATTCGTAACCGGTAATGGATATGTTTTGTTAATTCGGACCTAAAGCTTGCTTCTGTCGCATCTTTTCGGCATCGCTCAAGCCCTGCTTCGCCAGCTCGGAGCCAGACTTGCCATTGCTGCCTTTCTGTGAATATTTTGATACTCGGTTAGTCATCCATTCTGCATTTGTAGGGTGCAGTCTTTGGGTAGTCGGCTTACTCCTTTGGCTGCATTCTTCAAGTTTTTGGCACGGGCCAATTCACGCTGATTTCCGCGGGTCATGGTGGAGCGGTTGGTATTGCTTCTAGATAGAATGATACGGCTGAGGATGTGAGGATGGATGAAGGAGAGGCCTTAGTTCGCGTCAAAGTATCTACGTGGATTTACGGCCGTGGCTTCAAGCCAATCAGAGAATGCCGTGGCTAGGGTCCGTAAGCATTCCATCTAAAGCCGCTATTATACTCCGAGTTGTAACTCCTCATACTTTACACTACGTGAGGGTACTTGCGTCTGTGCTCCCTCGACGTTTACCGTGTCTGACTACTTGAATTTACCATGTTATGACCGTCCGATGTCGAGGGCAACTATGCAGGGACTTCCGCATTCGACAACAAACCCTGTTTGCGGCCCAGACATTCGGTACAAATCTCGGCGGCTAGGTTGATTTCGGACCATTGCCGAAGGTGCTCGAAGGTTGTCGGTACAGTTGCGATAGTCAGCTTGCGTGTTCCTTTTCCTTCCATGTTGTCGGGACGAAAAGAAGCAAAGACAGGCTTTCAAATAGAGACGGCTGCTGCCTTTTTGAATATTCCTGGGCGCATTGGCTATTGGAGAATCTATTTCGGCAGTTTTATGCACGAAACCTAACGACTTCGGTTCCTGTTCCGGCTATGGGACTGGATGCAACTCGAGCTAATAACACAGTGCCGAAAAGCGGTTCGGCACCGAACGCAACTCCAACGTTTCCGAGACATTGGATTCTGCAATGGATAGTCGTGGGACAAAAGACGTGGTTAACCCTAATGTTCTATAATTTCTTATCTGCGCAAATGTGCGTGTGTTGATGCCACAAGCATTCCTAGGTATCTTTGGTCGCACTCAAGGTCCAAATTGTCAAGCTCTGGGATTAAAAGTACTCGCGCTTAAGTACTAGTACTTGCTTCAAGCGCTCTGGTCGCTGGCGATTTTGGTAGAGTGTACCTACATGTAGTAGCGCTTCAGCACAGGGCCCTGCAGAACTGCTGAAACACCTACACGCGCATTCACAGCCAATCAACCCACCTCACAATCCCGGCCTTGGGATGGAACCAAAGACTCCCAACGCTTGGCCCGTTTCTCGGCCGCTTGCCGCCGCGACTTCATTGGATCTTGTCAAACGATGCATTATCTCATCATGGCCCGATGCTACTATTTGCAGACTCTCGGCGTGGCAACAGTCTCTGACAGGGCTTGCATAGGTGAGGTGGGATCGCGGCTCTGATCAGGAGCTCTGAAGCTTGATCGTTGCGGTTCTGGTGCAAGCGCGGCCATTGATGGCGGCCGGATTGCTTATGAAACAAGCTGCTCTCGGCGCGGCTAATGTTTTCTATTTTTCTATCTTGGCCCCTGGCCTGCTGGAGTGGTTCTGCAGAAACGATTGGCCTTGGAGGCTGGCGGGTGTTTGGCTGAAGCTGTGAATGAGACGACGGCCAGCTGTTTGCTGCCGAGCGCCCCCATGATCTTTTGGATGCGCGTCAGAGGAGCGCTGCTTTTCTCCAGCTGCTCTTTGTTTCAGCAGCAGGGGCTTTGTCTTTGCTTCGCTCGTGAGGGCGGCAAGCGGCCGTGTTGTGGTTGACATCGATTGGGTGCGTAGTCTTGATAAAGAAGTGCTGAGCCTCTCCTCAGATTGCCCACACCTTTTCTTTCAGCGTGCTTTTCGGATTTCCGCCCATCACTTTTCGTTTTTCCTATTGTCTTGCCTAACAATGGTGTTTGTGAAAAGATATTGAAGCTTCTTTCCAATCGTTTTCTAGTAGCTTCACATTCTCTTCTTCTTTTCCTTCCACTTTCCTTTCTTCATACTCTTCATCTTCATCGCCACCGGGCTGGTTCCCTCATTTTCTCGATCTCTCTCTGTGCATCTACTAGGCTTTGTCTTGTCGCCAATATTTACACGACTTGAACGCAGCACCCTGCTTGAACTGCTACGTTTCGCATTCATTCACTGACGGGCAGCGTCTACTGTTCAAGCCTCTTCATCGTGAGTATTTCTCGTCGAACGTCCAACTCCCCCGACTGACCATTTTCTGTAGCATTCATTACAACACACTACTTTTTCACAAACGATTACCATGGCTGGCTTCATGAAATCACCGGGCCTCCGAGGCGCTGGGCTGGTCGTTCTCCAGGCTCTTCGAGCGGCCACCGTTATTACCCTCCTGACTGCCGGCGCCGCCTGCTGGATCCTGATCATCAACGTCGAAAAGAACAAGCCGTACTTCATCTTTGAGTGCTTTACACTCTTTTTCGTATCCGTTTTCTGCTCTTTGCTCGCTGTTTCGGAACTTGCATTTGCCGAGTTCATCAAGGTGTACCTGCGTCGTATGTGGCCTGTCCTGTCCGACCACCATGGACTTAGTTGGCTGGGCTTCGGAATGATCATCATCGGCTGCAACATCTTGGGAATGCTTAATCACGACTTGAAGATGTCCTCTGCCCTGTCATCGCTGGTACTGGCTGCGGGCATCCTGGCTTTAATCTTTGGCTTTCTCAACGTCGTCTGCTCCTTTATCTGGTGCGATCGAAAGGAGGGCATCACGTCTCGCGACATTCGCTCAAATGGCTCGCTGGCTCAGTCGCAACGTCAGTATTCCGAATACGATAACTCTATCCGGTCATCTCCTGTCAGAAACGAAAAGTACAGGAGCAAGATCGCCTCCATGTTCTGGAAGAAGGAAAAGGAGGAATACCCAAATGCACAACCCGAGATCAGCCCTCCCTACACCATCCACCACACCCGCGACATCGAAGCACAGAGCGACAGTCCTATCGTTCCAGGACTCAAGCGCCCTGACACGGCTTTGCACCCAATGAACAGTCGCAGCATCCGCAGCAGTCGGTATTCTGAGGCCAACATGTCACGGTTTTGATCGCTGTCAAACAAAGGCAGAGCCTGGGACCTCTTCCTCTCAAAGGGGAGAACAGAACAAAGGAAAATCAAAAAAAAAAAAAAAAATATGGCACTTATGATGGCCAAAGAAAGTCTGAGAGTTGGACGGATGGATCAAGGGCGTTGAGGGCTGGGAACAAGCGCGGACTGGTAATACTGAGATACCCCAAAGAGGGCTGGACATGATCTTTCTGATTTGTTTGCATGTGCAGTTTTTTTTAAGAGTGAAGTTTTAGCAATGATTCAATGCGAAGAAGGAATACATCATAAAAGAGAAAACATCTTGAAAGAAACGTGACTTGTGTGTACACCTGAATGTTCATCTGCATTTGGTGATATCAAAGGACGTACCAAGCCAAGTCGCGTGGGCACGTGATCAACGTGATTGGCATAGATGCTGGTAATGCGTAAAGGAACGGGTACCCGAGATATGGGAATTATTGTACCTGGAAATAGATGAGCGGAATTAAACCGTTGCAATCTGTCTGCATCGCGAAACAATGTGCCCACGCGTCTATTGTTTCAATGATTTAGATCTCGGTCCTTGAGAAACATTTGTCTCTGCAAAGGTACATGTATGTCCTGACTTCACCTCCAATGGCCCGTGCGGCATCTGATAATTGATAAATCACGTGACCCAAGATTAGCATCAACCTCTGAGCAATCGCTCCATCTGCCCATCCGACTCTGTTTGTTTTCCCTCCTCAATGATAGCTCTGGCGACCTGACGCTGCTCATTTGACGGCGTGAGCCTTCTTTCTGCAGAAGGGAACCAGACTGCACCCTCGACCCTCCGCATTTCGCATTCCCAGACGGACGGCTTGTCCTCTCTCGCCTCTCCACGCCTCTGCGTTTGGTGACAACCTCGTCAGCTCGGGAGGCATCTTCTCGCCACAGCGTCGCATCATTCGATTCAATCATTGGAGGTAGCTATTGTCGCGATATCTCAGCAGCGCACCGCAGACTCCAGGGGGGTCGTTCTAGCGTAGGCTTGCCTGCGGATATAGTGTTTGAAGTCGCGGCGAGTGAACTCGGTGGTATCAAGAAACAGAGCTGAAGAGGGTTTTCTCAAGGTTCTATACGATAGTTTGTGGCTGGGTTTAGAGGTTGAGGACGGCGAAGGCCAGGATCAGTATCTCTTGGAGTAAACTTCGCCCCCTCCCGAACGTGCGATTATTGTGTCCGCTTTCATTTCGTTGCCCGGTATACGAAACTTAGCTTCATATCTCTTGCAAGGCGGCAGCGTTTTTTCTTTGTTTTGTCTCCTGGGGTTTCTGCGCAAGCCCCGTTCCACCATTTTCCTTTCTCCCTGATCACACCTGGTTGTCACGAGGCCTTCTGTTTGTTTTCTTAAGAATATTATTTGCATTATCAGCAAGATCGTTCACAATGTCATCTGACGGGGCCGAAGTGGCGGAGGACTATCGCCTTGCCCTGGAGGATCTCTCGTCTAATATGCGCTTTGAAATTAGCAATTTGACAGTAATTGCTAGAGAAAATACTGAACATGCATTGGCCATTGCAGATGTTCTGCAGCAGCACATACTAAAGGTAGGTGGATATTCTATTTGGTGTGTTTGGTTGATGGGGGTTTCTTATGCGATGCGATGCTCTCTTTCCGCTTCTCTCCCCCCCTTCTCCTTCTTGTCGAATAATCAGATGCTTATACATAATTAGGCGCCACCGAACAAGAAACTGCCAGCCCTCTATGTCATGGATTCGATTGTCAAGAACGTTGGCACTCCATATACGCTCTACTTCGGTCGATCGCTCTTCAAGATATTCATGGAATCATACGCGGTGGTTGATCACGGCATACGCAGAAAGATGGAGGAGATGCTTAAAACGTGGAAGGATCCTGTTCCTGGATCAATGGACACGCGGCCCGTCTTTTCACACGAGCTGGTACGGCCGATCGAGAATGCCTTGATGAAGGCCAGAGCAGCGAGCATGCCGCAGCAGGGTCAGGGTGGCATACCTGGACGACCTCGCCCGGGAATGTTCCCTCATCGAAATACACCGACGCCGCCGGGAATGCGTGGGTTTCCCGGCCCAGCTGGGAATTTTTCGCCTCAGCCTCACCCGTTCTCCAACGGAGGACACCCTGGTGAGCCAATACCCGGCAACGCACCGCACCCCGGGCAGCAGGTCAGTCTTTCTCACCATGAAATGCGTTTTCTTCGTCTAACAAGTCTGTATAGCCCGCTCCTTATCCCCCATCCACCACGGCCTCTTACAACTCAACCCCTGTCCCCTTCCACCCGGCGTTTCGCTCGGGTTTACCTCTGCCGTCTGGAATAAGCGTAGAGACCTTGAACAGTGACATTCAAAACCTGATTGTTGCTATGAGGGCCGAGTTCTCGCAGAACCCACATGATGGCGGTGTCCAGAGCAGATTAAAAGCTCTGTTGGACTTGCAGGGCGTTGTACAACACTCGAATCTGCCACCAGACCAGCTTGAGCTCATTAAAAACAAAGTAACAGAACTTGCTGCCGTGACAATGAGGGCTCCTCTAGCCCGTAACTCTGCGACTTCTACACCCCCTATTCCAGCACCAGCGACGGCGCCGCCTCTGGCGCTTCCTGTGCACCCTCCTTCAACATCTGTAACTCCGTCAGCTGTGCCAGCAGCCCAGTCTGCTGCGTCAGTGACCCTTGATTCATTGCTGGGGAAAGGGGCGATGGCGGCCTTGTTGAGCATGCAGTCGGCCAAACCTCAGAACACGACACCCCAGCCTCCGTTTGGTGGTGCTCCCATACGGTCACCACAGACGAACCATAACGAGCCACCCAAGGCATCCGCGGCCCCTGGCCCAAATGCCTCGTCCTTGCTAGATCAGCTTCGGGCAGCGGGAATGCTTCCACCTGCTACGCCTACAAATGCACCGGCTCCAATCTCGATGCCAGTTCCTCCACCGCCGCCCTCCATGTTCCCCCCAGGCCTTTCAGCGAGCATTGCCAGTTTGCTAGCTGCTCATAGGCCAGATTCTGGCCGATCCAGCGCAGATGGACTGGGTGCTTCTTCTGGAATGGACTCGGCGGCTTTAAAGCGACAGTAAGTTGACCTCCATCGACTTGATCTGATGAACAATTTACTCACAAAATGATGTAGATTCCGCCCCGACGCTGTTGCCGCGTTGTATGATGACCTGGGACCTCCTTGTACGCAGTGTGGACGGCGATTCAAGACGGATGAAGAGGGGAGAAGGAAGAAGACGGCTCACATGGACTGGCACTTTAAAGTGCACCAACGAAGCACGGAGGCGGAGAAGCGAGGCACACATCGGAGTTGGTATGTGGACCAGCAGGTAAGTTTCTCTTCCCGACAGTAATTTCCGCAGAGGGGGGCAAACTCTGACTTTGATATGTAGGATTGGGTCAAGGCTCGCGAAGCGGTTGATGCGATACACGATGTATCTTCCAAAGAGGAGTCTGCTCAAGCGTCAAAAGACTCAGAGGGCCCCAAGTACATTCTCGTGCCAGATTCGAGCAGCGGCATCAACAACGTGTGCCCGATCTGCCAGGAGAGATTTGAGAACAAGTGGTTCGATACGGTGCAAGAATGGGTATGGCTCGACACGGTCTTGGTTGGCAACCGGGCATATCACGCCTCATGCCGTGCCGAGGCAACAAGAGATCGAGAGTCCACACCAGGCCTATCACGACGCACGCCAGAGCCGGTGTTGGGAAAGCGAAAAGCAGAGACGGGTCTTACGTCACCAAAGATTAGAGTACATAAGGCGTTTGTATAACGACATGGGCATATTGTTTATTTGGCGGAAATGAGGCCTTGCTTGTTTGGTGCGAGCAACCAACCACATGGCGCCAGGAGATGGCATGCCGAGAGATGTCTACCTACCTTTGATCGAAGCACATGGAAAACTAACATGGAATGGCGTTTGGATGCATTGCGGATCATCAATCTATTTCTGCGGTCATTTGCGGAATACTATACCATTGATCAAAAGATACAAAGAGCAGCGAAGAGACATTGGGAGGGCATGTTTTGGCCTTTCTTTTTTTTGCCATTTCCTTTTTTTGGACGATATGGCGGATGTTGGGCGGATCAACTGCTGTGGCCAGCCAAGCGCGGGATATAGGATGATGGAGGCATTGGTCAAGGACAACAGGCGTCTAGCTCGGTATATTCATCAAAACAGAAGAACTATGTTTGATATGAATTCTTTTGTGTAGCTGTACTCACATCGATGATGTAGATACGTGTGAATGATGGATGTTGGTCGTGTGCTTATTAGTGGAGGTACTTTGAGTGATGATTTGTTCGTATTTGCTCAAGTCTAGCTTCTCTGAATTACATCCAATGACGGTAAATAAAGGCTTGCAGTCATTATCGTACCTATCATGTCCATTAGACAGACACCGGACGCATCTCGTGAGGCTGAACCTGAAGGATCACCTGCAAGCTTATGTACTGTAAGCTCATCGCTATGGATCATAGGCTGGACCTGGAGCCCGCGTTTTTAGCGCCCAGCCGCACCTGGCAACAGCCCATCATGCACTAACCCGCAGCCCCCACAGCGCTTGAGCGCCGACGCTCCAGTGGGTGCGAGCAAACAGTTTTAGCGCACCCGACGCTCTGCGCCAGCCACTAAAAGGCCAGGCCAGGCTGCTTACCTACGCAGGCAGCTCCCATCAAACCGGCTGTCGATCCGTCAATCACCACATCCCATTGGACTCAACCAAACCAATGCAGCTGTAACCACTCCCAAGCCTCTCCCCTGCGAAAGTCCATTCCCGACCCCGGCAGCGACACGCGACAACGACGCGAAGGCACCTTTTTCTTGATTTTTTATTTATTTATTTTTATCTTTTGATTGCTGCAGGTCGGGGCTGGCCGGCTTCTGACCCGCGCTTCTCGATTGGCTCGTTGGCCTTGTTCCGACTTCCCTTCGCACTACAGCATGGAGGTGAGATTGGCATTTCCTGCTTCTGCTTCGTCCATTCGCTCTGCCTTTTTCATGGCCTCGCCGCCGCCGTTGCGAGAGGATTTTGCTGGTGCATGCGTGTGTCTCGACAAGCGCCTTGTCATACGCAAGAGGGCAGGGCTTTTGCTCCAGTGAGCTCTCGCCGTGGCCTTGTGTGTCACCCACTATGTCTCTTGTCGATGGCGAACCACAAGCTGCCCTTTGCCCTTTGCCTCTACCGTTTCCTTTTTCTTTTCTTTTTTTCTGCCCTTCCCTAGCCTGGTTTCGAGCAAACATCTGATACCTGAGACCCCCCCCTCTCCCCCTGGCTCGTGACCGGATCTTTCTCCCTCTTTTGATGTGGGATGACAGAGACATTTGCAGCTCGAGTGGGCACCGGTGAACATGGTTCTGGCTCGACTCGCTTGGGCTGCCGGCAAGTTGGGCCGCGGCAGCAGGAGGCCAGCATGCAAGAGCCGAGCAGCCCGTGTGACGGCTCGTGTCACCTTGATGCCTGATTGCGCTGCAACCGTGCTCGGACGTTGAGGCTTTGGCCCTTGTTCTTGTTTCCCTGTGACGGGGGCTCGAGGCTTGTGCTGTGCTGTGCTGTGCTGTGCGTGTGCTGAGGCAAGCAAGCCACGGCTGCCCAGAGACAAGACCGGTGAGGTAGCTGCTGCTGCTGTGTGTATGTGTGTGTCAGAGAGACGATGAGAGAGAGTGAGAGACAGCTTACTACTAGTTGACTGCCGGTAACCATCCGTCAGCTTGGGGTATTACTACGGAAGATTTTCCTGCGTACGTTGGTATCAACTGCACAAACCAAGCTCTTCACAAGCGTGGAGCAAGAGTGCACCTCTTCAAGTTGCAGACAACGTGTTCTCACCGAGGGCGAATCATTTACCATGTCCCTAAGCCCCCCCATCTACGGCTCGCCTGCAGACAAGCAGCTTGCTGAGCTCGATGCACTCAGTCGCTCCCCCGCTCGTTCAGGTGTTATGAGTCCGGCTAGGCTAAAACTTCAGCTTCTTTACGAGCAGAACAACCGAGGACCGGTGTTAAAAGGTGCGCTGAAACCGGCGGACGCAGCCGGCGGCGCGCCGGAGAAGGGGAAGCCGCGTTTGTTGCTGATGGGCCAGAGACGGTAGGTCAGCCTGTCACAGGAGATGGTGAAGAAAAGCCTTATTAACGGATGAATGTATTGATAGGAGCGGCAAGTCATCCATCTCTAGTGTAGTTTTCCACAAACTCGCTCCCAATGAGACCCTGTTTCTCGAGTCAACTGCACGAATACAAAAGGATACGATGGCGTGAGTTCTCCTCTCCAGTTACGAGTTGTCGATTCTCCTGGCTGACATTTTGATGACAAAAGATCCTTTATGGACTTTCAAGTATGGGATTTTCCTGGCCAGATTGACGTCTTTGATAACCCCAGCTTCGACATGGAGGCCATCTTTGGCGAAATCGGAGCCTTGATCTGGGTCATTGATGCTCAGGACGACTATCTCGAGGCTGTCGCTCGCCTCAACATCACCATCCTCTCTCTGCAACGCACATATCCCAACATCAACATTGAGGTTTTTATTCACAAAGTAGATGGGCTATCAGACGACTACAAGCTAGACATACAGCGAGATATTACCATTCGCATTCAAGACGAGCTGTCCGACCATGGCTTCGAAAATGCCCCCGTTACCTTCCATCTCACCTCTATTTACAACCACTCCATCTTCGAGGCATTTAGCAAGGTCATTCAGAAGCTCATCCCCCGTCTCGGAACGCTCGAGTCCATGCTCACAAACTTGTGCCGAACGTGCCGCTTCGAGAAAGCCTACCTCTTCGATGTGCTCTCCAAGATTTACATTGCCACTGACACCGCGACGGCCGACATGGCCAGCTACGAGATCTGCAGCGACTACATCGATGTTATTATTGATATTACTGAGATTTACGGGACGTGGCAGCGCAGCGACGAAGGTCGTAAACGCCTCGAGGGCGAGCCCTTCAATGCCAAGCTGGAGGACCAAGTCGGTTGCTCGACGGCAGAGAGCTGCCTTGTTTTACACGACAGCCACAAGCCCATCATGCTACGCGAAGTCGACCGATATCTGGCGCTGGTGGCGATTATGACGGATGATTCGTACGACAGGATGCCGCTGGTCAACATGAATGTCGAGGCGGTGGTGGAAGGGCTGACGGAGTTTTTTGACATTACGAAGCCCAAGAAGTGAGGTTTGTTGTTGGGCTGTATGGGAACCAGGACAATGGCTGTCGTTTGGCGTTTTATTGGTTAATTTGAGGCAGGGCAATGTTTATAGCCTCATAGTAAATAGTTCTTTGCAGAGTATTGTTGTCATTGAATTATTTGCCATTTTCTTTCTCGCAGTACAGCACAATCTATTCGTTTCTCATAAGGGGCAAATCTCTAAATGCTGTATTAAAGCTCATAACAGACGCCTGCAGCAAACTGGAGAACAAGTCAACTGTCGGACGGAAATTTATATGTCCGCCACGTTGTGCGGTTGGTCCCCAAAAGACACACCCTGGCAGGCAGATCCCCTCTAATTTGACTTTTATCATAAACTTCCATTCTAATGGGTCTGAGGCTGTGATGGCTGGCGGGCAGACTGTACTTGGGGAAGTGCTCGGCGGATGTTATAGAAGACACCTGAGCTGGGTTTGCGGATCTGTAAGGGCTGTAGGAGAGTATGGACTCGTCTTGGATGGGAACAGAAAGGATGGCGGGAGTATTATCTGAAGTTGAGTTAGTAACCAAGGGGAATCTAAAAAAAAGATGGGAATAAAGAGAATGAAGAGAAAGAAGAGGGCAACGTACCGGGATCGGTGCAAAAAAGAACAAGTGTCTTGTCGTCGAGGAACTTTAAATCCACCAGCGATCGGGGAGCGACGTCGATGACGCAGGTTGCAGCGGGTAAATTATCGCTGATGCCGTTTGTAATCGTCATGTTGACCCGGAAAACGTGCACCTTGTTTGGATCTTGCTGCGATGCCAGTGCTGTGAAGACGGTCCCCGACCGCTTGTCGGAGCTGCACATCTTCATGTCCATCTTGGTGATGGGATTCCCGATGGACATCTTCACCGGGTTGCCGAAGCGAACGCTGCGCCGCTTGGCTTCGGCGATGCTGCTAAAGATCTTGTTGGACCACGTTGTTGCATACGTTACGAGGAAGTCGACGTGTGGGAAGGCTTTCATGCCGGGTTGGCCGGCTTCGTGCTTCTGCAGCTGCTTGTCCAAGACGTCGAGGAGCTTTGGGCCATTCTCGATGAAGTTGTAATCAGAGGTGTAGTCTTGCTCGGTGAACTCGTTGAGGAAGATGTCGAGAGGGCTGTTTGTTAGGTAGCGCTCAATGTAGGCCAGGACTTTGGAATGGTCCATCATGGCTTCTTTGTCGGTTAGCTCGTCGTTTGCGGTGCTGGGCCCTCCTAGTTGGTCGATTTGGAAGCGGAGCCACGCTGAAAAGGCAGAGAAATGCTGGAGCTCGTCCATTGCGTGGATGAGGACTTTGTGTCCGACCAAGGTGAGACAGCTGATGATGTCGAGGACGCGGTTGAGATGGGGGATGGATAATCCGATGTCTTCACGGTCGTTGTAGAAGCGGGCCAGGCCACGGAGGCGACTGAGGATGATGGAGCAGCGCTCGAGAGCTGGGAGGAGGTGCTGATGGACGAGGCTGCGGAGGCCTTCGAGGCCAGATACGACGGCTTTGTCCCAGCGCTTATGACCCTATATATGGCTTCTGTTAGAATGCGAATATTCGGGAAGGAGGAGGTGGTCTGCATACTCGTTCTGCTAGGCTGTCGACGAGCCACTCCTTTACGGCTGGGTAGGCATGGCCGGTTATGGCAGTGTGAAATAGAGCCGAGACGATATCCTTGGGGCCGCTGCTCATCTTCTCCAAGTCTCCCTGGACGCTGAGGAGGAAGCGAGACGGGAGCTCTCTTGCGTTTTTCCATTCAACCTGCATGTGGAGGGATATCTGCTTTAGGTATCGTAGCAGTGCTTGCAACGTGGTGAGTTTGGAGGATAGGAGGGATAAGTTGATGGGGGAGAAGGAGAGGAATGGCAAGTCCATGGGGACGAGGTGGAGTTCCCGGGGCTCATTCTGCTTTTCTGCGTAGATGAGAGAATGCGTCGACATCTGTGAATGAGATGCGTGGTGTATCATGTGAGTCGTACCAGATGATTCCGAGGTCGACAGATCGAGTGCTGGTTGTGGGAATGTGCCGATGATGAAGGAGTCGTAGATGCTCAACTGCAGCTTGCCGTCGCTGGTGCCTACGATCATGACATTGACTTGGTCATAAGTGTCCCGCTTGGGGGTTCGAAAGAGAAAGTCGATGCCACTGCGGAGTGTGAAGACAGTGTTATCCTCGCTATATGGTTTCAAAGTTAGAGTCGCTCCTCGTATGTATACATGTTTGGAACAAGACGAGTGAAGGAGAGTTCACCTTGCACTAGCACTGCTCATCGGCAAGGGGCTGATCCTGGGAAGCGCCGTCTCAACCTCTAGAAAGGTGAGCTCCTGTGGAAGATCGAGCGGGGTTTTGCCTCCTGGCCCAGTCCATCCCTTGGTGACTTGGTCCCTGACTTCACTAGAGACTGCACTGTCCGTCTTGCTGACGATGATGGCGGTTGACCAGCCAATATGCGTTATTGCGGTCTCAGCCTTGTCGCACACGGGAATCTGGTGAGCAGCCTTGTTGTTTTCCAGGCCCATCAGCCGCACAACGCCATCACTCCAGCCCAAGCAGAGAAACTGGCCTGTTGTTTCCAGCACGAGTTAGATGGAGCGTTCTCACACTAGACATCCGATATAGCAATAGCCAAGGGAGAGCCGGTGTTTACTTGCCATCTGGTCTCCAAGTCACAGCACGCACTTCAGGCACCGCCTCGCCTGGAGCTGCAACTTGATGGATCTTGGACACGATCTGATCCGGCGGCCGATACACAAGCAGGTTTCTATCGTCTTGATCCCACGTTGCCGCCAGGTCGAGGGTTGGACAGCCGACAGGGAATCGCCGTCCCGCAGGCGTTTTTGTCTGGAGCTCAGTTTCGCCTAGAAGCTCCAGCTCCAGCTCAGGCCGCGCCATTTCCAAGACTCAAAATCATTCCCAGAAAGAAGAACCATTCATGTGCAATGCAGGATGAGAATTCGACATTTGCGGAATTCAGGGCATAGCTCAGCATATGAAAGAGAAAGACTGGCGACTGTCTGAAATCGCAGGCGAAGACGCGGGCCCAGCGCGCTGTATTTTTTGCAAGACATTGCGAGCCATTGAAGAGCAGCATTTTCTAGTGAGCAGGTCAGGATATAATGAAGCACAAAGGTATTCCAAGCACATACGACCATAGGTAGTGGAGAACTCGGGGTCCCGTCTGCTCCCCCATAGATAAGCCACTAACCGGCAGATTAGTAGTTGGGTGGGTGACCACCAGCGAACACCGGCTGTTGTATGTTTTTTGGTTTTGTAACCCCTTTTACATAAGGCCTTATAAGATGATCAGAGCCACGGACAAGCACATACGACCATATCCATTGGAAAATACGGGGTCCCGTCTGCTCCCCCATCGTCAAGCCAATGAGAGGCAGATTAGTAGTTGAGTGGGTGACCATCAGCGAACACCGGCTGTTGTATGTTTTTTTTTGCATCGTTTTGCTGCATCTGTCCACCTTTTGCTCCGGCCGTTGTGGGTTGACAGACTTCTGTCATTATGTTAATACAGCTCTATTCATCGCTGATACAAGAAATCATCAAGCTTTTGCTCATATGACTATCTCCTCTCCAGATGATTATGTATACGCTTGGTTTTTGGAACGATAACGAAATCATGGAAAAGGGGTTGTAAGCTCTGTCATGGCTTCAATGGTTTCTTGGACATTATATAATGACATTATATAATTACGGCCTATTGATAAGAACAATTTGCTACGCGATAGCTATATATATGCTTAGACGCTGTTGATAACGGACTACTCCTCTTCTTGGTTATTCTCATTTTGGCCGACGTTCTTCTCAAATTTCTGTAACTCATTCTTCATCACTTTGGTCATGTTTGTCGGTTTAATAGTTTCCAATGCCTCAATGAAGTGTTTCCTTGTTAGGATGCGCTTCTCGGTGTCCTCCTTTTGCTCCCTTACGCAGAGTGTTGCTGCTGTGACGCATAGATTCTTCAAGTCAGAGCCTGAGTAGAGTTGTGTCTGTTGCGAGAGAAAGTGGTATGTCATGCCTCTTTCCAGGGTCTCATCCGCAAGCAGCCTTTTAATAATTTCCAATCGCTCATTTGGGTTCGGAAGATCCATATGGATTTGCATAGGTGCCCTACGCAAGACGGCTGGATCAAGATCGAACGGCCGGTTGGTAGCCAGCAGCAGGAACGGAGCTTGTTTGCTACTTATAAGCCCATCCCATTCCATCAGAAATTGATTGAACATGGCGCGTATGTGTCTTTTCTCGCCGGCCTTTCGTGTTCCGAGCATGGCGTCGGCCTCGTCTAAGAAGATGATGCATGGAGACAGCTTTCGACCCATGGAGAAGACCGCTTTGATCACCTTTTCGTCCTCGCCATGACACTTCTGCCAGAGTTCAGCAGTGGAGACTGAGAGCATATTAAACTCGGATTGCCTAGCCAGCGCCCGTACAAGTAATGTCTTGCCAGTCCCCGGTGGACCCCAAAGAATGGCCCCAGTGATTCTATTTCCTTTGAGGACACCGTGAGAAAAGGCGCGACGCCGTTGGAGTGACAGGCGGGTGGCATCTTCCAGCTTCATAATGACTTCCAAATCGACAACCACATCTTTATAATCCGGGGCTATTTCATCTGAAGTAACATGTTAGGTACAACTTGACTTCCAAAGTTAAGACTGCATATGTGGTTGTACCTGTATTCACTATGCAGTCAAGTAGCATTTTTTCGAATCTTGTCGTCGCCTTGGAGCGCCATTCCCTCATTTTTTTGTGATGTTCCCGTTTTGTGCGGTTGGGTTGAGACCTCTGAGAATCTAGGTCGCTGTCATACACGTCATCGTCGGCGTTATGGGGATCTTTGGCATCGTCCGCATCTGAATCGTCGTTATATTCTCCCGGCTTATGTTTAGCAGCCCAAGACGGAGCCACGGATCCTTTCTCCAGAATGCTCTGCTCGGCTTCCGAGTATCTGTCAACCTCAATTGGAAGTTTGAGGGTCGGGCCTTTGCCATTGACACTCCTGTGCTTCTGGATGTCTTCATAGGTACTTGATACGCCCTGATCTGAGATAATGCTTGGCTCATAAGGATGACCTCGCGCCTCGTGGTAGCCGGCTGTGTTATTCGCTATTTGGTCTCCTGTCGTGTCGAGGAATCTTATCATTGGTGGGCTCAATTGGTCCACATTCGGAGGACGCCAACCTGTGCTCAATGCAGTTTCATCTCTAGTACCAAGACTGGTTGCTGGAAGTTCAGTGTCTCCGGAAACGCCATTCTGGCCGTTGTTTTGTTCATCATTGTCGTGAGTAATGATTGGAAGGTGTTGAACGTTATTCTGCCCAGTATATGTGTACATGTCCGAAAATCGCTGTTGCATATACCATGCCAAACCGCCTTCATTGACCTCGCCATCTAGGGCCATGGCGGTGCCCTCGCTAGGAAGATCAAATAAAGAGGCGCTCAGAAGGTGATAAGCAAAGATGCTATCCACAAAATGTAGGTAGGTAGGAGTGTATGAATTCCGCCGCTGGCAACGTTGTAGATCATCAGGGATAGAAATTAATAAATATTATGCTGCCACGCTTTCATGTTGCTTCGTGAGGCTGTACTCATTTGGCCCCCAATTGCACACCACCGTGACTCTAGCTTATGCACGCTGGTTGGCATTAGGTATCAACGCCTTTTACTTTCAAGTGGGGTTTGCATCATTACTGACGCCTGGGAGCCTTTTGATTCGATTTCACCACACGTGCCAGCGGGTTGGCTGTGTTGATCCACTGGGTCACCGAAGCAATTCGTACTTGCAGCATCATATCCAGCCTTGCCAGCCTACCACCACCGTGCATCACATGTCATGTTACAATTATGCAGCTTTCAGCTGGCTATTGAACACGCTAAGAATCCATTGGCTGTATTCTAATCTCAGCCGTGTTGTCCCCGCTGAATGATGCGGCTGCCTCGCAAGGGTACTTGCGCCAACGGGGGGTTTATGCTCCGTATGATGATTCAAAATACTGGTAGTGGAAGACCACGGCCCCTCAAGATGTAATTAGACCTATAAACACAGACCGTTGTCAGAGTATCCCCGAGTGCAAGGACTCCAGCCTGCAATTTCTCGACGGCAAGCGATCTCGATGAATGATTTCTTCATCTTTCAGTCTACACTTATAGAGTAAAAAGACCCCTTTGCTCTTCTTCAATTTTCTGCAATGGTATCTAGGAATCGAGATCGAGATTCTATCAGTGCAAATACTGGGACGCCCACAGACCTATCCAGCGAGACTGTGCTGAGCAATGACAATGGACCACCCGGGGCTACATCCAACCTGGCGGAGAATATTGATACACAACTGTTTGGACAAAACTTCAAGGGCCCATCAATTAGATCCAACGGTTTAAAACTCTTGCGGCGTGGGCGACAGTATCTCTCCCCTGGAAAGCTGAAAGCTCAACCACCTCCTCATCCTAGTCTAAGAAGGCCAACATTCGATCCACAGGAAGGAGAGCCGGCTAAGCGCGGGACGTTGCAGAAATGTCCCTCTATCGAATCTCTCATGGATATTATTGAACCGAAGAGCGAATCAAACATCAGATATCCTGAGTTTGATAGCTTAGCTCAACATTATTTCCCCAAGAGCGCCGCCAAACAGTTTCGCGAGGCCGAAGCTAAACGGCTTTCACATTTTTTGGATCGACCTAATCAGGCATTGTGTTTGGGTGGAACAAAGCTACTTTCAGCAATGTATGGCGATGAAGAAGGATATCGCAAACTATCCAAGATTTCACAATGCGTCTTGACAGCTCAAAACCTATGCTTATTGGACAATGAATGCATAAATGTTCAGCATTGCTCTCGCCTTGCGAGTAATAGTCGAATGCAGAAATTGATACAGCAAGCGCAGTTAGCGGCACAAGCATCATCTTTTGCCGAAGGAGAAGGAGGGGAAGAAGACGAATACGACTCTGAAAGATTTAAACATGACGCATTTCAGTTAATCGATTATGTTTCCGCGCTCCTTATGAGATTGATACACCAGACGGCAGTTGGAGAGTACTGGCTCACCAACGTCATGGCCGTATTAGTTGCACGAGTTGCAAAAATCAAGGCTCTGCTGACGGATATCAAGCTGGGGGCGAACGAATCAATTGCAGTAGGGACAGAGCACTTGAAAGACGCGCAAACATCAGCTAGGGGCTCTCACAGTTTCTCCATCAACATAGACGTCGACGAGGAAGAATGTGAGGAAGCCTTGCGAATCATCGATGCGGATACCAAAGAAGGTCTTACATCGGAAGAGGACGCCAAAATCAGCGCCTATTGCGTAACGCAGAACAAATTTCGTTCGGGGCTTAATTCTGCGATAAAATATATCCTTTCTTCGCTGCTATTTACGAATAGATCAGGACTTCCTGTGACAAACTATGAGGTTTGTGCTGTAGTATACGATATCGGGTTCGAAGGCTTCAAGGCAAGTTTGATCACGCGCCTACTTCATGACATCTTCTAACCTTTCCCAAAGACCATGCTTTTCCAAGACAGAGATTTAGAGTACTCTGCATCATCCGACCGAAACGTACTGAATACTGCGCAATCAGCCCTGAGCATTGTGAACCAGACTCTACGGAACACCAAGGACAGAGTTAAACAACATCCGCCGCAGCGTGATGGGAGTGTACCCACCTACTTCCAGTGGGCGTTCCTCGAAATGACAGATAAAAAGGCCGCAATTGGCGCAGGCGGAGTCAGCTACAGCAGACTCTCAGACTTGATGGAGGAAGTCCAAATTTTCTCCATGGCCGATATTGCCGAAGTTATGGTCGCACTTTTTGTGACGAGCCCAATACTTATCTCCGATTTCACCAACTTCCGATCAATGATAGCCTTGTCTGGAGGTGTTGAAGATGTGGTTACCTCGTACGAGGAAGGCCAGTTTGGTGCCTTTCTTCGACTTTATACACGCGAGTTCGAACAAGGAGCTAAACAACGAGAAACTCTCCTCTTGTCAACAGCATTTTCGCAGCAGCGTTTCTCACGTTGCAAGTTGCTAACGGATGGAAACGGTAGATGGGGTCGTGCAAATCGCCAGCTTCAGCGAGCCTCAACATTACCACAGATCCAACCGACAAGCCAGCATAATGGTGAAGAGTTAGTACAGGAGAAGCTTGACTACTGCGTAATACAGATGGAAAAGTGGGTTGTGGATGAAACCTCGGTGACCGTCTCTTGTAAAACCTATGTATGGTCTTTGATGGCCATTACGGCGGTTCTTGTTGGTGGTGGCCTTGCCATGGGCCTCGCAGTTGGCCAACGAATAGATGGCGTGGACCCTTTCAACTTGGCGACGTATACTTGGGCTCTCGCAGCATTCATAATTGTGGTATTCAAGAGCATGTGGGTTGAGAGTTGGACCTGGAGCGACTTCCTACGTCAACGAGTTCGCTGCCGATCAGTCTCAGAATTAGCAGCGGCGACAAATCTTGATTATCAACTTATCATGGCGAAACTGTTACACGATGATTGCAATGGAAGTATCCTAGTCACCAGAGGGCCCTACAACACAATCTTTCGCAATCAATCCAGCGACGGCGGTGATGGGTTTTCCATCGACCAACCTCTCAGTGCTGAAACCTTGATGCTTAGTGGTATTGCACTGCTCAAAGTTTTGACGCCACGCGGACATGCAGTTGTTTGTCTGGACTACCGATGTGGAACACTTTTAACAATACTAGAACACCGAAGGGGCACTGATAATTCACGACTTGTTTGTGAAGACCTCAGTCGTATACGAAGGGGGAGAGATCCTGTTGATCAGAAAGCACAGGAACTGATTAGTCTGCGTTTGAAAAAGGTGGAAAACTTCAAATGGAAACGAGTTCAAGGTCTGTGGGAATTTCAAAATGCTGGAATTGTTTTCGAGTGAATGCTAGGATCGAGGATTGGCCTGTTGGCGCCCTACTGACTGCTTGTTCAATATCTTCTCTCCTTAATTCTCGAGTACGCATGGCATATGGTTGATAGGAATGTGGCTATAGGATGAAATTAAGCTTGTAGAGAGGAATTGCAATGAAATTGATCCGTAATTGATAGGGATGAACGTTCTCCTGATTTACTTCACAACATACTCCGTCGTCGAAATCAGATCCTGGCGAAGCAACAGCAAGGCACCACCTCATGTCCGCAAACTTACGGGTCATATGCATTCCACATCTTCGCCCATTCTTATTATTAAATACATATTTTGCCACCTTGCTCATTTATGTACGCCACGTCACCTGTGCATGTATGTACTTACCTGCATGGTACGCGGCTGGACCACTCTTGTGACCGCGAACCAAAGTTGCCTTGCAAGGCTTTTAACATTGGCTCGGCTGCATAGGCTTGGCTCGGCTCCTCATTTTACTACAGCTACACCACCTTCTACTTGATGTGCTTGTTAAAAAAATGCATGCGAGGAGAAACTGAGCCATTAACTCTAATGATGAATCCTTGAAAGAGGGGATAGCCTTGCTGCTACTTCTGTTTACCCCAGTTCATCTCCCTCAATGTGGTTGATCCCATCATCGACTGGTATAAAAATATTGGAATTCCCATTCAAATTTCTTGCTTCGGGGCACACTATTGAACTTCCCCCATTCTCCTGAATTTTTATCTATTATCTAGAGAAATTGCAGCTCATGTACGTCCTCTCAAGGACCCGTTCAAAGTTCCACAATGACTGAAGATCCGAGCGACTGGGAGGAAACAATTGATCCACGACCGCACGGGGATTGCGATGTTGGCGACTCCGACGTTGTCAACATTGACGCTTTGGAGCAAACAGAGGACGAGTCGCATCAGGCACTAGACCAAACAGCTGATGTAGAGCACGGAAACAAAGAAAGTTTAATCGACAAACCCTCAACTGAAGATTCAGCCGAGAATCTATCTGGATGTATAGCTGACATGGTCTCGGAATGCCCTTCGACTATTGCCGTGGTGGAAAATGATAGTCAAGGTACAAACGGAAGCGTTTTACCAAAAAATGACTCATCAAATGACCGTTTTTCTTTGGATGCCCGATTTGATGAACGAACAGAGGCAATGCGTCTCGATGACCAACAAGATACATCAAATCACGATGTCGAGCCTTCTGGTGACACTGGGTCGCCACCATCTTACTCTCAAACCCAAAATACTATAGTCGACACATTTGAAGTAAAAGATTCCCATCGCGCTCAAAATAAGCAAGAAAGCCCTTCAGAAACACGTGAAGAAGGTATGCGTGAGCTTATCTGCGAAAATGACACTTGTCATTCGGACGCAGAGAAATTGCGCAGCGAACCTCCGAAAACCAGAGAAGAAAAAAAGGGTTCATCAGAGATGAATGAGCAAAAGAGTTCGTCAGATCCTAATTCTGAACGCTCGACAGGCCCTGCTGGGATACCTTTACCGGGATCACCTTATTTCAATCCTTTCGACTCACCAACGGAAGGAGAACGAGGCTCACGCCGGGGCTCCACTGACGGTATTCCTTCATTGGACGATACACTGCCCGGTGAACTCTTTGCCAATTCACCCATGAAACAAGTATGGGAGCTTCGAAAACGCAAATTAGACCAGGCAAATGAGACGATGGACAAGGTTATGGATATGGTTGGGATTGATCACATAAAAGCAGCCTTTCTAGACATTAAGGGAATGATTGATACAGCACGAAGCCGACGTGAACATTTAAGGAAGCATGATCTCAATTTCGTCTTGACTGGTAACCCAGGAACTGGTATGAGAGAATTTTTTTTCATTTTTTTTTCATAATGTCTTGACATAAAGTTGGATGTTTCGTTTCTGTTAAGATTTCGTTTCTCATATTGCAGCCAGAGCTATTTCGCTGATCACATCCTAATAGGAAAAAGAACTTTGTCTGAACTCTATTTTGCATTTCTAAAAAGTTGTAGCGTTTGGAATCGTACTTCAGAGCCTCCAGAATACAAATCCTTGTCGGGTCGCAACCTCAACACCGCATCAAACTTACAGACTTTTGTTGACTCAATCAGCGACGGAGTAAGCCTATTTTCTTGGCGTATTACCTCTTGGAGTCTTCCTTTTCGCTGACTCATGAAGGTCTTGTCTCTTTACGACGCAGGCTCCGTTGATTACAATGTATTTGCATTCTTAATAGACGCTTTAAACAATCGTCCTGGGGTTATTTTGATCATGTCAGGCTCAGCTGACAACATACCACCCCTCCTAGGAAGTTCTCCGAATGGCAGGTGGCTTTTTCCACAGAGACTTCATATCGAAGACTATAATGATGAAGAACTTGGAAACATTTTCCTACAGATGGTTCGGCAAGACAATTTTAAGATCGAAGGGGGACCAACTGGCCCGTATCCTCGCATATTAGCTAGGCGTGTGGGTTATGGCCGAGATGAGCCTGGATTCGGAAACGCACATGAACTCCGGTTATCCTACTTAAAAATCCTAGAGCGACAAGCTTCTCGCCTCCTGAAGAAGCTGGTAAAGATCGATGATCTATCGGTTGAGCCGGCTCCAGATGAGAACCTACTGACAGGTGAAGACATTCTTGGACCTGAGCCTGAGGACTGCCGAGAAAAGTGTGACGCATGGAAGGAGCTTGAAAAAATGGCTGGGCTAGATGATGTGAAACTAGCCATTAGCAAAAATTTTGATCGGGCTAAAGTCAACTACCGAAGAGAGATCGACGGCAAGGAGCTTCTCAACACATCCTTGAATAGAGTCTTCTTGGGGCCGCCTGGAACAGGTAAAACGACAGTAGCAAAGCTCTATGGTCAAATCATTGCGGAAATTGGTCTCGTGCCAAATCGAGAAGTGGTTTTCAAAGTTCCCAGCGACTTCATTGGCCGCTATTTGGGCGATTCGGAGTTTAAAACAAATGCTATTATAAACGCGACAAAAGGGAAAGTCTTGATTATAGACGACGCACACATGTTCTTCAATGGGACAGATGAGACGGATGAATTTCGGCTTGCCTGCCTTGATGTTATTGTTTCTAAAATCCACAACAGACCGGGAGAGGGTCGCTGCATTATCCTCATCGGATATCCCGACAGGATGGAGGAGATGTTTCAAAAGTGCAATCCAGGACTGCGTCGACGGTTTCCACTTGAGGAAGCCTTTCGATTTCACGATTACGATGATGAGAGACTCCGAGAAATACTTGATTTGAAAATGGAAGAGAGCGAGATCAAAGCTTCTACAGCTGCGATGGAAGTTGCTTCAGAAGTGCTGCGCCGGGCAAGAGATCGACCTAATTTTGGCAATGGCGGAGACATTGTTAATTTGCTAAATCAGGCAAAGGTCAGATATCGAGAGAGAACATTACGAAAGGACACGCCCAAAGGGCCAGAAAACTGTCATGAGGCAAGGAAGACAAAAAAGCTCAATGGAGACAAGCCAGCCCTTAGCCAGGAAGCGGTTGCAACTTGCGGATTGGCTCACACAAACTCGTTTGAGCTTCATGATCTGGAGATGGCCAGTATTACCCTCGAGCCGGAGGATTTCGACCCCAACTATAATCGTGGATCTACTGCAGCCGAAAGATGCCGAGCCCTCTTTGATGGCTTAATAGGATTCGAAGAGACGATTTCACTCTTTACAGGCTATCAACGAACGGCTGAGAACTTACGGCGTAAAAATAAGAATCCCAGGGACACTATTCCTTTTACCTTTGTTTTTAAAGGTCCACCAGGTACTGGGAAGACACACACAGCTCGCATAGTTGGTCAGATTTTTTATGATATGGGGATTTTATCTACTAATGAGGTAGTTGAGTGCTCTGCTTCACAGTTGATTGGGAAGTACGTTGGTCATACTGGCCCAAAGGTAATCGATTTATTTGAAAAATCACTAGGCAAAGTTTTATTTGTCGACGAAGCCTATCGCCTAGGGTTTAGTGGTCGAAACAGCTTTGGAGACGAGGCAGTCGCGGAAATAGTTGACTGCATGACGAAACCTCGCTACCAGCGCAAACTAGTCATTGTTCTAGCTGGTTACACACGCGAGATAGACCTTCTTATGAAAGTGAATGCTGGTCTTCGAGGTCGTTTCACTACTGAAATCAACTTCAGTCCCATGAAGCCGCGGGCAGCTCTGCAATATCTTCGAACCTTACTCTCCAAGCAAGATATTGAATTGCTGGAAGACAATGATGTTGACACAAATGAGTACGAAACAATAATAAGGCTACTTATGAAGCTAAGTATGACAAATGGCTGGTCGAATGGACGAGATGTCAACACACTAGCGGGTATGATTACGGAACATGCTTATAATCACAGCGAAGTGGAAGAAGATGGCAAAAGCGTGTTTGTTCAAAGAAGAGACTTGATCAAGCTTCTTAAGGACATGTTACGACAAAGGATTAAGGGAGGGGTAGCTTGAGGCGTTGGCAGGAGTAACAAGTATTTGGGTGCTTCTGTGAGGAAGATTCTCTATTTATTCTTCGCTCAGTTTTGTCATGCAATGTATAAGCCGCTTAACATACTCTGTAGCTACTTGTCTTTACTTCATCATGTCAATCTAGTTTCTTACATATCAGATCGAAGTTGTTCAATATTGTGCCTTTATCCACATTGTTTACCGGCAAATCATCTTGAGAGCGGTAGACGCTACGGCATAGTTTGCGGTGGTCTTAAATTTTTCTTGATGCCTACTCTTACTCTTTTTCCGCCCTTAGCAACCTATGGATAGCTTGAGATATGGAGCCGGCAGACAACTGTATTGGACGGCTCGGGTCAGAAGCATAAGATCACACTTGATTAGAGAGCAGGCGAGATTCAGGTTTAATTGACTTGCAGTGTTTTATTAGGGAAACGCACACGAAGTAAGCAAGTTACCAAATTACAAGGCTGGAAGTCCCGGATCAACTGGATATACATCATTTAGTAAATTACTTACAAAAATATAATATGATGCAATCACACAAGGAGTCATGACTTACCGATAGGGCCATCGTCGCCTCCACTGCCTCCGCCGGGACACTCGTTGAAAAAAGTCTCGGCCTGCCAATCGCCTGGTTAGCTTCTCTCCAGTAACTGTACAATGGGAATAAGCAGGGATCCTGTGTACTGGTTGGCTTACATTGTTCTTATCAGGCCAAACATGGTGAAGGTCTGCCCGCCCAAGACCCCCGAAATTCACAAAGTGCTATAAAGAAACTTGTTAACTCTGAACAGCAGTGATTATATGCACATGAATACATGGATCACATACCATATTCTCTCCGCGGTCTATCGGTGAGTACACAACACCACGGTTAGTCCAGTGGAACGAGCTCCCTCCATTCGCGTCAACGTCATTGGGCTGGTACCCGTCGTTCTTGAATAACGTTGCGGCGCCTGTGTACTTGTCAACATGGATGAGGTCGGCCCGGCCCGAAGCCTCTACATCAGCGAAGCGAATATTGGCCCTGTCCCAACCTTCGCTGAACTTGACCTGGCCAACGTTTTGGAGCCCTGTTGCTGTATTCAGCCAAGCCGTTATTCGTCCATTAGGCTCCAGGCACAGGATATCCGCACGGCCATCGCCACTATCATGCCATTAGCTATATACCCAAGAGGATGAATTTTGACTCTTCATACTCAATATCGGCAATCCGCATGCCGCGGTCGAAAATGCCAACGCCCCATCCCTGGGTGCAGCTAGCACTCCCCGACTTCACCCCCTGGTTGCTAAACTTGAGCAGCTTGGCGGCTGCATCGTACTTTATTGCCATGAGTTAGCACCTATTCCAGTACTTTACGTTACGTTAAGACTTCGTCTCGTGAGCCGACATTGGCACTTGCTCAGGAAGCTAGAGACAAGCTGAAAATGGGATAAAGGGAATGTCTCGGGGATGTTACATACATCGTTATGCCACAAAGTTAGAGCTCCCGTGGCCTTGTTCTGCACAAGTACGTCGCAGCGTCCATCGCCGTCAAAATCTGCTAGGTGGATGCCCACACGCGGCCCTGGGACTGACAGCGTGATGGAGATGCTATGGCCCCAATCTGGCGGAGAGTGAACGTTTGCAAAGAAATCGGTCGAGTCGGCGTGACCATCCATGTAGATCCAGACGTAATCATCGCTCCCGCTGCCTGTCATGTCGCAATAGAAAACCCCATCGCCTAGAAAAGAGAACCAGAGGTTGTTACTTATTCCGCTCAGTAGAAAAGGGGGTAGCAGTCCAAACCTTTCAATTTTGTGCCTCCGGCTCCTTGGTTCTCCCACACCAGCATGTCGTAGTAAGTGGCTTCTTCCTTGAAGTAGATGTAATCGCGTCGACCTGAGCCGTAGATCCGGCCGAACTTGATCTGCTCACGTACGCCAGGCGTGTTCATACCCGCATGCGTGATACCAGACGCGGACCAGCTCGGCACCTAACCATCCTCATCAGTCAACGACTCAAAGAATTTAAAATGCAAGGACAATGAGAATGATGCCTACAATGCCCGCGCCCGACCCACGCTGGTTGATCCATGTATCGACGTCTCCCTGATCACCAACCCACATCCAATCGTCTCGGAAGCTATTTAACCGCGAGTCAGTAACACTATCCCACAAGGAAACACTGCTTTACGATGTGAAGCCGCTACTTACTCGCCGTTTAGGTCGGCTATCAGGGAATTGTTAGTGCTTGATTCAAGATAAAAGAAGAGACATCGAAAGGGAGTGGAGTCTCGTACCGAGGCGAACGCCGGTCTTATCGCCCTTGTTCTTGCCAGTGAAGACAGTCCCTCGCAGGCCAGTATCGGTGGAGAAGCCCTGCCAATAATAATCCCTTCCCTGGCCTCCGTTCCTGGAACAGCCAATGTCGCCGTTGTCGTGGATGAAACAGACATCAGCCCTCCCGTCGCCGTCTACATCAGCAATCCGGACGTCTGCTGATGTAAAGTTTCCACTCGCCGGGACGACCACGCCGATGTTCTCGAACTAATAACCAAGATGTGTCCTATTAGCAGCTGCTCGCATCTTCTTGATGAAACATGACTCCGGAGTTTGTAAGTAGCTTTCTCACCGTGGGAGGTCTTGTTCCCTTGTTGAGGGAGACTGTGATCTTCGTGTCCGATCCAATGCACCAGAAATCAGCTATGGTAAAGAGTACAGTGATTAGCACGTCTCAGATTCATGGGATAGCCCTACGAAACAAATAGGATCTCACCAAGTCCATCATTATCCTGGAGGGTTAGATAAAAGCAGTTAGTACGATGGTAGAACAAGTAGCGGTCTCAAAGCACACTGTTTGGGGAAGGTTCACGAACAAAATCGGCCCAGGCATAGTCTAACAGACAAGCAGACTATGTTAGCAGGAATGCAACAACCACCCTATGGATCGACATGGGAAACAACTTACTCGGTCCTCCGTCACAGTTCTGCTGAACGTCCAACATCACTGACGCCGCAAAACTACCGTTGCCGAGATTCTCACGGAACCAGTACTCGTTCTTACCATCCGTGGCAGATCTGTGGTAAATGCGAATCTGCTGCAGTTAGCAAGCTTGATCAACCCATGGGACAATGGGCCTGAAACTAGAAGCGTAGAAGAAGCAAAAGGCAGCCTACCCAGTCATCCAGGGCCGCGCTTCTGTCGACACCGTTGACATTGGTCAATTGGGCAAAGAACATGTGCGAAGGGATGGCATCAGACTCGGTCTTGTCTGTAGGCTTTTGGACCCTGCCGTCGACCAGGACGCCCTTGCCAGTTGACTTGTGGACGTAGATGCCGTCATCGTGGCCAGAACCATTCTGCGTAGTGATGGGCCCGCGCGAGACACCGGCCTGTTTGGCACAAGTCTCAGTGGGTTGGGAGTCATCTTGACCATTATCCAACGGCGCTGATAGAGCAGAAGAAAGTTTGTCGATGGCCTGCCACCAGACAGAGGCCATGAACTCGTACCCATAGTCGTTTGGGTGGATAGGATCGTCCGAGAACATGGTTGCTTGATTCATAGCGGCGTTGAAGTCGGCGAGACCCAGCCTGCCGTTCTGGATCTTGGGTACAACCTGGCGGAACTGCGCGCTCAGATTTTGGGCGCAGTCTGTAATAGCAGGGCTCGGAATTAGGGTTGACATGATAACAACGACACCAGGTACGGCGTCAAAGATGCTTTGGACCAGAGACTGCATTCGAGCCCCGGCGTTCGGCAAGTCGATGTTGAAACTGCAGTCGTTGGTACCGACATTAAGCAGTACCAGGTTGGGCTTCATCCATTTTGCGGCGTCCCACGCCTGCTGTACACCATTATGTCCTCCGCTTTCCGTAATGATCCAGCCGGGATGCCCTTCGTGATCCTTTACGCACAAGTCAGCGTACTCGAGCTATAGCGAGTAGTAGAAGCACATAGCGGCAAATGAGGAAGAGGATAGCCCTTTATCCTAGGTCAATGGTTACCCTGTCTTTCATTGTCCCTATTTGTCCTGATCCCACCACTGTACCCAGCATAAGTCAGTAATTTGGCATTGACTTCAGTTGGGGCCACGAATCCCTCACTGTTCACTTGCCAACCTTCCCAGCGCAGTTGCTCTCGTATCCACTTCCTATAGCCGTTGTCGTCTGACGAATGTATGCCCTGCGTGATGGAGGCACCTAGGGGCATGACCCTGAGCAAGAAATCCTTGGCGGCTCTGCGACTGAGTCCGATCCCTTCGCTGCTGTTGGTCGGTGAAGACGTTGTGCCCTCAAACAGCGGAAAGGAGGCGTTCCAGGTCTTGGCGAGGCCAACGTCTGGTCCGAAACCTGTCGCGGTATCCTTCCATGGCGATGTGACATCTTGTTCGCCGACCTGAGTGGGCAGAGCAGAGACGGCTTGAAGAGCCAAGAGCACCGTGCAAACACCCAATTTAGGCGCCATAGATGGGACCTATTGCAAAGAACCTCGGATACAAGGTTCGGCATGTATTGTTGAAGATTCTTTTACGCCATCACGACTAGGCGCTGATCTTTTATATTGCCAACTCGGCAGATCACTGCGTATTTAATCGGGCCATGCGTATTCCTTCGTACATAGCACTTGACTTAAACCGGAAACTGTCTACAACTTAGTGGGTATTGTGCCGGCCCGCAAGGGATGCAGGCGCGCAGACACGGGTGCTTGAAGAGGATTCAAGTGTTGTTTTCGATGTATGCTGATCTAACAAGTGCGTTCCCCAGCGATCCTATAAGAGACGAAATAGCCCTTTTCGGTAGTTGCATCTATGTAACCGAAACCTTTAGGCACCTACTTAAGGGAGGCAGGGGTATATAGAAGGATCATTCTTGTTGGTCATAAAACTTATCCTTCAACGTGGGTACCTGACTGGAGCATACAGGAGCGGTCTTGGGATGCCATTGATATGTCATCACGAAGCATGAATATCCACGGCCCATCTCTCCCTAAGCCTTCTGCGTATCAGCTGCTGTCGAA